AAGACGAAGTATAACGAGGAACAATGCGGTAGTATGGCATATATTGTTCTGTCGACGGGAGAACTAACATAGACTGTACTGTTACTCTACCAAAACTGTCTATTATGTCAATTACATACTGTACCACCTGACATGGTTTACTACAATTGACAAATGAAGAGAGATTCTTTCCCAATGCTAATTCGTAATAAGTGCCTGTTAGCAAAACCTTTTTCCAGTACGCAGTTTCAACAATCGTGTTGTTTTCGTAAGCAAAAATTCGAAACATATCTCCTTGTATCTTATTGCTTCAATCCAACTAGCGACGTTAGTATATATTTCTTTCCCCACTTGGCGACAGGTAAGAGGAGTGATTTCATTTCCACTCCTCTGTGGCTGGTAGTGTCTCGATTCACACTAGTGATAAGAGAAATAGGTTTGGAGGAACGAACGATTGTCCCGGACAAGTCAGAAGAACTCGCCAGTTGTAAAGATTGCAGTTTATCCAAGGAAATCTGAAGTGGGTAACCTCGCCTATAATATGACCCACTATATTTGATTGTCGAGTGGGCATTTAATTCGATTAAAATGTTGTTTCCGTCGTGTCCTGATACTATGGCAATTCTTGCTTGTGACCCATATCCGTTTGGTGGATATGATGCAACAATATACGTAGAACCGAGTGCATGAATGGGAAGAGCTTGATATCCATCCCCGCCGTATCCATGGTCATAACCCAAACACATCACTGAAATATCCGACGTTGATGAAATCTGAATCCCATTATTTTGCTTTCCTTGCATTGCTATAGAAAGCGGAAGCTGGTACTGGAGAGAATCCCCTTCTCTCATATGTAGTGTAACATTCAGTGGATTAGTTGGGGTGATTGTTACTATCGTTACGTTTGTTTCATTGTGAGCCAATAATGATATTCCGATGTAACCGTTGAAATTTATATGCGCTGTAAATCCTATCAGAAACATCTTCCCGTAATTTGTGACTTTGTCTAAAATTAATTAAATTTAAAAGTCGTTATCACCTGTTATTTTAGTGCAGAAAACCGGGCCTGGCAACTATCGTTATAATGAAGTCGTCCTAAATTCTAAATTCTGTCGTTCAACACCCCTAATATTTTTTTAAAGCAGAACTTACCGCGAAACGTGGATTTGAATGAAGCGATTTGACTTACGTGCTCCTCTCCTAGCAACAAAGAAGAATATTGAATTATACGCAAACATGCATGGTTGAACCTTTTAGTATAGTTCGATCTTTCTTTGAGCTGATGTTCACGTTTTCGACTGAAATCTACGATATCAATTTGGTAAGGAATGGCGCTGCACGAATTTAGTATAAGATCTCCAAATTTTACAGATTTTGGATTTATTATTGCAATAATGTTTACACTATATGTCACATAGATTCCGTCATTCAGAACATGTATGAGAGTATTTGTATGAGAACATGTATGAGAGCTTTAATTTGGTTTATCCACCTTTTAACCACCCTTTAGGCCAAAAATTTCCTAAAAAGATGTCCTAGTGGAGCATATCAACTAATTGTTAATAATGATACCATTCTAACTTGCAGATTTCTTCATTTAGGTACACAGTTGAAAATAAAAATCACATTGCAACAACACTGAATATTTCTCTCATATAGAACAGATCATCAAATCGAGTGTACATGCAAATTACAAACTATTCCGCGGAAGGCGAGGTGGATATCGTGAAATAAAAACAGAGAATTTCGGCCCGAGACGAAGTCCAGGTTTTCTAATCAGCAATATTCACCGAGCCTGAGGCGAATAATTGAAAAACAAATTATTTAGAATTAAAATTTTAAAATGGGATTTATTGATAAAGGTCAGAATTATGAAAAAAAATTTACAAAAAGTCGAACTTACGATTAAAAAAGTCCTCCAAAGTAAAGCCTCCAGGATATGCATACGATAAATGATAATTCCACCCATATACAAGCAAACCAAACTTTACTGCTGAAAAAGCATGGTATACTGTTACAGTCCTTGGATCTGATAAAGTTATTATTGTCCATACAAATTTTGTCCCATTGACCTTTTCCCATCGTAAACCCTTAACATTTAGTTCCACTCCATTCAAAAATAAGCCTTCAATATATTCGTTCTCTATTATAATGGAGATAGAATCATAAAATGTCGAATCATAAGGAAGTGCCAGCCGGTAGTAAGATAGGAACGTTGTTACTGGTGGAAGAATTATCATGGAAGGTTCGGCATTTGCCCCACCAATGTTCTCCTGACTGATGTATTGGACTACTTGGCATGGATTACTACAATTAACAAATGATGCACGATTCTTTTCTAATACAAACTCTGTGTAGGTCCCGGGTGTCAAAACCTCCGTGGAGTTAGCTGTTTCGACAACGGTACGATTTTCAAAGGCGTATACTCGAAAAACATCTCCAGTGCTTTTATCCATCGTTCCAACAGCTGTCAAGATGTAATATTTTCCCCACAGATGAAACGGTAAAAGGAATGATTCAAAAAAATTGTACCGTCTTATGCTTCTCCAATACTCTTGATAAACGCCTGATATAATAGTTATTGGCTTTTTTGCAATAACCACTATCCCAGATGGGTCGGACGTACTTGAAATGTACAAGGTTTCACCGTTTTCCAACGTTGCATAAAATGGTATCCCTTTACTGTAAGAAAGCCCCCGAATGACTGAGTTTGCTTTGGGAAGAACAGTAATTGTGTTTTGGTTGTTAGCTGATATTATTAAGATGTTCGGAGTAGATTCATGATATTGCCAGCTGTGATATGAAGCAACAACATACTTTATACCTAATTTTCTAGTTGGTATTGCTAAGTATCCATCTGCCGCATTTTCAAATTTGCCTTTACTGTTTAAGCACACTATCGAGATAGGCCTTGTTGAAAAAATGTCTATACCCATTTGGAACGATTTTGATTTTTCCATTCGTAGAGAGATTGGGAATTTATAGTCAAAGATTTCTCCTTCTTTAACATAAACGGTATACTCCCAATTCTGGCCTGATTTGAATGCCAATGGAGCCATATTCATGATCTTTAATTTGACCTGTATATCCAACGATGAAACGCGTACCATAATTATTTGGTTTACCTAAAAAAAATAAACTACAGTTTACTATTAAACGGAATCTGCGACCGTATATCCTTAATTAGCACAATCTTGAATAACTTCAAGAACAACTATAGTGTTAAAATTGTTAAAGAAGGTATCTTTTCCACTTATAGAAAAGGCAACGCGAGCGCCTTAAAATTCGGATTTTCCACCGTTTCGAAAGAATTATAATAATTTTTTTATGCATGCTCACGCCATGTTTCCAAAAAAAAATATTCTAACAGATATTATTGCTTGAAACATTGTGCCATAATTGCTTCCAACCAGGCTCCGTCAATACGATGCCGGAAGAATTTGATAAGACAAGTATATCTTTACGCTCGCAGATTCCGTTTACACGTATCATTTTTGGGACTGAAAAGAGAAAAATCGCAATAGACACGCCCTCCAGAGTAGAAGAATTTGAAAACATTTGAAAATAATATTTTTCTTGCGTTGGTTGAAAACATTGGTTGAAAACAGGCATTCGTCCAGTTAGCAGCGTGAAGACTGGTAATTAAAAATAAATTACACAATATCCGACATGTAATTACAAATACAACGGAATCCTGATGTACACTTACTCATGAACCTGGCCTGGTATGACGGCACCGAAGACAGCAATTTGTTCCGATCTACAGAAGAGATTCAAAGCAGAGCATGTTACACTTATTTATTGTTGTTAATTTTACTGATGATGAACTTCGGGTTCAATAAAATCAGTCGTAAAAATTGTGCAAGTCGTAGTTTTCTTTTTGTCGTAGTTGTCCTGCCAGGTAAGTGATTTTCCCAGATAAGATTGTCTATATTTTCCGCCTTCAAATCAGCCAATGTTGACTGCATACATGTAGTAATATTCCTTACATCAACAACATTAACGTTTTCACGAAACTACGACTGTATAGAAATCAGGCTTAATCAAGTGAGGCTTTTCAGTATTGTTTTACACTATATAAAATTATAGCGAATGCAATTTTAAACAACAAGTTTTCTTTCGTATCAAAATTGCAGGCGACAAGAATAATTATGACAATGCATGATTTGTTGTTTTCTTTCAAGGTTAAAAATAAATTTATTGATCGGATGCTTTTTATCCATTATTAACAAGGCCGGCCTGAAAAGATACCAAATAATTAATAATACAGGATGTGTAAAAAAGTACCTCATTAAAAATCAAACTTTTGTTAGAATATGTTATAATTACTATGCTATGCTATTCAACAGTGTATTAATCATACATTGAAATTCAAACAGAAGCTTCATTTCAATATAGGGGATACATTGGGCGCACTTATTAAAAAAAAATGGATAATGCTTTTCTATGTTTTTTAAAGAACGAAGCTATGCTATTGGTTGAAATGGAAATGTATTCTAAAATTCAGCCAATGAAAATTATTCTTGCGTGGAGCTGCGACACCACCCCAAATTGTCAAAGCACAAATTTTGCTTGTCTGCACGAGTCGAAAAAGAAAACTTGTCACATAATGTGAGCACTTGTATGCGGTTGGGCAGCACACAGTATAGTGTTTTGCGATGGTGCGCTCACGTTGTCCGCTGTACGATTACATCGCTGGCTGCAAACTAAATTGTCAAAGTAAGCTTGTTGGCACATTGACACAAGCAAATGAAATTTGTCAAAGAAAAACTTGTTATAGAAAATTTGCTGTACATAAACACGTGCAATTGCCAAATAAAACTTGTCATATAAAAAATTGTCATATAGAAAACTTGCTCGTCTGTAAGAGGCTTCAGCGTAGTGATGGGGGATATAAATTATAACAATATAACCACCTTTCGGCATGTCTAAGGCCTAGATTATACGTCGCATTTTGGTCGCGTCGAATGCAATTCAAACCATATAGATAATGAGACGATAAACCTCATTAAGCTTGATTATCATCTCATTATATTTTTAGTGCAATGAACCTTACCTGCTGATTTATTATTTAAAGCAAAGCCACCGGAGAAGGCATACGAACGACCTGCTGAATACTCTTCGCTGTTCCATCCAAATGCAAGGAGGCCAAACTTCACTGCCTCGGACGAGTGATATACTTTGACAGTATTTGGACCTGATAAACTGATTACCGTCCATACATAGTTTGTTCCATTTATCTTATCCCAACGACAGTGGTTTAGTTTTACTCCATTAAAGAATAAGCCATTAATGTCTTCCTTTTCAATAAATATAGTGATTGAATCATGATAACTGAGACCGCCCGGTATTACCACATGGTAAAAGGAGAGGAACTGGTTTACTGATGGAACGACTACCATTGATGAATCTGCGTATCTCCTACCAACGCTTTCTCCTCGAATGTATTGAACTACCTGACATGGCTCACTACAATTAACATACGAAGCAAGATCCTTTTCTAAAATTAACTCTGTATATGTCCCAGGGGACAAAGTCTTAATCCAATAGGCTGTTGTGACAACAGTATTATATCTATAGGCAAAGATTCGGAAGATATCCCCGCGATTTTTGTCCATTGACCGAACAGTTGTTAACACGTACTCATATCCCCACGAAGAAATTGGGTGAAGGGACGCTCCCAAAAAAGCGGCACCCCCTAGGTTAAGTGGCGTGTCCACACCAGATATTACTGACACTTGTTTGCTTGCAATAACAAGAGTACCGGAAAGATCAGATTTTTCTGTGATGTATAGTGCTTCGAGTTTGTTAAGAACGTGGATTATGTATAATTGTGAATTTCTGCCATTATACCAAAGACCTCGATAGTATATTAAAGCATTTTTGTCGGGAATAACAATCACCCTGTTGTCGTCGTGTGCAGAAATCACTGCGACATTTGCTCTGTTAGGACTCCAGGGTTGATAGAAATACAGGTCATATGACGAAACGATATATTCTGAACCTAGCGCTTTGGTTGGTAGAGCAAGGTATCCGTCGCCAGACAGATAATAGCCTTGGGAACACAACAGTGAAATATCGCTGGTTGACGAAATTTCAATACCTTTCTGAAAGTATTTAGATGGGTCCATCCGTAGGGAAAACGGTAAATCATATACTCAAACACGCCTTCTTCTTTTATAAAAACAGTGTAGTTCCATTGCTGACCAGCCTCAGAGCTAGAGATTGTCACATATGTGTCGTACGCAGCAATCATCGATACTTCAATATTTTGCAAGCGAGTATTATAATATTGTGTCGTAAATCCAATAACAAAATTCTTTCCAAAATTATTTGAAATACCTAAAAAAATATGTAGATAATTATTTAGCTACCCGACCATGACGGCAAAAGGGACGAATTGTGCTTTAGCATATTTTTTGTACAGTAGGTAATAAGGAAAAATTGCCACAAATAAAATTAAAGAGCACAGAAATTTGTATACAAATGCAAAAGAAATGTTGTATTAATTTTATTTTTATATTGCTCGAAGAATAAAGTCATACGAAATGTGGTTTTTTATATACATCAGTATAATGCCGAATATCTTTAGCAATGGAATTGTGATTTAGATATTTTAGTGAAAAATATTCTTTGTAAATAAATAACATGACTTTAAAATCAAAATTGTTCGCTACTGGGATTAACTGTGGTTTTATTTTGAGCTTATCGTGATAATATTTCAATGACTTAAGGTGGCTTCCTACAGTTTTTCGATATTTTTAAATGCACATTTTAAACAGGATTATTCAGCATCTAAACCTTTGATTAGAAGACTAAAATTTTATACACCTTTCTGGGGACATACCTAGAACTGAAACCTATTCAGAACTTGTGCTTAGCAGTCATTGCTATAGCAACAGAGACGTCTAATAATGCCAATAAATAGAGTTAAATCGAGTTTGCATTGCAAACGAGTTCTGTGATTGCCATTTTTTTATCAAAATTTTAAAAAATAGATGACTTATCGATAGTGAAGTTTTAAAAAAATTCTGTCCAATACAATTTTTTAAGGGGTTAAAACTTCACTATCAATAAATCATCTATCGTGTAAAATTTTTAAGAAAAAAAATAAAATGGGGGTAACCGAACTTGTTTGCAATATAAACTCGACGACCTCTCTGCCAAGCACAAGTTCTGAATATATTTTGGCTTTAGATATGTTGCATGTTAGAAAAATAAAATTTTAGGCTTCTAGTCAAAGATTTCGATGCTTAATTTCCCTGTTTAAAATCTGCATCTAAAAATTTCAGAAACTGTTGGGAGCCACCATAAGAAGATTACAAGTTGAATGTTTCACTGACAAAGGAAAACAATTATTGTAAATGTCGGAATTTGCTTCCGAAAACTTCCGAAACACCATCAAAGGAAATATTGTTGAGGGTGAGCACCATTTCAGCTAATCTAATCAAAGTTGGTACACAACTCTTCACAGCAAAACTGTTCAGAGCCCAATTCCCTTAGGCATTCCCAGAGGCATTTTTTTAAAGCACGGTTCACACGAAAAAAATAAAGATAAGCAGAAATTCAAAAGCAATCTTTTCCTGCATGGGTCAAAAAAAACAAGCGAAAGGAATTCTGTTTTCAAATGTCTTCTCTTCCAGCTTCGCTTATGCTTAGAGTCTTGTGCGCTTGTTTTTAAGTCGATGCTTATCAGTGCCGGCCGCACGCTCCATAATTGTCTTCATTTCTTTGTTCTACCTTCGGCTTCCTTATGCTTGTGCTTATTTCACTCTTGTGTACCAGGCTTAACTGATTCCGACACTGTTATTTATATAAAGTTTTTTTATCAGGCACAATTTCACATGCCTCTACTCAAACCATTTATTGCAACTCCATCCTACTTGCATCGACTATCAGACTATCTTTCATTTAAGTCACTTTACCTTCAGGAACATGATTTACCATTTCTTTATTTACATCAAAACATGTTGTCAGGGGGGCCGGAATATACAGTATTGGAATAAAATATGGAAACACTAAAGTTAGGTTTGAATTATAACAAAATTTAGCTAATAAATTAGGTTAACAAACTACCACAATCGTGGGACACAGATTCAGTGAATAAATACTAAGTGCATGTACTACGTTAGTGCCCATTGGTAAAAGTTCACAACAAAGAAGAAGAGAATGGCCCCTGGGAGAGAGACAACAGAAGTACAGAGAGTACAAATGAAGATTCTGAGGGATGAAGGCTACTCATTCAGGAAGATTGCTGACAGGATGAATGTGTCGCCGAGCACAGTGTATAAGTGTGTCCAGCGTCATGAACGGAATGGCAATTTCAGAAACACCACAGGAAGAGGAAGAAAGAAAAAACTGTCAAAATCAGACGAAAAGTACCTGAAAGTGACGTCATTAAGAAACAGACGAATGTCCAGTAAGGAGCTGGCAGGAAATCTGGAAGCTGCGACAGGGAAAAAAGTGTCCTCAAGGCTGGTTCGAAAGACCTTGACAGCTGGTGGTCTTGGAGGTTATGTAGCTGTGCGAAAACCTTTGCTGCGAAAGGGCAACAAGCAGAAAAGATTGTTATGGGCCAGAAAGCACAAACAGTGGACGTCCGACCAATGGAGAAAAGTCATGTTCACAGATGAGAAAAAGTTTGAACTGTTTGGAAACAATTTGCGGCAGTATGTGCGGCGACGAAAAGGGGAGAGGTAGGATGCGTTTTACCAACCGTGAAGCATGGCGGAGGATCTCTACAAGTCTGGGGTTCCATTACGTACAGTGGGGTGGGCAGTCTGTACAGGATCACTGACATCCTAACGGCAGCCAGGTACAAGCAGATACTCATCCACCACGCTGTGCCCACTGGGCGGGCTCTTATTGGCAACAGCTTCGTTTTTCAGCAAGATAACGATCCCAAGCATACAGCAAGGGTAGTCAAACGATACCTGGAAAACAAGACACGAGATGGCAGTTTGACTGTCCTAGACTGGCCGGCCCAGAGTCCAGATATGAACATCATTGAGCAAGTGTGGACGTACATGGAGCAGGAGAAAGTGAAGAGAGCTCCTGCAAACTTGCAGCAGCTGTGGGAGGTGTTGCAGGACATCTGGAGAACTATTCCTGTTGCCTTTATCCAAAAACTTTATGACAGTGTTCCCAGTCGTGTCAATGAACTGTGTAAAGCAAAAGGGCTTCACACTAAGTATTAAAGTTCAACTGTGTGGAAGTCTAGCGTTTGTCTTTTTCTTATACTAATATTACATACAATTCTTGAGTTACAATAAAATTTGTTTGCATGTCACAGAAAATATCACGGAATGTCTTATTAATGGATATTTTATAAGATGTTTCCATATTTTATTCCAATACTGTAGATAATAACGGGGGCAGATATTCATATATTCGTGTTCTGCATTATTAACTCCTTTTGAAATCGATTGTTTTTACGATCTGCGAACACGAATATATGAATATCTGCCCCCGTTATTATCGATATTCCGGCGCCCCTGCATGTTGTAATATGTTTCCTTTGCCCTTCCTCAATTGCTGGCTATTTTTAGTCTGGAGTCAGGCGCCTCTTTCGTAACTATAATGTTTGCCAATTTGTTTTTTGTTTCACTTTTTGTTTCCTACTGGTCTATTTTTATCACGTGTTTTATCACGTGTTCTCCCTTATTTACTTCCATACTAACTCTCCTGACGAAGGCCCCTAAGTCAAAACGAAAGGAAATATTTCCCTATACGGACCTCCAGTCCGATAAATAACATTTATATGAACACAATCCTACCGCTTTGTCAGTGGCGTAGCCAGAACGATGATTGGGGGGGCCTATATTCATATATTCGTGATACGCAGGATTAATTTCTTTTCAAATGAATTGTCTTTACAGTCTATTAACACGAATATATGAATATGGGCCCCCCCAATTATCGATGCTGGCTACGCCACTGCGCTTTATGACTTGATGATGGCTTAGACGATATGGTTTCAGCAAAACTGATAAAGCCAAAACTATGCAAATTATTCTCACGCGCTTGTATTTCAATCCGAAAAAATATTATTCATTTCCCAGCTCTTATTAACGATATTTCTTATGTAACGATAATTACGATATTTTTCGCGCGAAGCGACATTTCGCTTTCTTTTCAGAGGGATCTCAACGGCAACCACATGGAACGAATTGCTCAAATGCAAAAGAATAAAGTTGCTTTGTCGGAAAAATATCACTAGAGGAAAACTGGCTTTACATACCCCGCAACCTCGACTTGTTATACGACATAGAAGATAGTAACGCGCTGATACCATCTAGAAAATAGTAGAAAATCTTTAATTCAAATCATGAAGTTACCCGGGATTACACAGAGGCAATGTCGGTAACTTACTAACTTTGTGAATTAGACAAAATAAAGAACCAAAAAAATTGAGAACTTTCTGTCACTAAACTATATAGCTATAATTATATATCATAATAATGGCAATGCCAGTATAATTTCGGAGGGCATCGGATGATATCGTAACGACGCTTTGATGTCGTAACCGAACAGCATACCGAACTCAACACTGAAAATCGCGATTGAGCTGGATAAGTGTTAACTTGTTTTAAGTCAGCAATATACTTCAAGATATTGGTCGAGTTTATTATTCAGTTCATATTAAAATTAATTCGGAATTACTTCTCGAAATGGGACGTACGTAAAATTAAAGATGATTCGAATTCTTCCGTTTTTGTTTTCAAAATAGCAACAAAAATATAATATTATGCAAAATTTTATCAAATAACTCACCATCTGTTTTTTTCTGTAAGTCAAAACCACCGGCGTATGCAAAAGAGTCAACGTTATTCCACCCAAGTACAATAAGACCAAATTTCACCAAAGAAGAAGCGTGATACACTGTAACTTCCGTTGGATCCGATAAACTAATCACCGTCCAAACATATTTTGTTCCACGCACTCTCTCCCAGCGTAAACTGTTCAGTTTCAATCCATTCATGTATAAACCATTGATGTATTCACCATCTATGACCACTGTGATTGCATCATGAAATTCTGAACCATGAGGCAGAGAAACGTGGTAATACGAAAGAAACTGACTTACTGCTGGTACAACAATCATTGAAGGTTCCACATATTTCCTATAAATTTTATCACCAATGATATATTGCACAACTTGACATGGCTTACTGCACCTAATAAATGATGTCAAATTAGTTCCTAATACCAACTCTGTATACATCCCAGTTGACAAAACCTTCGTCCAATGTGTACTTTTCACGACAGTATTATTTTCGAAGGCAAAAATACGAAAATGGTCCCCTTGTGATTTGTCCATATTTCCTACCGTTGCCAAGATGTATTCGTTCCCCCACAATGAAACAGGCAGCAGGGTCGCTTCTAAGGAAGAATACCAGCCAAATGGCATAGGAGCACAGCTTACTCCGGATATAACGGTAACCGGCTTACTTGCAATAACAACTGTCCCAGATAAATCGGAAGAAGCAGAGATATAGAGAGCGTCAAGTTTTTGAAGGACTTGAGTTATATATATTTGTGATGACTTGCCATCATACAAGATCTCGCGATGGTATATAACAGCATTCTTGTTGGCAAAAATAATAATGTTGTTGTTGTTTTGTGTTGATATTACGGCGATATTCGCTTTACCATTCTCGCATGGTTGATATGATGCTACAACGTAGACTAAACCCAGAATGTTGGTCGGTAAAGCCAAACCACCGTCCATTCTGTTATCATGACGACCAAAATTTAGACACAACACCGAAATATTTGAGGATGATGAAATCTCAGTCCCTTTTTGTAGAAATAGTGTTTGGTGCATGCGTAAGGCAACCGGTAGTTTGTATTCAAAAATTTCTCCTTCTTCAATATAAACAGTATAATTCCAAGGCTGGCCAGTTTGGGTGCTAGAGATTGTCACATTCGCTCCATTTGGTGCAAATATAGCTACTCCAATATAGTTTTCTTCATGATAGTAAGTTCGAGCTGTATAACCAATCAAAAAATGTGTCCCATAGTTACTTGGTGTTTCTGTAGTGAAATTAATGGGAAGGATTATAATTCTAATAAATTAAATATATTAATGCATAATTTATTATTTTTTTGATCAAATGTCGGATTATTAGGAAAGCTATTTGTGTTAACAAGAGTTAAATACTCCCTGATATCACAAATATACCACATTTGATATCATCAGTAATGTTAAAAACACGAGCGGCAACAAGTCTGAATGTTTGAGACTCGATGGAAAAAAACTTACTATTTCCCGAGGCAGTGTATACATTAAGCATTTTGTTATATAGGAAAAAAAACATACATGTTACACGACAATTTCAATTAAAAAAAACACTTTATTTTGTTATGACAAGAAGAGGGCAACAATTTCTTACTTGTTTCCCTGGCGGAAAACATTGAATCTATTTAAAGTCATGTGACTACGAATAAACCAATCACATTTAAAATACACAACCTATATAACAATCAGTATATACAATCGACACGGCCGCGAGTGTTGTAAACAACTTGTGAAATAAATTTGTAATAAATAAGATTTGAATAGACAAGGAGTCAGTTGTGGCTTTATTTTTCCAATACAACCACTTGTGTTTGTAACTGATTTGCATATCTATTCAAAATGATTTGTTTGGGGTATCCAGGGTGTGCATGTGACCTAATTCACGAAATTTGGTTGGGTATAAACATCGTTAATTATTCACGATTTCACAATATTAATACGTTAAACTATCGATATGGGGTTGTAAACAATAACGATTTATATAACGCGCCGAATATTTCTATATTCTAATAATTAATTTATTCACATATGATATTAATTTATTCACATTTGCAATTATTTTATTCACACTTGAATTTATTTATTCGCAATTCATAATTATTTTATTCACACTCTATAATATTTTATTCGCACTTTGCAAATTAATTTATTCACACTTTGCAAATTAATTTACTCGCACTTTATAATTATTTTATCCGCACTTTATAATTTTTTATTCGCATTTTGCAAATTAATTTATTCACATTTCACGAACCATTGCGATTTGCGAGGCGAGATAATTTGGCGCGTAATAGTATGTCTCCTTAGCATGAAACAACGTGTAAAAAATGTAAATTCTTGACAAGTTTCGACATGGCACAGCAGGGAAAAGTTAACAGTTCTATGACATCCATTCGACAAGCTGCTGATGCGCTAAGAACGCTACAATCGTTAACCAACGCCGATATTGAACGTGTTGCTCATTTATCAACAGAAAATTCATTATCCACAGAAGAACGTCGCCCATTTCAGCCAGTGTTATCAATACGGGAAGAGCTTTCCTCCCGTTTCCCTACAATAGCTCATAGCTCTCGCAATTCTAGTAGAAATTCAAGCAAAAGGAAACGATCCAGTTCTACGTCAGTGGCGTCAACAATAAAACGTGGACGGGCTGGACGACCTGTCACAAAGCATGTTGTTTACAAAGACCTTGTGATCATACCAAATCCCCAAACTGCGCGAGTCCCGACCCATAGCAGCCGAATTGAGTTAGAAAAAAGAGGCTTGGTCGTCTCAGAGTTTCCTTTTGACCGGGCATGGGATGCAGCAACATTATCCAAAAAAATTGTTGAGCAACTGCCAAGATCTGAAATTCCGTTTGAGTTTATGAAGGTATATGTAGAATATATTATTTTGCAAAAACCAAAAAAGTCAAAGAAACAGTGTGCTCAAACATTTTAACAATTATTTCACAATTGTGTAATTGTGTGTATAAAACACAACAAGTACTTGTTTTGAGTCTGTGGAAAGGGGTTCAGGCTAATTGCTGGAGCAGGTGTGCTAAATTTAATTATATAATTAAATTTATAACAGTGCTTAAAAATATACTGTAGTTATCTCACAGTCAGTCCTATAATCATACAGTTTCCAAAAGGGTGTTAAGGAACACAATATGAATATTATCAATCAATTTATGGACAAGTACTATTTTGCCATAATCCTCCCTATCTGTTAATTGCAGGCTTGTTATGGGTCTCTGATTTTGCCCAAACTTGCTGAAGGTGTTTCAATGACTTGTGAAGTCCTCATGAAAATGTCTGGACAAGGCTGTGTGTATGTAAGATTACAAGAAGAATTGATTGAGGAAGAATCTGCTGAGGATATCATGGAAGACTGCATTTTTGATGATGGTAAAACAATTTTTCACACATTTTAACCTAATTAGCAAGCAATGGCAAACACTAAACAAAAATTGCAACACCAATCTGCCATACACTTAAGAAAAATTGTGAGTTGTCACAATTAATACTAGAATGGGTTTAATACTACCAAAGTTTTCACCAGGCCTAAATTATGGGGAACTTTGGTATAATGCTTAGCAAAGTGTGTCTCTGATGACATTGCTAGATCTGCGTAGAAAGTTATATGGGGGTTGTATTAGCCAATGTTATAAGAATATATATTTTTCATAATTATCTTTGCTTTAATTAATCAATGATATTCATTTGGGTTGTTTTTTTTAACCTAATAGAAAATGAAAATGATAATGAATCAATGGGACCATTAAACAACAATGACTCTTTCAATGATGATTATGTTAGAGACAGCAATGCAAACCAACCATCAGGTGACATAAATATTAGAAGCATTAACTGTATGGTAAATTTTGATGTTTGTCAAGTCCCTGTCTTTCTTACAAGTAAAATATCAATTACATCACATCACAATTGTACATGTACATTTTATTGGTTAACACACTCTTTATTTTCTTTAATAGGTAGATTGATATATAATAATTTATTCACATTATTAGTACTAGGGAAATTTACAATAATCAATCATGCATTAAAATTAAGTATAATAGTTCTACAGACTATTTACAAAAACAACTTAACTAGACTACTCGCTAATGTTGGAGTTCCATTCCGACAACGTAATGTCGTTAGTTGATGTGATGGATGCAGTCCTCCAACTTCGACTGCCGCGAACACACACCACGCGAGCTCTAAGCAAAGCAAAGGCGATCTTTCGTCGTAACCAGCTAACCACCATAGATGTAGAATGATTCTTCTTGTCAGCCAGCTTCGCACCCAGGAAGGAAAGAAAATGTTGGGTCTCTCTTCCGCATCCGCCAAAGGCGCTGAAGACGACCGGTGTGAAGGAGCCATGCTCGAACTCAACAATCCGTTGGTTGTAATGTCGCTTCTTTTCCCGTTCGTTGGCTTTAAACGAGCTGCTCAACGTCTGGCGTCGATGTGTAGAGGCGTATGGGTTAAACACCCTTACATCAAAAAATGCCTTTTCACATCTCTGCCAGAAACCTCTCGCAGCAATGTCCACTCTGGCGTCATCGGCTGAGTTAGCACTGGATGGAAGAACCTCGCCAGTCAAAGGAGCAAGAGCAGGTTCAATTGAAACATCGTAAGCAACGTCATCGATAGCAGCAGCAAGTAGATCACGGATCTCATTATGTCTTCGATGGATAAAACCTCCTTTCAGGCACGACAGGGCATGATCTACCGTGAACGATTTTCCACAAGCGCAGAAAGATGGAAGGCGTTTCAAAGGCCATCGATAACGCATGTAGATTGCATCAAAGAACTCACGCTTGGTCAAGATGTAGCCCTCTTCAGCAAGTGGCAGAGCAGTTAGCCAAGCTGAGGATCCTTTCAACTGGGCGAGGTCATTTGCTCGAATCTGCTCTTCACTCATGCTCGATCTCAAGTTCTGTAGCAGCAACGAGTTCCTAGCTTGACGTTGTTTTGCAATCTCACGGCGAAGATCGTGGATGGAATCTCCATGTTCTGCTGATGGTGTACCATTCTGGTGGATGATTCTACTTGAGAGAAGATGACAGATGGTTGTGGAGTTCAAATGTTCTTCATCACAGATGTCGTTAAAGATCGGAATACCAAGACCTCCCATACGAGCTGGAAGCGAAACCAATTGTCGCTCATGGATGGACAAGCTACGGTTATCGAGGAGTGCAGGAAGGAGCTTCAGGTTGATGGTGTCGTCAACAAGCTGCATCGCGGTCTTGATACCTGGAACGGCACGAATGTGGTAAGTAAATCTGTGCCGAAAACCCGAGACAAACGCCGTGTATGCTGCTTGGGGTTGGAATTTGGCAATTTCACTCAAAACGTGAAGTTGCTGGCACCATTTACTAACTAAAGAACTAATATACTTATCTTTTCCGTCATCCGATCCAAGATATCCTCCAAGGTACTTATGCCCTTCACTTGAAATTCGTACATTAGTTCCAGCGAAGATCTCAATGGCAGTCTGCTCCAGGTGTGGCTTCACAATCAACCAGGATTTATCAGCTCGCGGGTAGTAACCAAGACTCGGACCATGCACGGCAATCTTCTCCCACCAGGCACGCAGTTGCATTAGCTTACCTGCCCCACTAAGGTCATCCGCGTACGCAACATGCCTTACATCACTAGCTTCACCAGATTTAATCATGAGCAGGAGTGGAGTAATGGCGACGGCGTATAACGGCATGGCTAACGGATCACCTTGCGTGGTACCTTCAGCTGATGCAATTTCTTTACCACCTTGCACGAACAATCTTGAAGCTGTTACATAACAATTGAACGTATAAACAGCCATTGCAGGACAAATGTACTGAATGTTATGTAACATGATCTTGCGGTTGATGGAATTGAACGCATTGGTGGCGTCTACCAGTAAGACAGCGTCTGTTTCTTCTTCTTCAAAAATCTTCGACATGGCGTGAACAGCAGCCTCGCAGCCTGATTGTTGTCCTGCACATAGCTGCAAGTCTCCTGCGCTATCCATGATTTGTGGTTTAATGGCAAAGACAATTGATTTTCCAATTATCCGTCGTAGAACCTCTCCAATCCCAATCGGTCTGACACCAGGGTTCTTGTCCAGAGGTATTAAGCGACACGCTAAGAAGGTCTCTAAGCTGGTGGTCTGATCTGCTCCAATAACGACCTTCTGGGTTGCAAGTGTTCTCGCCATTAACGCTATTGCGGATCGTAGATCTTTGCCAGCATCTCCATAGTTGCGAGACACCAAAATATGCCGCCATCCAAGTGCGTCAAGACCTGAAGGACCAGCAGCACCTTGAGTCCTCAATGCTGCTTTTGCTATGGCTGCCTCGTCGATGTTGGCGAATAACGATGGATCGACATATGGAATTTCACCATCAATCATGACGGAATGATCCTCAGGTTGTGCAGGTGGATGTTTCTGCAAGAGGTCCTTGTACACAGCGTCATTAAGAGGAAGAACTCCACCACATGATTGTTCATCCAACAAACGTAGAGCTGCGTTCACTTTGCCACGAAACATGAGACTAGCGAAGGTCTTGGAAAGCTGTTCATTCGAAACCTTTCTAGTAGCCAGTAGTGTCGACTGGATGGTTCTGCATTCCCGAAGTAACCCATCAAAGTTACCTTGTTGCCACAAAGCCATGCGCCGAGACAGACAAGTCACATGGTCTTTCGATCTCGATTTGAAACTCGGTTTTTGTAAGAGAAGAGCAGGCATGATCATAGTAAGTTTTAAAGAAATATCATGCAAGATCTCCGAGTTACTGTTCCAAGCGTTAACAAGTCTCTCCAGTTCCCTGACGTATGACTTTCCAGCAGCTCCACTCGGCAACATAAACAGATTTTTGCGCCAAAAAACCACCTCTTCATAGGCTGCGTTAACAACTTGCTTTAGATCGTCTTTAGTGAGGCTGCCCCAAACACATGGTGATCCGCTATTTTGAGAACTTGAGGGAGTAACCGGATCGACAACAATAGAACCAGGCATACTTGATGTTTGTCCATCTTGTTGACTCGCTCCACCAGTTGCGTGTTTTTTCCTGCATGAATTTAAATGTAGCGACCGTCCTCGTTCCGAACCAAATTGTCTCGGGCACAAATTACATTGAAATGCGCGCTCTCCGCTTTGCTTTCTTGCGGCATAGTTTCTAATTAGCGTGCTTCGTCACCAACCAATTTACCAAATCACGTAGCACGCGGTTAACGGAATAACGTTCGCAAATATAATTTAACGGTCCAAACTCGAGAAATAGCAAAATATTTGCGTAAAAGTTCCAAAAATATATATAATATAACCAATTCGAACTCACAGAATTCACAGTTGAAGTAGCACTGGAAATTATTCACGCTAAAAGCAATGAACGCGTAACCACTCCAATGACCAATGTTCGATGTCCAAATCTTGATAAAGTCACAAAATGCGCGAAAACACCAAGTTAACAAAAAATAACACCAACGTTGTTTTAAAGATATCCTTACTTAAGTAATAACGCAATAATGTTTCTAAAAATTTAGCAGTAATTGTGTAAAAATTTCAAATGTCACGGAGCACTATTTTTTAGCGTCTTTACGCCATAGTGCGCGTGCGTTTTCTTTAATTGTGTTTTTTTTCATTTGCAGTTAGTAACTTCCAGGAAGCCCATACTATTGTGAATGAAAGCATTAACAATAGGTCATCCAATTCCACACTTGAAGAATTTCTTCAGATTCCTGCAAATGATGAATCCCAGATTGAAGTGACACTTCCATTATCAGAGCCAGAGGGTAACTCGCAAGAAGCTCCCATTGTTATAGTTGATGAAAACATTAACAGCGAATCGTCAAACACCGAGACCGAAGAACAACTGGAGACCATACCAATATATGAAATTGAAATATTCCATCGTCCAGTACGTGAAATTTCCATACGAAGAAGCGATGTTCTCAGGTCAATGATATCAGAATTCAAAGATACTGACGTTCTGAAATTTAATATAATTTTCGTATTTATCGGAGATAATGGTCTCGTGAAAAAAGGAAGAGGAACTGGAGTCACACGTGAGATACTGAGTCTTTTTTGGAGCGAATTCGCTATTGCTCTGTCGGTTGGATCATCTGAGAAAGTTCCGTCAATTAGACATGATTATCAAACTCCAGAGTGGCAAAGTGTGGCTAGGATTCTTACGTTTGGGTTTAAAGAGGAGGGTTATTTTCCTATTTACCTTTCAAGAGCCTTTATTGGGAGCTGCCTTTTTGGAGAGGGTAGTCTTACCGAAGAATGTCTTCTCGATTCCTTCAATGCGTATGTTTCTAAGGATGAACAAGACACCATTAATATGTGTCTGAAGGATGAAATCAAACCTAACGACAAAGACGTTTTAGAATTCCTGAGCAGTTACAAGTGTCATCGTAATCCAACTAAAAACAATTTTTCTATCATATTGCAAGAACTAGCACACCAAGAGCTAGTCCAAAAGCCCCGATATATTGCAAATGCATGGAGTGAAGAATTGATGTCCTTAAAAGGCTTTCCCGAGTTCAATAGTTTCAATAGCTTGTCCACTATGTACGCCGAAAAGAAGCCTTCAGCAAAGCGACTTATCAAACTTCTTGATGCCAAACCAAATTCAGACGCCGATCGCGCTTGCCTTGACCATTTGAAGAGGTACATAAAGTCATTAGATGAGACCATGATGGGTGGTTTTCTACAGTTTATCACAGGAAGCAATATTATCACAGTGTCTAATATTGCTGTATCGTTCAATTCAAACGAAGGTCATTCCCGAGGGATTGTCGCGCATACCTGTGGCCCTTTGTTGGAAGTACCGTCAACTTACCAATCGTACAACGAACTCGCAGAGGACTTCAGTAATATTTTAAGAAACTCGTTTGCTTGGTCATTTATAATCGTATAAAACACTTTATCACTACTGGCTGTGATAATTCCTATACTTGTTTGTTTGTTTCTTGTTAGTTTCTATGCTATATGGCCTTACATTAATTATAGCTTTCTCTGCTTTGTAAATGCAAAACTCGAGCTTGCTAGACACTTTAATCGTGCGCTCATTACCAATTTTAAGCCCCGTTTACACTATACACAAACTAACCCGGGTCGAACCCTGGGTTTGTTTACATTAGTGTTGATTCGACCCGGATTAGTATGTGTAGTGTAAACGGGCTTAAAAGTATGCGTTGTGTTGATATTTGTAAAATAAAAGGGTAAGTGGTTGTTCTCGTAGTAGAAGAGTTTTTTATGAATTAAAACAGAAAAAAAAAACATGGAAAAATGTGTCTTTTTACTTTTTTGCTTTTTAATGTTAATTTATCACATTAAAATTCTAAAACATGCAGTGGTTCCTGAGTCGTTTTCGTGATCCGAGTTGCGGACACTGTTTGCTTTTTAGGCTATGTTTTAAAGAACTAGCTAGTCACTGATATTTAGTTTGGTAGGACGTCCAGTCCCATCTTGGATCCAGAACCTTTATTGTCCACCACTGTCAAAACCTTAATTTAACTACAATTCCTGGAAACAATCATGTTAAGGCAAGAAATGCCCCTGCCCACGGTTACAACGTGTGTAAGAGAAGATTTTTTCATTATGTCGTCTATTTTGGGTGGGAAACGTTCAAACCCTAAAATCTTTTCGGCGTATCGCTCAAAATTAATTTATTTTACCTTCATTCTTTAGATTATGTTGTGAACTAAGTTTTGCCGGAATATAATTTATAATGCGGTTATTGAAATGAATACAAAAATAGCTTCGATTGTCATTCAAGTGTCATCTTTTTCACAATTCATTTTCACAATATTTTGAGATTATACAGTAAACATACTTTGTTGCGCTTTTCAGGTTTGCAAAAAAACTTAGTGTTGAAAATTTTAATACTGTTGCATGAAGATATAAACTGAGGTTTTAAGCATTATTACGCGACAAAAAACGCGAGATTAACATTTTCGAAGGGTGATTTATGCCGAAATTAATAATGGTTCTAACTATGTCTGTACACACGCGATGTTGCCAGGGGCCGGTTGTTCGTACGGCGTTTAGCTTAAACGGTGGATTTGAACTTATCCACCGTTTAAGCTAAACGCCGTACGAACAACCGGCCCCAGGATTGTAGTTTGTATAAATGAAATTTGTTATTCACATATTGGTACTAACTTTGTGGTTTGATTAATGTAAAAGTTCATGGAGTAAACGAACACATTTGATAAACCTTTCTCTTCCATCTCCTGCAAGGGGATCACAATGTGTTTCAACGTAGATTCTTTGTTCGTCTGTCAAATATATTTCTACAGGAGGTACAATGATCTCATCATCCTCTTCAACAAGTACCGTTTCATCTGCATCAATTCCATAACCGATTAAGTCAGTCTCACTGAGAACCCCGTCGATTCCTGAGTAACCAGAGTTGATATTTTCCAAAACACCAGCTGTAAAAAGTTGCAAAGGAGACATGTTATTTTCAGTTGATAACGGGTGATTCTGCCACTGAGCAGCGAATTCTTTCAAGCATTTGTTGATTCTCTGGATATATACATAATGGAGGGCAGAGATGTGAACATCATTTAATGGATCCAGATTTTCAGATTCCTCCAGTTCATTGAAAATTCTTGCGAAGAAGCAAAGAACACCCGAATATATGTCACGGTGCATTCTTTCAACTCTGGTGTTATGAACTGAGCTTCCCGTTATAATACTTCCTCTTCCAAGTCCCCTCGTCTCGAGCATATAGCGAGCGACTTCTATGTTCTCCAAACCATGATCGCTTCTAACTCTGGATGGCAAGCCAAACTGAGCAACACCTTCTCTGAACAAATTTAAAACTGTGTCTGCGCGGTTATTGTCAGCACAGTGAGCGTAAATTAAAAGGCGAGAATAACCATCAACACAACAATGGACGACGAGCTTCCAGCGAATTAACTTGTGGTTCCCGTCAATATGCCATAGGGCGTTAGGCGTAGGAACACTGTACTTGCGTCTGTAAATTACAGGTCGCCATCTTAGAGCAGTACCTAGAGGGTCAACCTTACGAAGGCAATCGCGCACTCTCCAGCGCTGAACACGTATACCTCGAGCCCGTAACGCCCCCATCAGTCGTCTTTCACCAATGTTAGGGGTGATATTACGAACATCCTGAACAACAAGTTCTAACTGGTCGTCAGTGATACTTGTCCATTCGTCTGGCTGTTGATTTATATTCAACTGCGTTCTTCTTCTTGAAAGAGTACTCATACTTATACCAAGGAGACAGGCGATACTGCTCCATGTAAAATGCATATCTCTTAAAAATTCAATTTGTTCTTTCTCTATTATATAAGAAGGTCTTCCTGGTCCTAGTGTTGTTTTACAGACTGTTACAGAGTACCCAAAAGGTTGTTCAGTTGATATTGATTTCGTATTGATAAACTCTTGTGTTAATTGACGTATGGTTTCCAGGATTCCTTTAAGGATGTCACATAGGTTCCTATCACGGTGGCTGTTTTCGTCCGTGCCGTTTAGGATAACCACCGATATCTGCTCTACCAACATTTGCAATGTGGAAGATGCGTCTTCCAATCTTCGAGCCATAGTCTCGATAAAATCATCAGTGACGACATGTTCATTTTCACTAAGCTCTGTAAACTCAGCTAACAATCTTTGTAATTGTTCAAAGAAGACTCGAAGTCCATGTTCATTTCTTTCCCGTGCGATGAAATGCGCCATTGGCAAACACCATGATCCAATGAAAGTTGCGTAAACTACATACTTTTTACTGTGATTTTAGAGACACATTTAAACTTGCCAATAACCGGTTCTTATACTGTAAGTTATGATTAAGTGTGAATGTATTCATTATAGTATGTGAAAACTTTATAGTTATAAAGTGTGAATAAAATTATTATAAAGTATGAATAAATTAATTTGTAAGCTATGAATAAATTAATTTGAAAAGTGTGAATAAATTAATTTGAAAAGTGTGAATAAATTAATTTGAAAAGTGTGAATAAATTAATTTGCATAGTGTGAATAAAATAATATGAAGTGTGAATAAAATAATTGAAAATGTGAATAAATTAATATCATATGTGAATAAATTAATTATTAGAATATAGAAATATTCGGCGCGTCATAGATTTAAAATCCAATTTTAGCTTTTAAAAGCTTCGAATAATTTATTAAAATCTGAACAACTCTTTTTCGTTAGAAAATTCGAGGTGCGATAGGGAAAACATAATTTGTTTCTATTTTGTTTTTTAGAGTTATATTTTCCTTCCACTGTCGCTTCTAAAAGGTATGCATGTACTTGCTCTACCCCTATATTTCGAATATCTGTAAAACGAGGTAATCAGCAACTCTCTTATATTGGCTACGTCAAATTTCAATGAAGTTTTATCTGTTTTTTGTATCTCTGCTTGTATAATGAAGTCGGAATTACTTATCTAATACACTTGATAATATTTCACCCGGCACAACAATAAAAAGCCATTCTTTTGTGGTAAACACAACTTTAATATTTTCAAATGTACTTCACTATAAATCTAAATGTGTTATGTAGGTAAGAATCTCGTAGTACTTTTGCCGCTTTTTTCACAAAAATATGAGGGTAACCTTTGATTGTTTGAAAATATACGGCCGTTGCGAGCATAGGCAGCCCTGAAATCTGTTTATACTCAGTCTTCGACTGCATTGTTTACGCGCGCGGTCAGCTTCTACTGTCTGTACTAATTACTGTATTATATATTGATAAGGTTGGCAAATTAATTTTCAAGCCAACACGTATCTTCGGAGAAATAGTAAAAAAACTTTGGAACTACACAGCAAGGAACACAAAAAAATACATTACATACTTACTTATGATTCTAGACGTATAAGACGGCACCAGTGATAAAAAGTTCTTCATTTCTGAAAGTTAAAATTAATGTGTTTAATTAGTTTATATAACTTTATATATTTGGCTATATTGATGAATATAGAATTTGAAGTTAAAAGCGAGTAAATAAGCGCACTTTTCTTAGTTAAGTGATCCAAAAAACGAAGCTAGCTATAAACACGTTTTATTACAGCTTCGGCTAGAAAAATAACCGCAGTTTAATAAGCAAGTATACCCCTTCAGCGATTGAAGGCAAATTAAATGGCTACCGATTATTGATGTTGATATTTTGGGGGACATAATTAATTCTATGCCATGCATGCACGGATATAATGTTTAGAGTGCAATTTGGAACTTGTTCAAAATAATAACGTATATATAGTGCTTCGTGTCTTTGTCTTCGCTGTTGCTTAAAAAGTACTCTACAGTGTGCCGTCTCAAACAAAACAATAATGATCTCAAAGCACTTATTTAGGACACTAGGTATTTTGGCATTGTTGGCTCACTCTGTCTTACAATCATGCTTTATCTATACGAGTGCTGGCCAACGTTATCTGTGAACAGGGCCGTAGCTAGAAGTTTAATTGGGGGGGGGGTGTATATTCATATATTCGTCTTATGCTCAACTGATTTCTTTCGTACGCTATTGTTCCTACGGTAGATAAACATGAATATATGAATGAATATCCCCCCTCCCAATTAAGCGATCTAGCTACCGCCCTGTCTGTGAATTTTCTTTGTTTTCCATGTGCACAAGGAAGTGAAGATCGATGTAGCAATGCAATTCAATTAAATCGTATAACGAAAGTGTATTTTTAATTAAATATGTCCAGGGCGGTCACTAGAAGAAAAATGTATATTCATATATTCATGTTCGTACAACCGTAGAAACAATAACTAACAAAAGACATCAGTCAGGCATAAGACGAATATATGAATATGCAGCCCCCTCCCCAATGAAGTTTGTAGCGACGGCTCTCAATGTATTTTAGCGGACTAAAAGTGGGCTAGAGCAGTCAGTATGACCTTCAATTTTTTCTGCGCGGTAAAACTCTATTTAACACAAAAATTATGTATGCTCTTGGAAAGTGCTAGGCCAATGCGATCATGAAAATCTCTGAATACATTGAAATAAAATTTAAGAACGAATAATTTATTGAAGGATTTATAAAGAACTACAAACTCATCAGTTCGCTTATGGATAATTTTTCATAAAATATTTCTTACACCAACAAACTTATCATGCCTGAAAAAAAATGAAAAATGAACAGCATTCCATGACTATAGTAACTTACCGTTTGATTTATCGTATAAATTAAAACCACCAGCGTAAGCATAAGAGTGATATTTATTCCACCCAAATACAAGAAGACCAAACTTCACAGACGACGAAGCATGATACACTGTAACCGTACTTTGATCCCACAAACTTATCACAGTCCAAACATAATTTGTTCCATTGATTCTTTCCCATCGTGAGTTATTCAATTTTGTTCTATTCATATACAAACCATCGATATTTTTATGCTGTATTAAAATTGTTATTGAATCGTGATACTCTGTACCAAACCGCGGCAGTGCCACGTGATAATATGAAAGAAACTGACCAACTGATGGAAGAACCATTATTGAAGGTTCCGCATCAATCCCACTAATTTCCTCACCTCTGATGTATTGCACAACTTGGCATGGGTTGCTACACTTGACATATGATGTCAAACTATTTCCAAGTATTAACTCTGTGTAGGTCCCAAGTGACAAAACTTTTGTCCAATGTGAACCTTCAACAATGGTATTATTTTTATAGGCAAAGATTCGAAAAATATCCCCCTGTGATTTATCCATTGTTCCTACTGTTGCCAGAATGTATTCATACCCCCACAGTGAAACAGGTAACAAGGTCGCTTCCAGAAAAGAGTTCCACCCAAAAATATCAGCGCAGCTTACGCTAGATATCACAGACACTGGCTTGCTTGCAATAACAAGTGTTCCAGATAAATCAGATGAACTAGATATATATAGCGCGTCAAGTTTTTCAAGAACTTCAGTTATATATAGTTGTGATGATTTGCCATCATACAGGAGTCCACGATAATGTAAAACAGCATTCTTGTTCGGGAAAACGTTAATCGTATTGTTGTTATGTGCTGATATTACGGCCAAACTTGCGGAAGTACATGATGGATACGAGGCAACCACGTAAACGAAACAAAGGGTGTTAATTGGTAAAGCTAGTTTTCCATCAGTTCCGAAGTTATTGTTTCCACCAAAATTCAAACACGAAACTGAAATATTTCTCGATGATGAAATCTCAATACCTTTTTGTAGGAATGCCCAATTGTTCATTCGCAGAGCAATTGGTAGCTTATATTCAAAAACTCCTTCTTTGTCAATGTGTACCGAAAAATTCCAAGGGTTACCAGTCTGAGTGCTAAAGATCGTGATATTCGTTTCATTAAAAGCAAGAATAGATACACCAATGTAAGCATCGTGACGACTATTGGGCATAAATCCAACAATAAAGTGAGTACCGTAGTTGCTTAAATTACCTGTAAAAAGTAAACATGGAGGCAATCAATTATTAATGACTGTTAATGGTATGAGTTATTTAAAGCTGTTTGCAAGAACAACGAGGAATTTCTTTTTAAACTAATCGGCATACTTGTTCACATTTTTTAGACAAAGCAAATCAGAATGCCTAAATTTTTAATACTTCATGTAAAATGGTAAATAATGTACCTTTTCTCAGGAAGTAGTAATAATCTATGTATTATGATTATAATTAGGTTACTGAAAACGTAAAAGAAACTCGAAACCTAAGCTCAAACGTGAGCTAGAACTAAAGCAAGGAACAAAAAGTATATTGGTTGATGCTCTATTGCTGCTCTATGGTTTACGTTGCTTATCGAAAATTTATAAACATTGTAATATGTATATTTGTTAAAATCGTTGATACTAGCTATATTTTCGCACATACAATATACACTTTATTGTGATAAATGACATTGCATCAAATTAAAATGAAACTAGGAAATCGGATAACAAAATAAGTAAATATCTTAAGGTCTGTTCACACGATGCAATTGGAGCCAATTCACTTCTTTGGCTTCAGCTGTTAGTTTGAAAAGCGTTTAATTAAACGCGGCGGATAAAAGTTGTATATATCATTGTCTGCCTGTATATAGTTTAATGGTCAATGAATGTGGATCTCTAATGCATAAGATGAAGCTAGACTCAGTCATTTAAAGTTATATATTATACTGTATATGAAAGCATTTTTTAAACTTTGGCTTAATATCCACCGTTAATGCAAAAGCCTTTTGAATGACCGCCCACTGACGTATAGAAATGCTGAATGCAGTCTCTTATTACTAATATAAAGCAATATGTACTGGCTTCAATTTATTCACTGCTCCATAATATACATTTCAAAAAACACGATAATAAAACATGTATCAGAAGTGAATTGGTTGGTGAAATGGTCGTGTGAACAGACACACAATTGCATGAATTTCGTGAAATTATGTTAATTGGAATTGCATAGAATGAATGTACGGTGGTCATTTAATATACACACCTGAGTCTTTGCATCGTCACTACATAGAATGAAGTTGTGCAAACTTAACTACAATAATATAATACCTACTACGATAATATAATATCTATTGCTCATACGATTGTATTAGGTACAACAGAAACTTCGATTGTATACTTTTCCACTTATGGCGTCTGTTCTATGAAAGGAATGCTATTTAATTCATGGCTCGTCCAGCTTCAATTCAACTCTCCCCCGACAAAACGGAATATGGCAGAGCGTGAAGCAATCCTTACCTTCGGGTTTCCATTCCTGATGAATATCAGCGGAAAAACAAGAAGAAGCGAAGATTATACAAAGAAATACACGCAACTTCATTAACTGCACAAACAATCGCACTGATAAATCCATTGTCTCAAATACCGTATACAGCCTTAATGGTAAAAGCTAGACGGTGTGATATACACTTGTTCGTTATATGCAGTAAACAGCTTTAAGGCAATGGTAAATACTTATCGTTGAAAATCAATTAAATAATAGTCCTTCCTTGCTAAAATAAATGGTGATTTCCTTGCCCAAAATGATTATTGGTAAATAATCATAGTAACAAATGACTTAAAGCGTACGTGCGGTCAATATTGCATTAAATATATCACAATTTGATTGATCAAGCGTTTTGTTGTGTACTCGAAAAGTTGATTTACAAGAGAATCTAATATACTGGAATCACGACACGACGATTTTAAGACAAAAGGCAAACTAATTAGATTGTTATATTGGAATGCATGCACCACATGCATGCAAGGCATTCTGTCACATGTTCAAATAGCTAGAGATCTTCAAGGACAGAATTCCAGGAAGCTTTATATTAAATTTGAATTTGTGTGGACTAGGCATTCGATGCATGTATTTCAGTTCGGAATAAAGTCAACTATTCGATACAACCTAGGAATCATCTCCTTGCATTCCGAATTGGATTTACATACCAAACATAACATAATGCTCACATGCTGCTTTTAACTTTAATTACTTTCACTTTACGTTAAATCATGCACTACATGGTTATTTACAAAACGGTACTGATCACGCAGAATCCATAAAAACCATGTTTCCTCTGAATTGATCTTTTCAAATATTTTCAACAACACATGCGGTTTAGTGTCTATCACATTACACTTCTCCGATCTCCTCGACAATTACTTCGGACAAAAAATGCATAAAAATTATTAATTTTCCCCATGTTTTGGGCAAAGGGAGTTAATTTGCTCTCTTTGTCCGCGGAAAATCTCCGAATTTTATTAAGTGGGATGGGGGCATCTTACTTAGAACTAAAACACTCGCAGAATTTACACGCCGTTATACATCCGGGGTGTAGTGCGCGTATTTTTCGTTTGTCACGTTTAGAGGTGACATAACCAGTTTCAAAAATTTCCCACCTATGGTCTTTGGTTCGTATATAAAACGAAATTAACGTTCGATATCAGGATATACAAACGAAAACACTTGAAAGACATATTTAGATAAGTAAAATTAATTTTAATCTACTTTAATGTTTAGGCTATAATTTAAAAATATTTGCTTTTATAATGGTCTTTCGCGGCTTATTTACTTGTCTTCTTTGTGTGTACTTTTATCAATCTGAATTTAGTCCATATAATAAATAGAATATTACACGGTTTGCTCTGAGATATGCATGGGCTCTATGTTCTCGTGTCAAAAACAATTTCCCACTCGTTCGCTGCGCCCACTCGTAAGATATTGATTTTGCTACTCGAACATAGAATCCATATCTACTCAAAACCGCGTGTAATATCCTATAATTATTTCATCATCACACGATAGAACACTGGATAATTATGGTACCATATGAAACCACCCTTACCTTCTGGTTCCATTATTGAAGAAATTATTAATCAGCAGCAAAACAAGAGGAAGCGAAGATTATACCAATAAATCAATGAGACTTCATTGAGTGCACAAACGCTAGCATGGATAAAGCCATTGTCTGAATGCTAGACTGCCTATGAGACCGCCTTCCCAGTAAAAGCGGGCGTGTTTCGCTTCTTTGTATTTACAGTAGACAACTTTGTGGAAATTGTCAACTGGAAAACCAAACAAATAAAAAAAGTCTGGTCCTAAAATGAAGGTGACTTCCTGACTGTACATGGGGTATAAAAAAGAAGACCTTTATAAATTAAACTATTGTTTTAATTTTAATGCCCCGTGACTATGCCCAGCCCTTGAATGGGTAAAAATAATGTCAGCTTTGTGCATATATTACATATCTTTGTCACAAGCATGCACAAAAGCCTTTCTGCCCCTGGGAATTTGACAAAACTTCTAAAAGCACAATAATGCATGCATGGCAAAGAAAAGTTTTTATCGTCCTGACTTATATCCAGACGTAAAAAATACGTACGAACAAAACACGTTTTGAGAAAGGTTCGTCATCGAAATCCATCGGGGAAAAGTACAACCTTGGACAACGCCGGTGCCAAATTAATATGCAGTTAATACTCGTACCATGGATTAGATTTTAATCGATTGTGCATTTTGTGCACCTGTCGGTGCACAATTGGTCAAGCATCTAAAGTGCACCTCTAGGAATTGAAAATGGCTCTTAATCCTTCATTTACAATGCTAAAAGTCGTTTTACTGGAACTACGTATGGTGCAAACCAGAACAATATTAATATTCTTGCATATTTAAGTGGTTGCGGTTTTTTTGAGACACCCTGTAGTTAATGACTTTGAAAACTCTTAAAATGCGATCAATTCCTCATTTACAGGCAAATGAGCATAAAAATTATATATATTCGCATATTTTTTACAAATTTAAATAATTTTAATGCCTTTCCCTGCGCTGGGCGCGCACGTGGGGGAACTATTCACTCGTGCACCACATTGACCGATAATAATTTATAATGTTGTGGAAATTTTGACAGCTTTTGTTGCAAAGGTGTGTTCTCTAAGGCCTAGGTTATACGTCGAATTTTAGTCGCGTCGAATGCAATTCGAACGATAGATAATGAAATGGTAATGAGGTTGGTCATCCTACTATCTATTGTTTGGATTGCATTCGACGCGACCAAAATGTGACGTATAACCAAGGCCTAAAGGCGATTCGTAATGACGTACGCTCCGCCCGCGCGGGTGAAGCGCGCTTTGTTTTTCCGTGCGGTCACGGTCGCATGGGCAGATTTTCAAAAGCCGCTTCGCCCGCGCGAGTGAAGCGGACGGGAATGGAGAATAGCCTTAAGTTCGCTGTTCTGATAGCGTTCCTAGGTGATATGGTATGTGTAATTTCCGTATAGCAGTCACGTCCGGAACTGTCTGTAGGGGGAGTGTGAACAAAAAATTGTCAAAAACCACTCATGGGTGCCAAAAAATTTCACTTCAGAGCTGGTTGGTAAAGACTCTTGCTTTACTTAAGCCGATTTTTTTCAAGCGACATTTTTCGCGCGAAGCGACTTCATTCCTTTCTATTTCAGCAATTTGTCCCAGATGATCGCAGTTAAGAGCTCTGAAATAGAAGTAAGAGTGAAATATAACAATTTTATCTATTTGTTTTATATGATAAAATCGAAAAAAATTCCGAAATCAAACAGGCGACATATCACGCGTGCATGAGCTATAAGATTGACGAAATGGTGTTGGCTAGCTTAAGACACGTGCTAAAAAGTGATTGGCTGACAAAATAAAACAAGAAATTACTGATTAAATTCGTTAAAATTATCTGTCAGGTCACTTCGTGCGTCTGTGCTCTTATAGATCATGGCTCTCGACCAATGAAATTGCTTGAATTCTTAACGTTATTATATAATTGTTAATTATTTTTTCAGTGTTAATCGAACTAAGTGGCGTCGGCAGCATCGCTAAGTGGTTTAATTTTTATATTACTATCTACTATATTAAATTTTATAGTCGTGTTTGTTTATAATTGGGCTGTATTTGTATTAGATTGTGTAGTTGGTTGATAACATAAAAACAATTTTGAATTGAGCAACACTGATCAAAATAATGAACTAAAAAATGAACCTCATGAGCCCACACAATTCTTACCGGCCAGCATATTTGGCCATATATGATTATATTTTAATCCCATGGCCATGCCACATTTATGGGAATTGCAATTATATAGGGTTGCTATATTCTGTAAAGATATCGGTATACTTTTTATTAAACCAGAAATTAATTATTACAAAAATTACAAAACCGTTGAAAGTGAATATGAATATTTCGAACTATAGCATTATAATTCTTTAAGATCTAAATTTAGAAACAACAAGTAAAAGAGTGAATGTGCGTGCGTCAAAATATACTAGTGAAATACCGCGTAAAAAGTCATTAATTATGGTGATTAATTATAAATCAGCCCGTGCCTGTCAACTAACTTACTCTGTTTAGAGGGATGATTGCATGATTCAAAACAATTGAAAATAAGTCATAATACATCTTGGATTTTTTTAAAGGAGAGATGAAGTATCGCAAAGTGTTTTGAGCAATACTACGTTACACAGAAATCGAAAATAATGCCTAAGGGCCGTTTAAAAGAAAGGCAGCATAGTTGACAGCCATGCAGGCCAGTTACAAGTACAAGAAAAGCTTTAAATTTGCTAATAATAATAATATCATGATATATAATCAGTTTGGTAGTATTCTTTCATGACTGGATGTTCTTTGTACTTCGGAGTTGCTATTGAAGCCACCTTTATCGTTCGTATATCATATTCTTCTGGCAAAGATTCCACCGACTTTAAAATTCTAACAATGAAACAAAATATTAGGGGTGAAATGAATAGTAAGGATAAAAATATAATAGGGATGAGAGAATAGATCACATAACGACAAACTTTGGCTTGATAATTCTTCATATCATGTTCAACCTGGATTATTGTTAATTCAATAATTCAATAACGTTTCAGATTTTCAATCCAAGGTTTTAAAAACAAGTTGCATGAAATTCGTATAAGCAATTGTTGTACCGCAACGTCTGATGAACATGACTTGTACCACAAGGATTACGTATACATGAAAAGAAATATTCTCAGAATTGTTTTCAGAAACGCGCCGGCTTCAAGACAACCACGAAAGGCTCAGAAACAATCGGAAAAAGGTCACAGTCGTTTAGCAATCACAACAAAATATACGACTTACGTAAAACATGCGGTAATCATAAGAATAAACATAGCAAAGAAGCATATTCCAAGATAAACAATGATCGCGATGATGATTGATTTGACCAGCTCAAGATCCTCTTCATTCACTAAAACAAAAAGTACTCTGTTTTGACGCATTTTAACCATGCGACAATAGACCTTTCTTATAATGACGTCAAACGCGGAAAGTCTGATGTTACACGAAATTTAATTGGCTCCACAAAACTATCGAGCCAATCAAACTTCGTGTAACATCAGACTTTGACGTCATTATGAAAAAGTTCTATTTAAGTTTCGTCACCCTCATGCAAGGAAAGGCGTCGGTATGAAGCACCGTTGATGTAAATACTGTACTTCAGAGGGGAAAAAAGATTGCAAAATAAACACACTTCCCCTCTTAATATTATCATGATCTAATTCAGTGAAGAGTAGTTATAATTATAATCAATTGTTTTGGGCTCTGGTTTGTACATCTTTTGAATGGAATATTGCGCTTTGGTCGGTTGTAGGAAGGCTGGATAGCGCTATCCACCGGATAGTGATTTTTTCAACCGCTCTTAAAATGCTTGAAAAGCAATAACATTTCAGCCTTGGAAACAACAATTATTACAGAGGATCCTCAATTTAGGAGTAGTAAGATTTAAACAAAGTTATTGCTAACAACTGACGATTTTGAAGCGATTTAAAAAAGCACTATCCGGTGGATAGCGCTATCCGGCTTTCATACAACCGGCCCCAGGCCTATAACTAGCTGCTGACTAAATGAATTTAGACTTGGTTATTAAGTATATCAAATACAAAATAAGTATAAGCAAACATACCGAAGTACATTGGTGGATGGGCTGATGATGCAGCTGTAAAAGAAGTGTATATGATTATATAATTACTATTTGATGATGTACAAACGTATGCAATGTATACATTGTCTAATGAACTTGTTAAACGAAACTTTAAAACCTCAAACCCCCTATAGAATTAGGTGCATATCGAGGTCGTGATAAATAGGGGATTGCATATGCACTAGTCACAAATCCAGGTATTTTTTAATTTTCTTTGAAAGCGCAAACGCTCTCAAATATATCAATATCGAACCCCCTGAATTATCGCACGTATAACAGTCATCACCTATTTGAAAACATGCAGTGTCAGATTCACATCTCTGTAACCTAAAATCTCTGACAATACCTGTGCAATTTGGTGGAGGTCCTTCATAACCAGTGTTACATTCACATCTATACGAACCGTCTGTATTTATACATTTTGCTTCAGTTCCACAGTCAACACGAGTATTTGATGAAGAATCACATTCATCGTAATCTACCGCGAGTCAATTAAATGAACGTATAGTTATAGTCATGATACCAATAAAAGAACATGAGATATCTCACAATACCCTGTGCAACTAGGTGGAGTTCCTTTGTATCCAGTATCACATTCACATCTATATGAACCCTCTGTATTTATACATTTTGCACTATTACCACAGTCAACACGAGTATTTGATGAAGAATCACATTCATCGTAATCTACCGCGAGTCAATTAAATGAACGTATAGTTATAGTCATGATACCAATAAAAGAACATGAGATATCTCACAATACCTGTGCAACTAGGAGGAATTCCTTTGTATCCAGTATCACATTCACATCTATATGAACCCTCTGTATTTATACATTTTGCACTACTACCACAGTCAACACGGGTAGTCGATGAAGAGTCACATTCATCGTAATCTATGTATTGGAGTCAATTACATTTGCGTAGTTAGTTTTGATCATTACAAAATACCATGAAAACATCTCCCATAATACCTTTGCAATTAGGTGCAGTTCCTTCAAAGCCAGCGTCACATTCACATCTGTATGAACCATCTTCGTTTATACATTTTCCCCCTCTGCCACAGATGACAGCATCGATACCCGATGTAGAGTTGCATTCATTGTAATCTATATAATTTGGAGGCAGTTATATTTATTGGTTTGTTATTAATAAAGGTGGAATTATTGTTTCGTCAAAATAATTGAAAAGAAAGGAAATTAAAGGACATTGGCAACATATTTTTTTATTGCTTACATCTAACATATATATCTGCGAAATACTTAATTTGTCGTTACGGGCTTTTCAAAGCGTTTAATTGTGAAGAAACGTTGTTGGAAAGTCTTCCTAAATTTATTAGACATCCGCCATCTTGAAAGGCTTCCAATATGTTAATTTATGCATGAAATATTTCGTGACGTCATGTGCAGGTAAACAAATATACCGGCCTGTATTAATATATGTGCCCAAAGCATTTTATGAGTAAAAATTTAGATGTAGTAAAGTTTAATATTGAGTTTACCGCGAAGCAAGTAAAATGTATTCAACAGCAAAAGTTTTCTGCCGCATTGATGCGATAAACGCAAACGTTGGGTCGTAAAGCAATGATTTCTGGCTGCTTTATAAAAATGTCATACGCGCGAATCGAGAATACATTTTGCAACGCGCTGAAGTTTAGCAAATAAGATGTTTTTAACAAAATGCTACTCTTAGACAGAATGAGAATAAGAATGCTAAAAGACACATTTAATTACTCTTGCCGACGACACCTTACATAGGGCGGCATGGCTTCATCTAAGAAAATTGGAAAGATCAAAACGACCTAGCACGGCTACGAGAGAGACAAATCAGTGTGTTGACATATCACATTTCACCAAATGCACTCGTCTTATAAATCATAAAACCATCTTATAGGATGAATATATATTAAAGAATATAACTATAATCCAATCTTAATCTCGTCTGATACCGAAAACAGCACTATCATTCTGAAAAAGGACGCGCATTTGGTTAAAATTTGGCAAAATGCATGCTGACCGTGGCGTCGTATTTATCATTTTCCGCAAGTTGTTTTTGCAGCTGACGCGCGGCAAAGAACAAAGCGGGCAAACGGCGCACCTCGTGTAAACGCCACACATGTTACTTCCCTACCATAGTCATATACTTCAGTCTTGGCTGAACTGTCTAGCAAAATATGTATTGCCCAGTTTACGGGTGTAATAGTAGCAGTAAAACAGATAGTGGTATCCATTTTTTTTCGTTTCCGAGTGGAAAATCAGTCGACCAGCAATACAGAAGAAAGGCGTGGATAGAATTTTGTAAACGGAAATCTTTTTCACCATCTTCGTGCACTAGAATATGTTCTCTGCACTTTAACGAAGATGCGTATGAACCAGGAAATTCACCACAATTCCTTCAGAGAATAGAATGCAAAGAAAAGTTTTCGGTTCGTTTAAAAAGAGATGCATTGCCAACATTAAACAAGCCCTTAGCAGATTCCAACCAACCGAAAAGCATTAAGACGAGAGAACATACCTTGAGAAGACAACGAAAAAAGGTATATTTTATAACTGCTAAACGGATTTTGAAAATGAAATATTTTCTCTCTAATCTACATTGCATGTTTATTAGGGGATTTTGGAGATGTGTTCGGAGGGACAACCTTCAACCTCAAAGGAGCAGGCGTCTACATCCGACGAACAAAGCGGTGAAGAATTAGACGTCCAGCAACGTGAACAAGAAGATGCCCCAATATCTATGACATGCACGGCTTCAACACAGACCACCGAAGCGCTCAATCCTCCACATACCTCTTCCAAGTCCACACAAACAACCATCATGTCGAACTCAGTTAAAACTCAAACCGTCATGGACGCGACTTCAACATTCTTTCAAACTACAACTAAACCACAAATGATATCGACTCCAACACAAACCATTTCGGACGCATCATCGACAACCTTAAATATACAACCTAACCAGGAGAGCCTCCAAAACCAGGCACAACTGGATGAAGCTACTCAGTTGAAGTCGACATATGACACGATAGAAACCAGCGTCCACCCCGAGGAATACAGCAGCTGTATCAGTGAAGTTTCCTCAAAAGAAGAAGAGTACGTACCAGGCAAGGAAACATCGAATGAAACGGAGAGCACGGACGAAGAAGAACCAGACCAGAGGCGTGTTTTACTGAGACCGGGGAAATTACCAGAAGAACAGATTAAATTGATCGTGTTCGAAGATTCCATCATGCAAGTGTTTGGTAAATGCTGGAAATGTGGTGCTAATTGTACCGTTGCCATCGAAAGCCAGATAGGATCATTTTGCAATGTTATTAGCTCTTGTTGCGTGGAGGAAAACCATATACAAAAGTGGACGACAGGCCCAACAAACAATTGTATGCCCATATTTCACCTTTTATTGGCTTCTGGTATCCTTGCTACAGGGTTGGAATCATCCAAAGTTCTTAGACTGTTTTCTGCTTTGAGGATTCCTAACGTAAAGCAACGAGAATTGTCAAATATATTGAAATGTTATGTCATTCCATCAGTTTTAAAGTTTGGAAAAAGGAACAAACTTCGAAGCTGAAAGAGGTCGAAGGAAGATCGATTGTAATTGCTTCAGATATGCGTGTCGATAGCCCTGGACACACCGGTCTTCTTGGATCGGGCAGTACAATGGATGTTGACAGAAACGTCATATTGGATACACAAGTCATTAAGGTACTGAAAAGTTCAAAATTTATAAATTGTTAGCCTGACAGTGTTACAAAAATAACAGTGATATAATTTTCTTCTATGGTTTCCTATTTTAACAGTCCACGGAAGTGAAAAACTCCAATGCGATGGAGTTGGAATCGTTGAAACGCCAATTAAAATGTTTAGAAGATAATAATGTCAAAGTGTCAAAGTTGGTAACGGATCGACATCTTCAAACAGCAAGCTACATGGCGAATGAAAAGCCAGAGATTGAACATTCTTATGATGTGTGGCATGTAGCGAAAGGTGCAAAACCGATTCTCTTTTTTAGTTAGACCATACGGAAAGACCTTCTAATTATTTCCTTATTGCAATAATGTTCCAAAATCATTTTTAGGGGAAAAGAAAAAATTGACAAAGGTTGCCAAAAAGAAAAAATTCCAAAAAATTCAACCATGGATTGCTGTAAGTTACAATGACCAATTAAATACACAGGATATATTTAATAATATTAAAATCAAGTTCATACTTTCAAGTCACTACAAAGGCAGATCAACATGTATACAAAAAACTTATTATTATAAACATTATTTAATGCCATTATTTTAACTCATCTTACTGTATTTGTACTGCAGTCTATTATTAACCATATATATTGGGTTGGCAACTCAAGCACAAATGCTGATGAAAGAGAGGAGAAATGGCTCAGCTTACTTAACCATATTGTCAACATACATGAACATCCCGAAAACAAATTGTTTACAAAATGTCTTCACGAAACATTGGAAAGAGATTGGCTTAAAACAGGTTTGGGGAAATTTTAAGATACTTAATTCATTTGGTGTTTGGTAAGCAATATAGTTTTTTACCAACTTTGTGGAGTTGTGTCTATAGATATGCACTCATCATGGTGTTGTCAGTGGTAAGAGAAAGAAATATGGTATAAATGGTATATTGCTTTCACATTATAGGTTCTGCCCCATATAAAAAGCTTACTGAGATGATGACCAGGCCCCGCCTAATTGCAGCAATTCGTAAGCTTTCACAGTATCATCAGACATCAGGATTAGAGTCAAAACACTCCATTGATAACTTGCTTGCATCCAAAAACACATATTTTTCCTATCATTCACTAACTGCAAGGTACGTTTTTCTGACTGGCTCCCTGATGCCTGCACAGCATAAGCAATAGTTTGCTCTCATGCATAGTTTACTCTTATCCATGTGTCATTAATTATTTTGATAGGTTATACTGTTCCAATTTACACTACAACGAGAACAGCATTAGAAAACAAGCCAAAACTGCTGCTGGGGAGCTAAGATGGAGTATTGCTTACCCAAAGGCATTTAAGGGAGAAAAGGCTGTTGCCAAACCACTCAAAGAAAAACCAACCTATGGTGAGTATCATATATATAATTCCATACAACATGCATGCAGGTTGAGTATGATAAAATGCTAATTTAATTGAAATTCTTGTTACAGAATATGTGAACACAATTTTGAGTGAAGTTGTTACATTGCGTTCAAAGTTTCCTACTTTGAAAAAAGCCAAAGTTCATGCCAATGAAGTTCTTCCTCCTGAACCACCATCATTAGTTGAGAAGTACTTGGCAGGAGCAGAGCGACCATTGAAAGAACAGGTTGTAGCCAGAAGAAAGTCCCGGTTTAGCAAACCAGCAGTCCCTCAAGATACTCATTCATCTGTTCAAAATAGAGAACAAGAATTAAACAGGCCAAAATGTGTATGCAAAGGGAAATGTGCAACTAAAAAGTGCAATTGCAAGGCTATAAAAAAATTTTGCATTCATGACTGTAAATGTAAACAAGAAAAGTGTATCAATAGGTCTTGATTGACTACGAAATGTGAATTATATCAGTTTGGATAGAAACAGTTCATGTTATAGTAGAATTTTAGTTTCTCTGCCTATATTCAGTACCAGGTATGTTTCATCCAAAAATTAAGCAAATTAAGGCAATTTATAAAAGCAATCAAATTGAAATGGATTTTTTTGCTTATGTTTATGAATAAATTTCTGGTAATCACATTTATCAATTGACAAGATTGGCAAAATTTATTTAGAAATGTTTTTATATTATATGCGGGTATCATTGTAAAGTATATATATAGGGATATACTATTTTCAAGATTGTAATTCTCCAAATATTAAATACGTGATTTTTCTGAAATTATATAAACTGGCATTAAAAAGTTCTAATTTTCAACGTGAGATAAAAATTCTAACCTTTTACATGTTTTCGAATATTTAAAATGAGTGTAAAGTCCTTCGGGCGATGCAAATTGTTCTCGTATTTTCAAATAGACGCAAGCAGGAAAAGGCCTTCGATTCTTTCTGCCTAAAATCTGGAATATCCAGCGGGAACATCGTTGGTACGATACAAGTCGATACAGCTTATGAGTTCTTTCCAAATCTTCGTCGTCAACTGGCCAGTTTTCTTCAAGATAACGACAGACATCGATCTTTAGAACTCCTTCAGCGAGCATGTTATTAATAAAATCACTATGCGCTGTCAAACACTTTTCGCCAAGCGTTTCAACTTCGTTAAGTAGGGCATCATCTCATTATACTCCAATGCCTTCTCATGGCAACAAAAACTTTCGATAGTTTTCGACATAAAGTTACAATTGCCACACTTGCACCAATCAAGAGACTCTAAGCGCCAAGCATTTTGTTCTTCGAATATATGGTCGTGTTCTTCGTCAGAAGATAGCGATTCACTATCAACGTCCGAATCGCTATACTCGCTTAAATTTTGGGACTTTTCGCCAATTTCTGGCTCATGCTGGTACGGTAAAACTTCATCAACCTGGTTTTTATGAATAGTTTCCATTACAATAAAGAAACTTTCGGACTTTAAGTCTTTAACACCCAGACAACAAGTTCATCTATATAAACATGTGCTGTTGCTTTGCTCTTACCTGCAGATGACGTCACGACGGTCAAGTTGCGCAATATATAATTTTTGTGAATCTGGGCCAAGATGGCGGCTGATAAACGCAGTCCCGGTAAAGAAAAATGGGTATAAATCGAAAACAGTAATATTTGGTGGTCGAATAATAGCATATTCATGGTCAGCTCATTAAATATGTTTAGAATAAGCAATAAAAAAATCTGTTGCCAATGTCCTTTAAGTTAAATCGTTACAGGAAACATGCATCTCTGGCGTGTTGAAAATATTTTTAAAATGAAATAAATGCAGTTGCAACCGAAGATGTGCCATATTTTGGTGGCATGGGGGGGGGGGGGGGGGGGCTAACATCGCAAAGTTTTCGGCAAAAAGAAAAATTATCGCTTGCACTTGGAATTCTTAGTAAAAAGTCAACAGTTTAAATTGAGCAGTTATAAATTCTGAAATTCACTGAAATGTCGATAGACGCAATATAATGGCAGCACTCTTTCTAAAATACTCAGGGGACTTATTATCTAAAATATTGGGGGGGGGGCACCATTTACCATACAGGTCAAATTCATTGAAATTTACTGCAGCACAATTGAAATTGAGCACATTTTGGCTCAACATTTGTTGGAGTGTCTGTTTCTCTTATAATTAAATTAGTGCATGTAACGATATGAAATGCCTAATATGCTGTATTTTTACAAATGAATAGTTCTGTGTAAAAAAGAATTGAAAAAATGTGTATTAATGGCATAATTGCACGTCGCACAAATCGCATAATTGATGATGAACAGTCACTAACTTGTAGACTTCATTCTACTTGTTTCAATAAGTACTATTTAAAATACGAGCGACCGATCTGTATGGGTTTTTACAATGGCGAGTGCGTAGCACGAGAATTATTTTATGGAGAATTACAGATGTATGCATGTGACCAAAATACTACGCAATGATTGTAAGTTAGATCATTAATTATTCATGATTTCACAAGGTGAATTAAAAACTGGTCATATCATTACAGAAGTTATCGATTCAATTTCATATCATTTTTCAGGCATGTGTAAGTTCATTGGCGTCATTCGAACGTTACTTTCTTTCCAAGAAACAAGCTGGCATAACAGAATAAAATTATATGAATATGGTCAACTCAATTAACGTTCGATTGACGCACATGTGCAAGGCTATAAAGTGGCTCACAAACCTGTGGAGGGACAATAGTTGTTATTTAACAGTAGAAATTCTAGTTTATTTTGTGTGATCGAAAAGAACGAAATACCTTTTCACTAATGTAAAAATAAAATAATAATATTCGCCATTTTAGCGTATAATCTAATCTAATGGTCAACTAATGTATTTGATCGACCCTGTATAGAGACAAGAGAGGAAAGAGAATAGTTTTATATAATTATAGAGGTTATGAAGAGTAGTGATTTTTTTCTAAACAAGGTTACAATTTTAAACTCGTAAAATGCACATCTTTAAATCTCAAAACGACGGGCAAGGAAATAGTAGAGACTGACCTTTATATTGTATTGCTTCGTTTACGCTTCCAACAAGTTTAAAATCCCCGAGATATGTTTCATTCTTTGTAACATTCAAGCTTGATTGCATGACCTCTTGTGCGGATGACAATGTCACATTGCTTTTAGGTTCAAACGTCGCAACGTATGTCGCAACAATTGATCCTTGCCTGTATAAAATTATACAAAATAATGACTTAGGCCAAGGTCATACGTCGCGTTTTTTTCGCGTCGAATGCAATTCAAACAATACATAATGAGATGGTAAACCTAATTCAGCCTCATTATCATTTCATTATCTATCGTTTGAAATGCAGTCGACACGACAAAAATGCGCCGTATGAACTAGGCCTTAAGTACTAATTATTATAGCTACCATTGGCTAACCCAAAAAGCTTGTTGCCATAGTCTACTATAATCGCTATTATTATATTATAAGACGCTTGCTAAGCGTTTACTTGACCTAAATGAGTTTCTTTGCTTGGGCTTTTAGTTTTGATAGTGTACAAAAAATAATTATTCATGCAGTGCCGTTTAGCCTCGATCGAGCACATAGAATATGCATGCCTACATGCGTTTAGTTTTGATCGAGTACACAGAATGCGTGCGATGTCGTTTAACTTCGGTGAAAGCGTACAAACAGAAAATTCCTGGGTGCGCATTACAAATACCTGGTGCGCATATTGAAACGCATTATTATTACACTTTTTGTTAAAGTTACGTGTCGAAATTACTGCCAAAATGTTCAACTATACAACATTTCACAAGCAGATCAAATCGTTTCTCCCATTAGAAGCTTTGTATGTACGAAATTTCTGCCACTGAAATTATCATTCGCCTAATCAAATTGCAAAGTTTTTAAATGATAAAGTAAAAACGATTACGATACAAAAATGGTACACATTTACCTAAACCCAGTAATTCGGCTGCCTGTGTATTGACTTGCAAGGTTGCTTCCAAGGTAAATATTGTCAATCTATTTTTAGAAAATGAAGTAGAAAAATTTAACTGCAAGTGAATGTGACTACCTTCAATTCTTACTTTATATGTTCCTATTGATGTTTCGAATATTTAACAATTAGTCGCCGAAGGCAAGGTGATTACAAGCCTATACTCACTGAGCCTAAGGCGAAGTAATCACCGCGGTTACAAAGGATATAGTTCTCCACCTAGTGTAGGCTTGTAATCACGAAGCCTGAGGCGATTTCGAGGTGTTTACAAATAATAATCAACACAATTTCATAAAAATTATATTCACTTCAAATTTCTTATTTCAAAAAATCAACAAAATATTTCAGGATACTAACCGCAGCTTGAAATAGTAAACTAAGCGCATACCAGGCAAGGCTATTAGGATTGAAAAGGTCTTGATCAAAATTACCCACACTAAACACAACAATGCTTCCTTGAAATGACATGACATCTAAAACCACGAAAACATAATTATTAACAATTTAAGTAAATTTATATACCTAATTATATGTAGCTATAAACTTCGGCATAATCCTGAACGCTTAACACCAAAAAGGTTTACAGTGTTTTTTGAGCAGGATTTTTTCCATTGGCCCTTTCGGAGAAATAAGTGCATTCTTATCGCCATTTTCACTTACGTTCAGTTAAAAAAACCCCGCTATAATGCTTTGAAAAGCAATACGAGGAGAAATAAGTAAAGAATTCATTCTAACCTCTACATCGACCAGTTGTTTCACTGACCATTTGCCCTGGATTTCGACAGTAACATCGGTAATTACCGGGGTAATTTTCACAGTTTTCATCAGAATGACAGCGAGATGCTTCTAAGCATTCGTTGGCATCTATTTGAATATTTTATAGAATTTTTTAAAAAAACAAATAACTATAATATTTGGCTAAATATAAAACTGTCTAATGTTGTTAAATTATGACCAGTAATTGTGTTTTAAAATCAGTCTGTTCTTTTTTAATTGCTACCTTCACAGGTCGTTCCATTGCCATGATAACCATCCTTACATTCACATTCATATGAGCCAGTTGTATCATTACAAATCGCGTTCTCGTCGCAAGGGGAGAGCAGACATTCATCAATATCTAAACAAGTTATTTTATGATTGTATATCTGACTTTATTTTCACTTCTTTTGTTTGCGGTTTTTTTTCCAGATGGCTTCAAAATATGATTGAAAATATAATCCTCAAATTTTAATTACAAATTTTTAGAAACGCGCCTAAACGCTCGCAATGAAATAGTGTGTTTTCCTTACTTTCACAGGTTGTTCCATTTCCAGTAAAACCAACTTTACATTCGCAAGTGAATAAGCCAGGAATGTTAGTACAATCCGCATGATTATGGCAATTGTCAGTTTTCAGAAAACATTCATCGACATCTAAAAATTGAGTATGCCGTATAATAAATAGTACCCGCATTGGTGTGAAGTTCCATATTTTATCGAACAGACTAGACTGAAATTCTAGTTGATTAATATGCATCGCCCCTTCTGGAATGAATGGAGAAAATCCACTCTCTCAAAAATTCTGGGGGCTATTGTATGAAATCCGGATAGCGCTATCCACCGCAATGTGATTTTTTTGACCGTTCTAAAAATGCTTCAAAAGCGATGTCATTAATCTTTGGAACAAAAGTTATTAAAGAGGGTCCTTTATTTAGGAATACTAAGATTTAATCGAAGTTATAGAAAACATCGGGCGATTCTAAAGCGATTGAGAAAACCACCCGGCGCATGGATAGAGCTATCCGTTTTTCATACAACCAACCCTAGACTGATTTATTATACGACGTATTTATTACGCTATTTTCTTAAAACATATTGAAAAACTCAACAATACGCAAAGTTTTGCAGAGAAGCTGGATGTAAATGTAACTTTTCTATACCTTCACAAGTCTTTCCATTACCACTGTAGCCGTTGTTACATTTACATTCAAATGAACCATTTGTATCAGTACAATTTGCGTTCTCGTCGCAAGGAGAGAGAAGACATTCATCAATATCTAAAGAAGTTATCATAATTATTTTACCTTTCATATTTGTCAAAAGTAGTTTATGCATTGGGGCTTGATTATATAAGGCGCCTGATTCAATTTGCAGTTTTCGCGGCGAAATGCGAAATACTTCGCCCATTTCTTTTCAATCGTGACCGCTCGCGAGCACATCATTTCCACAATTTAAAAAAAGCGGGCGAAATATTGCCCAATTTACAAGTGGAAATGGAGCTACTGAGTACATCAGCAAATCACGTCAAAAACATCAAAACGCAGTATTTGATTTCCTATTAAAAGAAATCTTGAAGATTTTCATAGGACAGCATGTCCAACACTTACTTAGATACGTAAAGACTATATACCCTAACTGATGGCATAGAGCATTTAGTTTGCAATCGTTAACGATCGCTTTCATTATCGGAGTGAAACGTCATTTTCTCTCTCAAGTGCGTTCACAAATACGAGAATAAGAAAGTTCGTTCTTACTTTCACAAGTTGTGCCATTTCCGCTGAAACCGTCTTTACATTTGCAAACAAACGAGCCAGGTATATTGGTACAATTCGCATTATCATCACAATTGTCATTTTCTGAAGAACATTCATTGATATCTAAAGAAGATATATTTCCATTTACATTTAGCTGCGAATAATTAATTGTTCCAAATATCAGAAAAAAGGCTCCGAAACAAGTAAACAACTATATTGTCAAAAAATTGACGAAACAAGTATTGTCAAAAAATCAAAGGATTAACGGATTAATTTATTTTGCATAAATTTGATATAATCACCTTTATGACATTCATTTGCCAATTTTGCGGGAGAAAAATGTTAAGTGTGTATATTTTATTTTTTTATTTATGTTTACCATCACAATCTGTGCCAATTCCAGTGAAACCTCTATTGCACGTACAGAAGAATGAACCAGCCGTGTTATTGCACGTGGCATTATCATGACAAAAATTAAGCGTGCATTCATCCACATCTGAAACAGCAATATCAATAATATGAAGTTCAGCAGCGGAAATGTAATCCAGACTCAAAGGCAGTGGCGTAGCCAGTCCGACAATTTAGTCATGCTATGCTAATATTTTGATTTTCATGGACCGTGAAAACAATGAATTTGTAAAGAAATGAAAATATCATTAAAATTTGCATAGCATGACTAAATCGCTGCTCAAAAGTACAGAGTAATAGGTACAGGTAAAAATACTGAGAATTGAAGTGACAGGGTGTGAATCAACGAACATCTATTCTTCTCAGTTGTGAAAAATTAACAGGATTTGACCCTATATGCAAGTCTTTTCGATGCCGAAGGATTGCTCTGGCCTCTGTGGATTCAGTTCCGCCACAGGACCGTAGGGTTTTTCTGAACTGTTAAGTTCAATTTAATTAGATAATATAAATTCCACCATTAAGACAACTAACTCATTTCATAAAAATTAATTGTAAGATAATTTCCTCATTCTCACTTTTTGGGACGCTCAGAAATGGAATATTGTAGCCTCACATGCAATAAAATTTGTGTTTTTAAATATCTACTCGGCTTTACTAAACAAATAGCCCCAAACATTTGTTCTACCTTGACATTCAAACCCATCACCGGAATATCCCTGATCACAAGAGCAGTGATAAGATCCAATCATGTTGTGACAGGTGGCAAAATGGTCGCAATTATTTTTATCAGAGTCGCATTCGTCAGTATCTGAAGAAGTAATAAAAAAATTACTTGATTATATAGAGTTGAGGAACTGCAGTAATTATATTACGTACTTGTATATATACGACCAATACATTTGTTGTTTCATTACGTAATTTGTTGATGAAAAAGAAACAGGATTGAAGTGGGCTGAACTTTTCATTTACAAATGGTTTATATATAGCCATCTCATACAGAAGCCCTTTTTTAGATGATGACATTAACATTGTGAAGTATAAAAGGTGACGTACAAGCTGGAAGCTGCATGGGGCTAATTTTACTACAAGTTTGTGTCTTTGATCTCTGCAGGGTTATCATTAGGAAGGAAGAACCTTGTAGCATACAATAGCTCTTCTCAATGACAACTAGCTTCAAAAGAGAAGTATAAATATTGAGCTGATTAAACAATGTAAATAATTGGATTACTGGAGTCCAGAAGGCCGCATCTGCATGGAGTACCTTCACTATAAGGTCTGCAACTGAGAGTTTCTGGATAATTACCGTTACAATTTGTGCCATTTCCATTAAAACCATTATTACACAAACAAGTATAAGATCCTTCTGTGTTGCTGCACGTGGCATTCATGTGACAATCATTTAGATGGTAGGAAGCACACTCGTCTATATCTATTTATACAAAAAAGGAAATTCTTACAACATTGAGCGGCTGGAAAATGACTTTGACAAAATGAAAAATGAACATGAAAACCCCTTTATTAAATAATTTTTTTCTATATGTACTCATATATGTTGATGTTAGATATGCAACAATAGTATATCATACCTTTACAGTATGTCCCATTTCCTTGAAAACCATCGTTGCAAGAGCAGTTGTATGAACCAATAGCATTTGTACAAGTTGAATTATGATGGCAATCATTTACTCCACGACACTCGTCGATATCTAAACAAGAGTCGAACATGAGACAAGGGACGGTTAAGTCACAGAATACCTATCAGAAGAACAACTCACTTGTTTTTTGCGTAAGTCACTCAGCAAGTACTGTAATTGGAAGCAATCACCCCCTCCTTTCCAACAGCCCCAGTTTAATATTTGCTGGAGGTGATTGCTTCCATTTACAGTACTTACAAAGAGACGTACGCAAAAAACAATGGAGTTGCCCTACTGAGGTATTCTAAGGTAAAGTGTTGACTGCATTGCTAACTACAACTCCGTTTGCCTGTCATGTTATGTGGGGCGACATTGAGTATACCAATTCCATATGTTTCTCGCTTGAATTAGCACTTCATAATATATTAAGCATAATTCAAAAAGTACTTATAATTTTACAGGAAAAAAATAATTAATCTACTATCGCAACCGTTAGCATGACAACATCCATCAAACAGACGCGTTGGATTATCAAATGCTTTTTTATGTCACACTTAGCATTAGCCGCAAACGTAATTAAAAAGCAATCTTCGCTAGTTGAGTTAAAGGCGTATATAGCAAATCTTACCTTCACATTTATATCCGTTACCAGTAAAACCATCGTAGCATGTACAATAATAACCTCCGTTTGTATTTGTGCAGGTAGCGTTGCCATCGCAATCATCTGTGTTAAGATCACACTCCTGGATGTCTAAAACATTTTCATACAGCTGTCAGAAATAATTGAATCAATCCCCTAATCTTTTTACGATAGTCATGACGACATGATACGAAACGATACGATATTGAACAATAGACGTGGCTTTTAAAAAACAACAGCATTTAAGCTGGGTTTTAAGGAGAGGCCCGTCTCAAAAATATTCCAAACGGAATCGTATATTTTTAGGCATAGGGTATAGCAATTCACCACATATTTAACATTAATAATTATTGCATCTATATTTAGATTTATGGTCGTTTTACCATTGCAATGTCTGCCATTTCCAGTAAAACCTTTTTCGCATGTACAGAAGAATGAACCAGCCGTGTTATTACACGAGGCATTACTGTGACAATAGTTAAGCTTGCATTCATCCACATCTAAAACAGAATTATTATAAGGAATTTGGTCAACAGAAAGTATAATCTGGATTATAAGAACCACTTTCGAAACGAAAATCATTATTTATTCCAGGACAATAATATAGAGATTGTAACAACAGTATATGGCCACACTTATGCACCCTAACTCCCTTCATTCATTTGAAATGTTTGAGGCATAGTGGAGTACATAATAAATTTCCAACGGCAACTGTAAATTATATCATTCATTAAATTAATAAATGAATGTGCAAGACAAGAACTGCATTCATGTTACGACTTGCTTCACCGGTTCGTGCAACCATGGGGCTTGAAACTTTTCGTCAAAATGTAACAATGGGATTAACGTTAGACCTATCTGCATTGTAAGCCCAAACAATTGAGCTTATGTATGATTTGTATGCATCTGCATTGTAAGCCCAAACAATTGAACTTATGTATGACTTGAGAGTGGGCTCAATTCCGACGAAGGATATTGATTATTTAATTTCTCAACTGTTCCTAGATTGAATTTGTATGTGCATACATTATTCCAGTCAAAGTTCAGTTACCCATTCCAATTCAAAAGACAGTTACCCATTTAGGTATTTCATATTACACAAAATCTTAACAAATTTCTACACTCTTCCTAGTTAAGGGGCATTTTAAAACGTTGTCTGCAAGTCTGTTTCACGATAAGAAAAATGGCATCTTTTGAAAAATCTATCATGCGTGTCTACAACAAAAATCATAAACAATTGTTCTATACCTTGACAGTCGAACCCATCGCCAGAATATCCTAAATTACATGAGCAGTTATAAGATCCAACCATGTTATGACAGGTAGCAAACTCGTCACAATCATTTTCACCTGAGTCGCACTCGTCGGTATCTACACCGGAATAATATAATTCGTAATTGGTATACGACACAATTCGTACTTGGTTTCCCTTTTCGTAAACTGGTCGTATCAATTGGGTATGATATTCTGGGGGGGAAATTTGAATATAGAAGAAACATACAGTAACTCTCTCCATGCAAGGTTTACAAACATTTACCGTTACAATATGTTCCGTTTCCATTGAAACCTCTATTACAGTAGCAAGCATAAGATCCTTCACTGTTGTTGCACGTAGCATTCATGTGACAATCATTCAGATGATAAGAAGTGCACTCGTCTATATCTATTTGCGAAAGCTTTTGGTTAGTTTTTAGACACATTTAGATGATGATAAACTGCTGTATTTACACACGTAAACGGCAAACATTATCAACTAAAGCTTGTTTCTACCACCGATTTTTTTAAGAAAGTTATGAGAGAAGTGAAATAAAGAAATATAGAAAAATAAATACGGGAATACAAATACCTAGGACTTTTTACAAAGTTCATGCGTGCTAATAAAGTTATGGGTGGATTAGGTCTCCTTGGGATATGGATCCTATGCTGGTTATGCAAACAATTCTTTTACCTTGACAGTTATACCCATCCCCGGCATATCCTTCATTACATGAGCAGTGATAGGATCCAACCATGTTGTGGCAAGTTGCGAAAACGTCACAATTATTTACAGCAGAGTCACATTCGTCAGTATCTACAAACAGTGATAAGGGAACAATGACAATTGACCAACACAACATATTTCATATTTTATTATAAATTATTATAAAGAGAACTGTCTTCAAATGATATAGAATGTGGAGGTCTGCCAAGAGTTAAGATTATAGTTACATTTACCGTTACAATATGTTCCGTTTCCATTAAAACCTTCATTACAATAGCAAGTGTAAGATCCTTCAGTGTTGTTACACGTCGCATTTATATGACAATCATTCAGATGATATAAAGAACATTCGTCAATATCTGTTTTCAAAAACATATGACTGACGTTTAGACATACAGTACACACAATATTGTACGTCGCCTCTACTATACGTATAAAAAATGTACCTAACTATTTGCATTCTTACAACATTTAGGTCCGGAAAAAAATGTCGAAATACTTTCCGGGGTAATTATTAGAATATAAATTACTCTTTAATTTCTGCATGCATAATTGCATTTTTCTGAGATGCAGTTTATGAATTTGCAATAAATCGATAATATAAATCGATAACTCGATAATATTATAGAAGTATCGAAAGATTTATCATTTTAAATAATTCCAACAGACATTGTATTTTATATTTTTATATATTTACCTTCGCAATCGGTGCCATTTCCAGTGTAACCATTTTTGCACGTGCATGAGTATGAACCAGCCGTGTTATTGCACGAGGCATTACTGTGACAATAATTAAGCGTGCATTCATCCACATCTAAAACAAATTATCCAGCAAAAGTGAACAATTTTTTTTTAATTGCAATAATTTGGATTCAAGGCAAATTTTTTTACAATCATTGAAATTTTAACAATAAGTGGAGAAAATTATGCGGACAATAAACATTGTCCATTTACTTCAGCGGCGAATAATAATAATACATAGAGGGATAGTGAGAGTTTACCAGATGCTACATTATCAAATAAATTATAGGGGCAATCGCAATCGGGAGCCCAATGGAGTACATCATAGGAACATTGGTTGTTACAAATCCACATGTTGAGAATGAAGAAAACATGCAGTATACTCGAATGAAAGAATTCAAAAAAGCAATTTTTTTCCAATATTTCAACCCTTATAATCTGAGTATTACAATAACAAAAGGCCAGGCTACTTTAGGAGTTGTTCACACGAGTCCGGTTACCGAGATTTAAGGAAGTGTAAGATAAGCTTTGACGTATTGAAAAGAGTAAATAACACGATTTTGGTAGTTAAGTGTTATCATCCCAACAATAGTATTTGATTGTTCCGTTTCAAAAATTGTTTTTCAATGTCCAAAGGTACTTACGCTTCGTTAAATCTCGGTAACCGGACTCATGTGAACAGCCCCATAGTCTATAGTATTATTTTTCGGAAAATGCACGAAGAAAGGTTTTCCATAATTTTCCAAAAACATTTGAAAAATCTAACGGCCAGTATCATACAGTAAGCCCTAGTGCAATCAATGTTTAATGTACCTTGGCAGTCGAACCCGTCGCCGAAATATCCTTGAATACATGAGCAGTTGTAAGATCCAATGATGTTGTGACAGGTGGCAAATTCGTTACAACTATTATCGCCAGAGTCGCACTCGTCGGTATCTACAAGTTTCGAAAATATTAGCAACAATTGGTATAATTTATATACACGACCATAAATATCTACATTGGCATTTTTTCCCTCAGCTGTTGCTATTTTATTTGTGAAAGCATAGACTATCGAAAGGAAGACTTCGATAGTCTATGGTGAAAGGTATTCAAATTGAGTAATTCAAGTTTCAATGACCCTAATTTTCACACTATACTTTGTAAAATATGACTTACCGTTACAATACGTTCCGTTTCCATTGAAACCGCTATTGCAATAGCAAGCATAAGATCCTTCAGTGTTGTGGCACGTGGCATTCATGTGACAATCATTCCGGTAGGAAGAAGAACACTCGTCTATATCTGTTTAATGCGAAGACGGATGCATTAAAACATATAATAATAGTAAAATAACAATATTAGCTACTTATTTGCACAACTTGTGAGATAATTATCGACACAAGTCACACGCATTAATGTTATTAGTTTGAAACTGTATGCTTGCGTCGTCTCAAATTTAAGTCATTGGTGGTGTTTGTATAATTATAAGAAAGCAGTTAAATTTTCAACCATAGCTAGTAACTTGATTGGCCAATTAGAGGCGAGGGAAATCAACATCGAAAGGCAATTTTGCTCAATTTTCGATTCTCTTTATTTTTGGTAATCATGCAGTGGAATCTATTAGCTAGTACGACGTAACATGTTTGTTAATGTAATGGTCATGTAATTGTACATCAGATTTAGTTTCAAGAATTTATGTCAGAAAGATCCGACAAGACTTTGCAATAAAAAGGTGGCTGATGAATAGGTACAGAACTATAAAATGGTAGAAGAATTATATTCGTCAATATGATTCACTTTTTACAGCTTTCCATCAATACAACTGCCAGAAAAAGACACTAAAAGTGCATAAAACTATTGATTCTCCTGCATTCTGATTGGTCATCTCTGAAGTGATAGTCACTGGTCAGTTAATTTGGAAATGTGATGATTCTTATTTGTAAATACCTCGAAATTTATATTAAAACAATTAGTCACCTCGGGCTCGGTGATTACAAGCCTTTATTCACTCCGCCTTTGGCTCAGTGAGTATAGAGTTGTAATCACCTCGCGACTAATTGTTAAATATACTGAACCTCCACCATTTCCTGCAAGCGTACAAAGGTAAACAAACATAGGAATAAATGCGTTAGGATTAGAGTTTCTGAATATCTACCGTTACAATGTGTTCCGTTTCCACTGAAACCTTCATTGCAGTAGCAAGCATAAGAGCCTATAGTATTGTTGCATGTGCCATTCATGTGACAATCATTCAGATGGGAAGAACATTCGTCGACATCTGTTTACGAAAACAAAAGATTATTTGTTAACATTTTATTTGTGCCATAAAAGGTGTATAAGAAACCTGAGCACTCCAAACTTTAAAATTGTTACATGCATTAATTGTAATACTTTAATAAGCTAGATCTAATTAATCTCTCGTCAAATTTTTAGGCGTAATTAAATAAAAACGACAGATAAAGAATTAGAGTTTACTAGAATACGTTATAACGAATTTGAATTTGAAAGGGTAAAATTTAAAAATGTATGTATTTAATTAAGATTGATAATTTTAATAAATTTTTGATTAAGAACAATCGTTTAAACGCGAAGTATGGGAGACTCCAAAATTTACTAAATCCTGCAATAACGACTGCCTCCGTTATAAATGTTATCACGTGTATAGTCGTTTACCATCGCAATATGTGCCATTTCCAGTGAAACCTTTTTCACACGTACAGAAGAATGAACCAGCCGTATTATTGCACGAGGCATTACTGTGACAATAGTTAAGAGTGCATTCATCCAGGTCTAAAAAGGAAGTATCGAAATGAAGATGGACATGAAAAGTATATTATATAAGTCGGAATCAAGCCGCATTATATGACAACAATCTGCTAGTAAAATATAATAATAATATGAAAATGGTGAAACAATAGACATAATTATAATGTTTATCATAGCTACTTCAGTGGCTGAGAATAAACAAACTGGCCGGTATTATTAGCTATAGATCAAAACATTCAAGGAAGTTTTCGTTTTGCCAATATATGAGTTCCCGAGTCGTACACATAAATATAATAATGGGATAATTTCTTTGGTGTAATTTTCTAAACCTCCTGAAACATTCTTGGCAAGTCTCCTTGACATTAACGACAACGTCAGTGAAGTCCACAAACGCTAAACGATTCTTTTACCTCGACAATCAAACCCGTCACCGGAATATCCTTGATTACACAAGCAGTGGTAGGATCCAACCAAGTTATAACAGTAGGCAAACTTGTCACAATTGTTTTCACCAGAGTCGCATTCGTCGGTATCTACAAGCAGTGATGAGGTAATAATGACAATTGGTAAACACTATATACTCAGTTTTCGTATTTCTTTTTCCACCTGGGGCCGGTTGTATGAAAGCCGGATAGCGCTATCCACCGGATAGTGGTTTTTTCAATCGCTTCAAAATCGGCCGTTATTTGCTACAACTTTGAGTAAATCTTAGTATTCCTAAATCGAAGATCCTCTTTAATAATTGTTGCTTCTAAGCTAAAATTTTATCGCTTTTCGAGCATTTTTAGAACGGTTGAAAAAATCACTATCCGGTGGATAGCGCTATCCGGCTTTGATACAACTGGCCCCTGTGTGGTGATGCTAATTAGATATCGATATCTCAGAAAAATACTACAAAGAACCTAATACGCAAAAATTGCAAATTAGTTACATTTATAACAGTTAGTAACTTTAGTTATATACCTACCGTTACAATGCGTTCCGTTTCCGTCGAAACCTCTCTTACAGTAACAAGCATAAGATCCTTCACTGTTGCTGCACGTGGCATCCATGTGACAATCATTCAGATAGGGAGAGGAACACTCGTTTATATCTATTTACAAAAACGCATAAATCATGTGTAATGCATGAAACGCATTTTTAACATAACAATATTATTCATCTACAGTGCCCCTTAAAAAATGCTTTTCATTTCTATTTAAGCTATATTGCAACTGTTTTTGTCAGGTATCATCAACACTATTCATTTTAGATCAGATTAGGGACACCACATTCGCTTAAAGATAGTAATCGCATTTTTACGGAATTAATCAGCTTGAAAATTACTAGATTGTGTCGTCTTGAACTAACATAATATTGTACAAGAATGCATTAATTGCAACTTTCATGCAACTATACAAAGGGAAGCTAATGACAAGATGTCAATATCAATATTTATTGATGTTGCTCAAACGACACTTTTGCATCTTACATTATTTTGCATATAGCTTTTAGAAGTAATCAGATACGACGTATATACATTGTTGGCATGGGTTATAATATTTATTGGAATAAATACAGTAACTATAGTATACATACCTTTACAATGTGTGCCATTTCCTTCAAACCCGGTATTACACGAGCAGTTGTATGAGCCAATAGCATTATGACAAGTTGAGTTAGGATGACAATTATTTGGTTCGCGACACTCGTCGATGTCTAAACCAGAAGCCAATCAGTGGCCAAGTGTTGACTGAATTATTTTTATGGCGATGATTTTTAAAATTAACACTATTGAAATTACTGACAAATAATAGACTGATATGATTTATTATTAAAGGTCAGTAAAACAACCAATTTGATAATAACTTAGCCGCTTGGGGTCAGTTTGAGCAATGGGTAGGGTCGCAGCTCCTCGCAAGAATGATTTTCATTGCCTGAACTTAACAATATATTTCTTTTTCAATCAATAGCATAGCTTCGTTCTTTAGAAAGCATAGAAAAGCATTATCCAATTGGACTAAAGCTTCCGAGCACTGCGACATGTCCCCGAGTATTTGCTTTTGTAATGTAATGAAATGAACAAAAATTACTGCAGTGGTATAATACAGGACTCGATATGATAGTCCATGCATGCACCACGAAAATGATATTTGTTTTTACCCTGGCATGTACTTCCATTTCCAGCAAAGCCATAATTGCACGTGCACACAGGATGTCCAGTAACATTGTTGCACTCCGCATTTTCATCGCATAAACTGTCATTACTGCATTCCACAAACGCTAATTTGAAAAGAAAGGAGAATTTAGCATACCAAAAAATATGAAAATAGTCCCAAAGAAATTTATTGTTCTTATATTATACAGGGTGTCGCAAAAAAAACGCAACCACTTAAATATGCAAGAATATTAATATTGTTCGGGTTTGCACCATAGTTCAGCTAAAATGACTTTTAGCATTGTAAATGAAGGATTAAAAGCCATTTTCAATTCCCAAAGGTGCTTATCTATTGCGCTTTAGAGCTGTATTAATGTTCTTGCATATCTAAGTGGTTGCTTCTTTTGGGGGGACACCCTGTATATATAGCAAATTTCCATAGTATGGGTTGCATAGGCAGAATTGTATGAACATGTCAAACAATAGCGTCCGGCTCTTAGCAATCCAGCAAAATAAATACCTTGACAGTTGATACCATCACCTCTATACCCCTCAACACATCGACAAATGAACGATCCAATGTTATTTTCACAAGTAGCATTGCTGTGACAAGGTTTTCTTTCACACTCATTGATATCTTCAAGAGGAATTTTATAAATGCAAATAAGAAACATATCTAGCTAGTTATATCTATATCTGCAAACTATTTAGTAAAAAATGCATTCATACCATTACAATAGGTGCCGTTGCCCGTAAAACCTTCGAAACATCGACATTCATACGACCCTGGTATATCTTTACATGAGGCATTATCATGACATGGATATTTATCAATCGTACAGTCAATTATTTCTGAAACGAATGAGAAAAACTTGAATCATAATCATGATCAAGACAATTCTGTGCAGGACAAGAAGTGAATTTGTTTGACAAGTCTACATTAGGGTCTTGAGATTATATACTTGGAGAATGGTGTACTATTTACTCAACGCGATGTTTAAAGCAATATTGGGTAAATAAAAGGGGTTTATAACATTCCTCAGTCATGGATATAGCAGGCGTACATATCCGAGCAGATACTGTAGTCTGACGCGGGGAGTTTAATCACGAAAGTACATCGTTCGTCACCTTGATGTTCACAGCGTTGTCCAAAGAATCCAAATGAACAACTGCACTCGAATGCTCTTCCAACAAGGTTTTTGCACGAACCACCATTGAAACATGGAGCGCTGGCACACGGAGTATCTGTTGGAAACATCAAGATAACTATCAGAAGAAAGAACTATCTTGTTTGCGCCTTTCTAACATGCAATCTTATTTTTTAAAGAGTTCTTTGCAGTATACACCGGAATAGAACACGACTAGTTTCGTTTCCTTCCGAAGGACTTGAGAGGAAAAAGGAAAAGATCTTCGAAAGATTCCCTTTCGAAGGATTCTTATATAACTATAGCAATAACATACAAAAAACCCTCTGATATTGAACGCGGAATTTATGCTATGCACAGTGTATGATATCATCTGTGGACAAAAATAGCAGCAACCGTTCATGAAGTTAAAATGCATTAAAAAGCGAGTAAGAGATAAGAAGGGTAGCTTTGGCTGAATACAGTAGTCAAGACTTACGACAAACAGAAAATTCATGTAATCCCTTCCATTGTATAGCCACGTCAGAAGCACAATCATCAGCGTAAGCTTCAAGCGCTTGACAATAACAAACAACAGGATCATCTTCACAAGCACACATATCATATTCACAATCTTCAATATATCCGTCTTCAGTTGCGTTGATGTAACTCGAGCAATCTCTGAATGGCGGGCGGAGCAATTTTGAGCAATTCTCTCGTGCTATCAATCGTCTCGCGGGATTGACGTCACATGGGTGTGGCACTTTAGTTGCATTCTCACATGTTGAATCAACTTTCCAAGAATTTCCAAACTCAACTGGATCTGTAACAATTGCTCCATAGGCTGCCCAGAAGTCATCATCTTGCATTTCATTGTAATTTCCACATAAACCTGATGTTTTGTTGAAGTATCGCCCTCCAATTGTTATTCGTGCGTTATAAACGTTGTTCCAAAACACAGTCACGCCATAAACACTTGTCACGACCGTTCTGTCTGTGCCGTATTTCGTAACGTTAACGTCTAACGAAAATAGAAGTAAACAAGGTTACTGCATGAAACTTCGCCACGAGGAGACATTTGTTTTGCGTTGTTCTGACGATAAATTGTGCAATATTCATGCATTGTGAGTTATTTTTTGTTCTGTTTCGTGATAATTGGTAACATATTGTATTGTATCGTTGACTACATTAACTAGTGCCTGAAGTTTACATTTTTCAAATGAAAAGGTCAGATTTTAGCTGAATAAGATAGGTCGTTATTTATAGGTTGGTCGTTAAGTTGGACAGTAAAGAGTAAAGAGGTTCAGTTACACGCCTATATATATTCTGTAAGCTCGCTCACGCTCAAACTCATTGAATAGAAGATCTAAATCTCGTCACATGAAATTGTAGCGTACGTTACATAAGGTGCTGTATAGCGAACAATACAAATAAAAAAAAAATATGTATGCAAGTGAGTGACGAGGATGCAACCTTTCTTACCTCCAAAACTAACCGACAAACGTGTTTCTTCACCATTGACAAGATACATTCCTCTTTGGAGTTTGATTGTTAAATTCGAAAATGTCACTGTTAATGATTTTGTACACGTCGGTGGTCCATTTCCACACGGTTCATTCTCTTGTCTTATTTCAAATGCGTTGTTAACTTTGTCTTTGGCGAGAACATATTCACATTTACCCATGAACTCAAAACGTTTCCCATCAAATGAGGTATAATGCGGATCTCCATGAGTTTTACATGTCGCTTCAACTACAAATGAGACATGGCATCGTTTTAAATTTATAATTATAATTTATTTGTTGTATTTGATGCAATATTCAATACGGAAATTAGGTTTTGAGCCCACGGGAATGCGATGCAAAATAAATAATAACATCTACTTGAAACAAAAACGTAATTCGCAGTACCATTAGGATTCCGGATTCAGTAAAAACTATTGCCTGAATCAACCCAAGTCCTTTTATAACAAAGCCATCCGCCCCATAAGGAATAAAAAAGGATACCAAATTCATAGAAATGATAATTATTATAATAACAAATAAGACTTTTGGGATAATACAGCGATAAGAAATAGAAATAAATTATCATTCACAGGAAATGACCTGTGTATTAACCGCGAATTACACCCAAAGGAGTTAAAAGGAATATTAAGTAAACTAACTCTTTTCACAATTTTCTCCTCCATAATCTTGGCGACAAGCACAATCAAACGTGTTTCCAACAGCAACACATATTTCATTTTCACCACAGGATAGATCGCCACAATTTGTCACTAAAATAATAAAATAATTCCAATTGTTAAGATTAAGTGTGCTTTTTAGTCTAAGACGACAACCTCTCTAAGTTATAACAAAAAATTCATGCGAGCCCAAAGAGTTTAACCCTGTATATAAGTAATAAAATTATATCTATCTATCTCTAAGCGCACTTGACGGTAAAAGCTGAGTAATGGAACAAGTGTTATCGAAACGAAAAAAATACGTATCGCTTTTAACAAATGGTTACAGGTACCTTGTATTTCACAACGGTAGCCAGTATAACCAACCGGACATGAACAAGAGAATGATGAGGAACCATTGTTTGCACAAGTTCCTCCGTTGAAACATGGATCACTAGCACAAGGAGTTGCTAGGAAGAGAATAGAAGTCATTTGAGTATAAGATAGGTAAATAATAAGCATGCCTTGAACCATGCAACGATAGAAATATTGGAGAATAAACCATTTGAGACATTCCACAAAACAAATAAATAGCAGCAGGACTAAATAATTTTTGCATATCATCATGATACTTACTACATTGGTGGTATCGAGGGTGACTTAACCAGTTGATTATCACGCCACGTGAAGCACAGTTACCGACATAAGCCTCTATTGCTTGACATACACAAACTGTTGGATGATCATCGCAAGCACAAACATCGTATTCACAATCTTCAATATAACCTTCGGAATCTGGGTTGATATAACTTGCGCATGCATCAAATGGAGCATTTCGTAAGGCTGAGCAGTTGGCTCTTGCAGTTGCATTTCTATCAGGATTTGTTTTACAAGGATGATCTACAAATATTGCATCTTCACAGTCAAGATTAGTTTTCCAGGAGTTGCCAAAATCTATTGCATTGTTTGCTAATGTTCCATTGGGTGTTAAGAAATCATCTCCACGATATCTGTTAAATGTTCCACATAAACCAGATGTTCTACTAAGATAACGAGCTTGTACTGTTATTCTCACGTTATGAACGTTATTCCACATTACTTCAACACCATAATCACTTTCAATCAAGGTTATGCCACGATTAGGATTGGAGATATTCACACCTTTGGCTATGGAAAAAAAAATTAAGCTAATAGTTATAGTGTATGAATGTTTTTAAAAAAATAAATGATAAAACTTGATACAAACTTTCTTTTCACTTCTAAAGGACAGTAAATTAAACAGTAAAATTACGCTATAGATTTGTTACATGAAATGGATTTGCAAGGTCAGGTTAATGTTCAGCCTGCGTGAGAATGATGAGATCACAATTTTAAAAGATGAATACCTTTAGATCACAAGACATATGAGAGACACACGTCACGAAATTTAATCAAAAACAGATTTTGAATAGTTGGATATTTTTTTTAATAGAACAGCGCAGTAGAACGTTTTCCTTATGTGTCCAAGAAAAAGTAATTCTGAATTGCAACAAAATCGTACTACAAAACTTTGATTCTGTTTGAAGTTTCAAAATATATTTATCGCTGCATGTGTGCCGTATACTAAAGAAAAGCATGCCGTGGAACGAATCCATTCGAAAGAAATTTAATCCTCAGGTTTTGAGTTTGACCAGGCAAAGCTACACACGACAATTTTTATTGTCCACAAAATAATGAAATTATTTTCTTTTACCTTTATACTTTGTTGATAAAGAAATTTTTGCGTCATTCACAACAACACTTCCTCGCAGGAGTTGCACAGTAATATTTGGAAACAATACTTTCAATGACTTTGTGCAGGAAGGTTGTCCATTTCCACATTTTTCATTCACTTGTCTTATCTCAAATGTGTTGTTCACGTTGTCTCTAGCCATAACATATTCACATGTCCCCATGAATTCATAATGTATCCCATCAAATGTTGAATAATGAGGATCACCTCGTGAATAACACGTTCCTTCAACTGTTATATTAATTTCGAAAAAAATGGTAAATTAGTAGTAGTAGGTGATCATGCGATAACCAGTACAACTTGGGAATAATGGTACAAGTGATGTTGGATGTTTCTCCGCCAGCAGTGAAACACGGCAAAAAAAGGGGAAATGCCCTCTGCCAATATCTCAAAAGTCACATATGTACGTTTTCTAACATAGGATCAAGGTTTATACTTACTTCGCTTGCAACTTGGTCCCTCATATCCGTCTTTACATACACATTTGAAGAGGCTGTTTAGCGGAATGCAATTTTCATTTTCTCCACAGGCAAGGACACTGCAGTTTTTTACTGTTAAGACATAAAATAATAATATGGTTACATGTGAACACAAGGTACTTTGCCAAATTATGCTGTTACCTTCACAATGTTGGCCATCACCTATGAAACCTTCATCACACAAACAATAGTAAGAACCAATTTGGTTTACACAAGTTGTGGCATTAGGATGACAAGCGTTGCGATGCAAACATTCATTGGTATCTATAATAAACAAAATTTCAGAACTGAAACTAAAGTTAACAGCATGGTTTTGGAAAAAATTCAAAAAGCATAAAAACAAAAAAAGAAACGATGTAGGAAATCTTAAAATGAATAGGCTGCATTTTTGGCTTGGCATTGTAATAATATGCATGATTTTTTATTATACTAAGAAAATACGGTAGTGGCACGTCAGTTGCATAGCGTTAATTACTATAAGTTTTGATCTAAATTGGATCATATAATTTCATACTTTAAAAACCTCTAGTTAAAACATTTAACGCCGCAATATAACTTCGCTTTGTTATACTATTTCCCGTAACTAAAAATTGCGAATTTACTTTATTTGGGACAAGCTTAATGCATGAAACCGGCGCACTGGCTCGAAACTTTCTCAGACTTAATTTCTAGGAACCCATGGTCCATTAGTCCCCTGTGTCGTACTACTCAATAATTAAAAATGAGGTTTAAATTAAATTTCTAAATTAAAGACAGACGAAAAAGAGATGCTCACTTCTCGAAAAATAAAATGGTTATCAATCTATACCTTTAAATTCACATCGTGGTCCAAAAAAGTCAAATAGACAATTGCACACGAACTGTCCTCCAATACGTCGATTGATATCCCTGCACAAACCCCCATTTAAGCACGGAGCACTTGAACACGGAGTAACTGTTCAAAATATAAAGATAAATGTTCAAAGAACCATCGTTGCATGCTTTTTTCAATTATACAGACTACTGTAGGGTTCAGAAAGCGACGGCAGCACCGACAAATGACGTCTTCCGTAAATCAATTTTGTATTATTTCTTCTAAATTGGCTTATCCAAAACATTATGTGAGATGGAGCTAGTTGTAGGCTGTTTCATTTTAAAAAAATGTTTCTGACTTAATTCAAATTGAAAAATAAATGTCAATTCCGGGAAATTCACCATGACCTACATACGACGCAGTAGGTGGCACGTTTACCACATTTTTTATTTAAGACAACTTCAATTTAGCTATGCCACTATATATTTTAGAAGCATCTACTTTTGTGGTGATTTGATGGTTAAGAAACAAAGTGTGAAGTTATATGTAAATAAAACAGTTACTTCGAATTTCACAACGGTAACCAGTATAACCAACAGGACATGAGCAAAAAAATGATGATCCATTGTTTGTGCAAGTCCCTCCATTGAAGCACGGATCACTGGCACAAGCAGTACCTAGGCGAGGAAATAAAGGAAGGTAAGTTCGAGCTCGTATATTTTTTTTTCTTCCATAGCTCGCCATGCTATTTGCGATGAAGTATAATTAAATAATTATAATGATCAGGTTTCTGAGAGCTTGGTTACATTATACTCGTTTCGTGGCTGCGATTAATGGAGTACACCAAAAAAAAAACATCCTAAACCTTCATACTTACTACATTGACGATATCGAGGGTGATTCAACCAGTTGATTATCACGCCACGTGAAGCACAGTTACCGACATAAGCCTCTATTGCTTGACATACACAAACTGTTGGATGATCATCGCAAGCACAAACATCGTACTCACAATCTTCAATGTAACCTTCGGAGTCTGGGTTGATATAACTTGCGCAGGCATCAAATGGAGCATTTCGTAAAGCTGAGCAGTTGGCTCTTGCAGTTACATTTCTATCAGGATTTGTTTTACAAGGATGATCTACAAATATCGCATCTTCACAATCAAGATTAGTTTTCCAGGAGTTGCCAAAATCTATTGCATTGTTTGCTAATGTTCCATTGGGTGTTAAGAAATCATCTCCACGATATCTGTTAAATGTTCCACATAAACCAGATGTTCTACTTAGATAACGAGCTTGTACTGTTATTCTCACGTTATGAACGTTATTCCACATTACTTCGACACCATAATCACTTTCAATCAAGGTTATGCCACGAGTAGGATTGGAGATATTCACACCTTTGGCTGAGAAAAAAATAGAAAATAGCATGTGATTGATCTTTGTCGATTCACGTTTTGGTTGAATTTACACAGGACACAGGCCTGAGGCTAGCGGCTGAATCTTCAGTTATATAATAACATTAAGAATTCCTTCAATTTCATTGGTCGAGAGCTATGACCTATAACAGGACAGACGCACGAAATAACGTCACAGATAAATTTTAAACGGATTAGATCAGTCATCTTTTGTTCATTTTGTCATCCAATCACAATTTAGCACGTATCGTAAGCTAGCCAATAGCCTCTTTGTTTTGTTCTTATCGCAAACGACGTCATACCGTGTATCTATACTGAACAGACAACGATTCAATGTACTCTATTTGTTAAATATCGCATTTGTTCTTATCTTGATATTGGGAGGTTTAATATCGACTTCCGCTACGAGCATCGATACCAATATTCAGTCAGGCGCATGCGCAGACGTAACAATCGTCCAAAATGTGGTAACACTGGAAGTCGCGAGTACCATTTTAGGAGTTGAAAATGGAATTGTATAGGCATACGAAGTACCGAATCATATTTACTGTATTATTGTCATTAGCCGTAGTTTTCTAATATATTAATTAGCTAGTATATTAATTGCATAATGTTTAAGCTTTGTTTGATGAGACTTAAGGATTGCGATTAGAGTTTTTATATGTGAATATAGCCGCCATGAATACGCTGGCTTTGAATCAGACATTTATGATAGAAGTTGACTTACCCATATACATTAAGGAAACTGTCGCTCCATTCACAACCACACTGCCTCGCAGGAGTTGGATGGTTATATTTGGAAACAATACTGTCAATGACTTTGTGCAGGAAGGTTGTCCATTTCCACATTTTTCATTCACTTGTCTTATTTCAAATGTGTTGTTCACGTTGTCTCTAGCCATAACGTATTCACATGTCCCCATGAATTCATAATGTATCCCATCAAATGTTGAATAGTGCGGATCGCCTCGTGAATTACATGTTCCTTCAACTGTGTGCAAGAGAATAACAGGTTAATTGAAAGCCTTCAAGAAACCGTTTGCTGCAAACTTTAGGATAATAATTAAAAAAAAAGAATGCTTTGTTTTCCCTTGAGGAAAGCTCAATATTTTCCTTCGGGGATCAGTAATTGTATTAAGTGTATACTAGGCAAGAATTAACAGTAATTCTAAGGGCGAGGAATACTGAAGTTGGTGCACCATAAAAAGGTCATTTGCTATAGTTTGTGTCTAGTTCACAGGACGGACATAAGTGTGCCAAGTATGCTTTAGTCGTTTTAGAGCTTAGTTTTATGGTAAAAGAGAGGGAGAGTTATTACCGCAATATACTCAAATTAACTTTGGTACCATTGCGCAAAAAAATATTTCTTTTCGGACGTGTCCGAAACAACTGCTCAAGCGAACTTAGTGACACTAGAATCAGAATAGTCGTAAATTTCTACTTCAACATAATTTCAAAATTTCTAATTTCATAAAGATTCAAAAAATCTTTTTGTTGTGTACCACCTTCAATATTACAAATAATTTAGATGATATTTTACTGGTTAATAATTAAAAGGCATCATGCACCACCACATCTTACACAAAGCTTTAGGCCTATAAAGTCAGAAACCAACTCTAATTAAGTCATTGTCAACTCAAATTTTGTCGTTTTTACAGTTTTTGTTTCACAAAAACAATAATAACAGCACTCAGCGATTCCAGATTCCGATCACAATGATCACAATGTTTTAGTTTTTTTACTTACTTCGCCTGCAATGAGGTCCTTCATGATTTTCTTTACATACACATTTGAAAATACCATTGGCAGGAATGCAATTTTCATTTTTCCCACAGGCAAGAATACTGCAATTTTTCACTGAAAAAGGATATACACATTCAACTTACACACTCATTTTATTTTTAATTTTTAATTTCATATTGGTCGAATTCGGTACAATTTAGGAACATGGCTAGATGCTATGTGACTGTAGTATTTTTCCGTAACACTTTCTTTTCAATACTATATTTCTAGCTAGACGTAACAAAATGGTTAAGATGTGAATATCAGATTTAGCTCAAAGTTACACACGATAAAAAAGACGTTTTTGCTGTTCCATTTTTTTTGAATTATCACAAGATACAAATTGCAATAAAAGGAGGAAGATTTTACACGTATCTTATTAAGCACATATATTATACCTTCACAATGTTGGCCATCACCTATGAAGCCTTCATCACACAGACAATAGTAAGAACCAATTTGGTTTACACAAGTTGTGGCGTTAGGATGACAAGCGTTTGGATCGAAACATTCATTTATATCTAGAAAAGAAAAGATATTTATTACCGTTGTCAACATGCGTGAGTATAACATATATACTGTATTAGGAACGTACTCGTAAACACGCGGACAAATGTTCGCTATTTTAGAACATAGATCTACGTATTTTAAAAAGTTCAAAAATTTTTTTAAAACTTGTCCCCAACTCAAAATATAACCAAGGAAATTACTGTCGATGTACGCACGAGCCCGAACTAATTTGAAAAGCAAATTTGAAACCTTTTTCTAAAAGTTCAAAAGTTGAAATTGCTAAGACGAAACTCAGCAAGAATTAAGTTTTGTATATGTCGCTACCTGCACAGTTCACACCATTTCCAAAAAACCCTTCCTTGCAAGAGCAGTTAAAACTTCCCAATGAATCTGAGCATGTTGAATATACAGAGCAAAAGGTTCCACGGCAACATTCATCCACGTCTAAAAATGAAAAAATGTTTGCCAAATTTTAGTGAATTTTTGGAAACGAGTATTCGAAAACACAAAATTAATGGGGTGCCATTTACCATTTATTCTCTGCTCGTTAAAAAAATTACACGGCATTTACAATACATGTACTTTTGTACTGTGTACTATTATCATTACTATTATTATTAGAATTATCGATTGTAAAATAGAAGCCCTAAAGGTAAACTATTTCAGCTAATTAAACCTGTACGGAAGCAAGAAGATTTAAAGATTAACTACCATTGCAAGTCATTCTTAAAATATACTACTCACCATATGCAACAACAAAACCGGCCATCTCTTGGTTCAATGAAATGTTTCCACCTTGTTCTAGAAATAAGTTCTTGACATACATGTAAATCAACTTATTTTCTTTAGATAACACATACAAATTGTCAATATCAGTTGCAACTTGTATCTTTTCTGGATAGGTGATGTTCAGCTTGCTTGTTTTCCCTGTATATGTCGTTTTCATGACCTCGTAACCTGTGTTCTCGTAATTGATCCAGTAGATAGCACTGTCGTATACGTCAACAGAAATTGACTGCGCTAACCCGGGATAGGTAAAATTTTTGAATGATTGATCATTTGGATCGTAGCGAATGATTGGAGGATTTGAAGATCTGGCCATATAGAGATAACTATGAAAAGAAAAAATACATAGTTTTGCGAAATGTGTGAAAAAATCGTACATCTCAGCACCAATAATTCCTGTGACGTTATTGGAAGTTCTAATCGGCAGCTATTATATAAATGTGATGAGTGACGGAGTAAGATTTACGTAATTTACCCTGAAGCTATGTCGATTTCCAGATCTCTTACGTCAGAGATATCCGATAGAGCCTCAACTGCAGTTTGTTGACCACTTGAAATATTGTGCATCCATATACTTTTATGAAGTGAGTGGTAATAATATATCACATTACTTTTGCCATCGACCGTGAAAAAGCTTACATTACTAATCGGTATGGAGGTAGCGTTGGAACCATCCAAATTATAACTTTCAAATCCTGTGGTATTAAAATACAGGTACAACTTTCTGTTTATACCATCATATGACAACAAAGCATTTAAACGACCGTCGATACTCTTCGGGCTGGGAGTGGATTCTTTTGTGCTATAGGACAAAGTTCCCATTGATGTGGAAACGAATAAATAGGGTACTTGGCATCGATCTGAAAAAGAAACGCAAGTTATAGTCATGCGTTTTATTTCTAAAAATTTTTAGGTAATATCTAGTAATAACTGTTCACTTTTTAAACAGTAAAAAACATTCAAAGCCAAAAAGACGCAGAACATTATGACGATGTCATTGCTTGGCCTCTTTAGCAGACTAATTCAAAGATCAACGAGTAACAAGGAGTAACATGTTAAGATTTTAGTTACCTTGAATTTCACATCTATCTCCCAAGAAACTGGGATGACATCTACATTCAAATGAAGCACCAACGTTTCTACATCTTCCTCCATTGTAACATGGAGCACTCGCACATGGGGTACCTTTCAAAAGAAGATTCGTAATTGTTCAAAATGATGGAAATATTCAGATTCTAGTCCAACAATGTAACACCCAAAAGTTTTGAAATCTGAGAAGCCCAAATGTCATACGGAATTTCAAGGTAATCTCAAGCAGAACAGTTGCAGTTTTAACAAAGTTATTAACTCACGGCAACTTGCGGATTCATCTAAACTCTCCCAAGGTATAACAACGTTGGAAGCACAATCATCAGCGTAAGCTTCAAGAGCCTGACAATAACAAACAACAGGATCATCTTCACAAGCACACATATCATATTCACAATCTTCAATATATCCTTCTTGAACGGGATCGATATAACTGGAACAATTACTGAAAGGTGGTTTGGTTAACGTTGAACACTTTTCACGAGCTTTCCATTTTCTTCCTGGATTGATATCACATGGGTGCGGCACTTCAATGGCTTCGTCACATTCTGAATCAACTTTCCAAGAATTTCCGAATGCAACTGAATCAGTTGTAAATGTTCCATTGTATGTCCAGAAATCATCACCACGCCTTTTATTATAAGTACCACATAAACCAGATGTTCTATTTATATAACGACCTAAAATTGTCACTCGCACATTGTAGACATTGTTCCAAAATACTGTCACGCCATAGTCACTTGTTACCAATGTTTGACCACTTCCAGGTCTACTAATGGTAACATCTTGAAAGGAATATAAAATAGAATAATAAGTCAGGAACTTTGAATGGAGCGAAAACAAACTGTAGAATAGAGAATAATAATGTTATGCTATGCGCCCCCCCTACTTTGCTTCTTCGAACAGAATAACGAACACACCCAGATTATGTTGCATGCATGTGATCCATGTCAAATTATGTTAATTAATGTGATCCATGATTGGCCCAACTTAATTACTCGCAAAATAGAAAAGAAAAGCTTAAGAAAAACTAAAGGTCTAGAATTTTATTGTTTTCAATACAAAATCAATCATTTTATCTCGACTCATGAAATTTTTTATCCAAAAGAACTCATAAACCGAGATACCTGGATAGTTGACTGGTAATGTAACTTGAGCACCATTAACTAAGGTCATTCCTCTTCGGAGATGAATGAAGGTTGAATTTGTAAATATCACTGTCAATGATTTCGTACACGTGGGAAGTCCATTTCCACAAGGTTCATTTTCTTGCCTTATTTCAAATGTGTTGTTTACAAAGTCTTTTGCCAGAACGTATTCACATTTTCCCATGAAGTCAAAACGTTTTCCATCAAATGTCGTGTAATGCGGATCTCCCTGAGCTTTACATGTCGCTTCAACTACAAAGAAGAGTTTAAAATATAAATTGAGCTGTTTTTGTTCGCATAAGGATTACATAAATAAAAATTAATATAGTTTCGTGGAAACACTGTTGGTAGACGTTAGAAACTCTCATGCTCGGAGGACTTGTCATTCGATGGCCCATCCCTTGAAACGTTTCAATCTAGAAAGTTCTGTAAATTTTTATCGCATTTTTCCGTGCTAGGCTCAGTTTTCGTCAAGTTCATCTTCCACCAATCGAATATGTATCAGAAACCAACCTCTCTTTTCGCAACTTTGCCCTTCAAAATCCTGGTTACAAACACATTGATGGGTGCCACCGACCGCAACACACATTTCATTTTCTCCACACTTCATTTCATTACAGTTTAAAACTAAAATGAAAAAATCTAAATAAGTCTTTTTCGCAACATAGAAAAACAATTTGTAAAATTCAATAGATTCTCGACTTCGAAATGCAAGCAATTTAGTTCTTTGTTATATGATAATAATCTTTAATTATATAGGAAAACTTTGTCACTATAAAGTGGTTTTCACAAAGGTCCTGCTTATAATGATCTCTATGAAAATATGAAACTATGTATTAGATAAAAGTCGCTAAATACGTCTTTTTAAATATTCATTAAAATATAGATAAGTCTAGGGTTATTAAGTTAAAAGTTTTGAAAATAACTTTCTCTTAAAAATCTATCATGAGAAAGCATTTCGTATAAATATCACTTTGCCTGTTCATTTAGAATTGTGTTTATTTTCTGTCGCACATTCTGCTACAAGCATGCATCTATACCAAATAAGGAGTTTGATTACACAGGCAAAATGTAATGGCGGCACAACATACCATCGACAAACAGAACAAGAAATAAGTAGTAAAATTCAAAGCTCGGTAGAATATGTTAGTTATCAACTAATCTCACATTTCCGCGAGATATTCGCTCAGGGATTTTTTAGGCAAATATTACTAATTAATAGATTATAACCAACAAGAACACTAGTATTTTTTGCTTCTCATGTACACAATTTGAATAAATTGACGAACCTAGCTTAGTAAGTATGGACAGGAGCGTTTCGCATTGGTGATTGCGAGCAAAGTGTGGCACCTAATAACGTTTATCATCTCATTAAATAATATTGTTTGAATTGCATTCGAAGCGACCAAAATGCGACGTGTAACCTAGGCCATATACATTTGTGCATCATTTAGATGTGTTTAGATGTGTGAAAAATATATTCATCAGAGATAAAACCATACCTCTGCAAGTTGAGGACGACATATTCTGTGCCAAAGTTGCAAATTCATTAAAATCTTGCAATAAGTAAACATATTTATCTACGGGATGTGAAGCCATTGTTTTCAACTCGTTTACATCGATTCCTGAGCCAACCCCAATCGAATATATGACAACGCCTGCTTTTTTTAGCTCCTGGGATGGTTGTGCAACATTTCCACTGCTTTTCCCATCAGTCAACACTATCAGTATTCTTTTTGTGTCTGAATGAATAATTTTTATTTATATTTCATTTATATTCGCTATTAACAACATCATGATGAAAAATATTGCATATTGCTGCGTATGCTAGAGTACATATTTTCGGTTCAGGAGGAGAGCTCCAAGGGGACGCAATGAGAAGTACTGATAAAATTTTTAAAATTCGCTAATTTTCTAGACCTGAGATAACGAAAAGCCAACATAACTTAATCAAAGATCTGGATTGGGTTTGTAATTGAAATAAAGGTGAAATAACAAGGGAGCGCATATTCATAATTTCATTATTAATGAATCTGTTCAAATTTTTTTTATGGCGCTAAATACGTGATAAACGTAATATGCATGCATGATAAAAAAAAAAAAAAAAAAAGAATAACTCGTATAATTAACAAACCTGATATGCGGGTATTAAACATGTGCGATTTCGCAAGTGTCAAGGCTGCGGCAGTATTAGTGCCTCCACCCGTGTACGGAATGTTGTCTATAGCAGAATAGAGATCTTGCCGTGTTGGAAATGCTTGAGAAAATGTAAGATGCAATGACGGTGAGGAGGCATATGACATCACGGAGACCCTTGTATTATTTTGTGAAACTTTGAAGTGATAGATAAGGTCCTTTACAAACGATTTCATTGTCTCAAAATGTGCTGACCCAATACTACCAGAACTGTCTAACATAAATCCAAGATCAATCTTCGTCGTACACCTTGGAATTAATTTACCTACGAAAAGAAAATGGAAGAACATTTTAATAAAAAGAAAATTGCCCGTTGAATCAGACTTGCATTGCAAGTAATAGTTACGAAATATATCTGTATGGGAATTTCACATGGCGAGTGCGTTGCTCGCAAATCCCATAGAGAACAGTCGCTTGTATTTTGAGATTTTTTGTGAAATTGATTATCAATCTATGACAACACCCTTGCATTACCTTTTACACAGAACAACCACATGCAGTAATTACCGATCTATACTTGCATCATATGTTCCATTACATGCATGTGAAGAAGATACTGTAAAGTTATCAGTACTTAGAAATTGACTATTCCAAATTTCGCAAAAAGGATTAAAGTATTTGGAAGAAAAAGTAGAACCCATTGTTAGGCATAAAAGATAAAAAAATTGCCCCAACATTCGCCCAGAAATGAATTGATATCAATGTTATCAAACTGTTTTCCGGTCGAGCTTTGGTAGAGATATTAAGAATATTAACGTCAATGAGTCCGCAACGATGTTTGGCATAGATAACCCATGGCGCTGAAAATTTTTTTATGTACACTGCACTGTAACTAAGGATATCAATAGTATACCAAAATGGCATAATTTCCTTTCTAACTTTCTATAATGATGACAAATGCTAGATATTTAAATTATATCATATTCTCAATTGTAGACGTTATACATACATGTTCGCCCATCTCCAGTATAATCTTCGTTACAAATACAGGCAAATGAACCATTCGTGTTTATACATGATGCTCGAATTGAATGATCACAGTTGTTACTCCCAATCTCGCATTCATTTATATCTGTAGTGTTAAAACACAAAAATTAATAATTTCCAGACAAGGTACATAAAGTACTAGGTACATAAATTTCCCGCAGTCTGGGGCAAATAGTAAAGCGTAGTTCTTATATGTCACCAACGGTCGACGATGGCCATGCATTATCGGTGATATGCTTTTTCATTTTGAATTTTTTTTTGTTACAGCCCACAAACAATACATCGGCGTTGTCAGTGACATATGAGAACCATGCAGGCTTTAACGAAGCTTATTTTAAGCAAATATTGCAAAACGCCGGCACACGACTGTTGTAAAACATTTTTTTTAGTTGAAAGAGACACAGCGTGGCATTTATGTGTGTACCTTCACAATTTTCACCATTTCCAGTGTATCCTTCTTTGCAAGAGCAGTTAAAACTTCCCAATGAATCTGAACATGTTGAATACACTGAACAAAATGTTCCACGGCAACATTCATCCACGTCTAAAAAATGAAAAATGGCTTTAAGCAAATTTTTATTGAGTACATTTTTTACAATGTTTCTTAAATATTGAAGCCTGAAATAAATAATTTTGTTTTATAGGTGCTGTGTATTTTAAATGTGATTGGTTCATTCATAGTCACATGACTTTAAATAAATGCAATGAAAGTGAAAGTGAAAGTGAAAGTGAAAAGTGCAAGTGAAAAATTGTTGCCCGCATATTGTCATAACAAGGTTTTTTGAAATGAAATTGTCGTGTAACATGTAGGTTTTTGTTTTTATATAACAAAACACTTAATGTTCGCTACACCTGGGGAAATAGTCAGTTTTGTTTTCCCTCGAGTCTCAATGTTTCCCTCGACTCAGACTCATGGGAAAACAAAACTCACTATTTCCCTCGGGAGCATACATTAAGTGTATAATATTTCAGCATGCAAGTTAAACCTGTACACAAGCAACAAGATTTAAAGATTTGAAGATTATCTACTATTGCAAATCATTCTTAAAATATACAAAGATCTGCTCACCATATGCAACGACAAGACCTCTAATCTCCCGCTGTAATGAAATGATTCCAACATCTCGTGCATCCAAATTCTTGATATATTTGAGAATGAGGTTATCATGCTTAGATATCACGTACAAATTTTCAATATCAGTCGCAACTTGTATTTTGTTTGAATAGGTAATGTTCAGCTTGCTTGTTTTGCCAGTATATGTCGTTTTCATGACCTCGTAACCTGTGTCCTCGTAATTAATCCAGTAGATAACTCTGTCGTATACGTCAACAGAAATTGATTGCGCTAACCCGGGATAGGTGAAATTTTTGATTGATTGATCATTTGGATCGTAGCGAATGATTGGGGGATTTGAGGATCTGGCCATATAGATATAACTATGAAAAGGAAAAAGTTAAGATTTCTACAATACATGGCTTTGCGAAATAGTTAAAAAAGTACAGCTCAGTACCAATAACGGGGCTTGCGGAGTGGTGGGAAATTAATTAGGAGATAAACATATAAGGAATTAACAAATATGATTTACCCTGAAACTATGTCGATTTCCAAGTCTCTTACGTCAGAGATATCCGATAGAGCCTCAACTGCAGTTTGTTGACCACTTGAAATATTGTACATCCATATACTTTTATGAAGTGAGTGGAAATAATATATCACATTACTTTTGCCATCGACCGTGAAAAAGCTTACATTACTGATCGGTATGGAGGTAGCGTTGAAACCATCCAAAATGTAACTATGAAATCCTGTATTATTAAAATACAGGTACAACCTTCTGTTTATACCATCATATGACAACAAAGCATTTAAACGATCATCGATACTGTTCGCGCCAAGTGTGTAATCTTTAGTGCTATAGGACAAAGTGCCCATTGACGTGGAAACGAATAAATAAGGTACTTGGCATTGATCTGAAAAGACGAAACGTTAGTCGTGAATTTTCGTTCTAAAAATATAGTTGGAAATATTGCTACACATGATTTTAAAACAATAATAAATGTTCACTTTCTACTGTAAAAATTCGAACATCTCATCGAAATCTCATCGACATTCTAACCATTGGTTTACCCGGAATTCCTATAAGCAGGCGAATTGAACGACCAACAAGAAACATGACAGTGTTCAGGATTTAGTTACCTTGAATTTCACATCTATCTCCCAGGAAACTAGGATGACATCTACATTCAAATGAAGCACCAACGTTTGTACATCTTCCTCCATTGTAACATGGAGCACTCGCACAAGGGGTACCTTTCAAAAGAAGGTTCGATAATCGCTCAGAATGATGGAAATATTTATAATCAAGTCAACTGTGTAACACGCAAAAATGTTGAATACTGGAAGCTCAAAATATTCATTTCAAAGAAATCTCAAGAAGTGCAGTTACAGTAGTTATTTACTTACGGCAAATTGAGGATTCATCTAGACTCTCCCAAGGTATAACAACATTGGAAGCACAATCATCAGCGTAAGCTTCAAGAGCCTGACAATAACAAACAACAGGATCATCTTCACAAGCACACATATCATATTCACAATCTTCAATATATCCTTCTTGAACCGGATTGATATAACTGGAACAATTACTGAAAGGTGGTTTGGTTAACGCTGAACACTTATTACGAGCTATCAATTTTCTCCCTGGATTGATGTCACATGGGTGCGGCACTTCAACGGCTTCGTCACATTCTGGATCAACTTTCCAAGAATTTCCGAATGCAACAGAATCAGTTGTACATATTCCATCGTAAGTGCAGAAATCATCACCTCGTCTTTTATTATAAGTACCACATAAACCAGATGTTCTATTTATATAACGACCTAGAATTGTCACTCGCACATTGTAGACATTGTTCCAAAATACTGTCACACCATAATCACTTGTTACCAATGTTTGACCACTTCCAGGCTTAGTAATGTTAACATCTTAAATGATTATAAAATGATTTAATTAACCGGGAACTGTGAGTGGAGCGGTCAATAACTAAATAATAGATCATAATTGTTATCCTATGCGCCCTTACTTTGCTTCTTAGATCGGAATGCTAGAATCAAAAAGAACCTAAAGATCTGTAATTTATATTGTTTCAAATGAACTTTCCATTTTTTCAAATTATGAATATCTGCCCACTATAGCACTCTCAAACATTACTAGTTACTAGTACAATGCACTGTTACTAGTAGAATAGATACCTGGATAGCTGACTGGCAATGTGACTTTCACACCATTAACTAACGTCATTCCTCTTCGCAATTCAATGAAGGTTAAATTTGTAAATATCACTGTCAATGATTTCGTACACGTCGGAAGTCCATTTCCACAAGGTTCATTTGCTTGCCTTATTTCAAATGTGTTGTTTACAAAGTCTTTTGCCAGAACATATTCACATTTTCCCATGAAGTCAAAACGTTTTCCATCAAATGTAGTGTAATGTGGATCTCCCTGGGCTTTACATGTCGCTTCAACTACAAATGAAAGCGTAAAGAATAATTCGAAAATCAAGCTGAAGTTGTTCACGAATCGAGACTAGCTTAATAATGAAGAAGCGTTTCATGGAAATACTGAAAGTAAACGTTTTTTCACGGTTAGAAGACTCGTCGTTTGATAGCCCAACCCTGGAAACGTTTGAATCAGGAAGTTCAACAAAATTTTCTGCACGTTTTGAATCGTTTTTTTAAGGTCATCTTACACAAAAGCCCAAAAATGTATTGTAATTACCCATCATGGGTATCTCACTGTATGCTTATATTCGCAGATATGTTGTACCTACCTCTTTTTTGGCAACTTTGTCCTTCAAAATCAGGGTGACAAATACATCCATGGGTATCACCAACCGGAACACATATCTCATTTTCTCCGCATCTTATTTCATTACAGTTCAAAACTAAAAAGAAAATGTCTGAATCAGCTATACCCAATCAAAATCGCAGTAGCAAATAGTGCCACCTACATTAATATAAGAAAACCACCAGTAAGATAAATAAAATAGAGATTAACGAGGTAACCCTTTGGGAGATATGAAATGGCAGTTCTCGTTCTGATCAACTGACAATTAATTTTAAGTGAAATGATCGTCTCAAAAATTGCCACTTTAACAAGCACCGTCTCATTTAGAATCTGCTTATTCTAAGCAGATGAAAGCTAGGAGTCGAAAGCTCCTGTAACCAAGATGTTAACATTCATGATCAATGATGATGAAGACTCTCTAAACAAACTACACCAAGCTTGACCAGCTAAAGATAACCACCAATGGCCAGTCTTCAAAGCAGTAATTCCAGAGTCAAAAGGGCCTGAGGTTGACATTTTAACGGAGACCTTACCGCAATAAAGAAATAAACTTCTAGTACCTAAAATTCAAAAGATTGTCGACTTCGAAATGCGGGCGATTTAAAATCTTGATTGCTGGCGATTAAAAATGTGAAATATTTTCACATGTGCAATTTCGCATTTAATTTCATGTGAAATCTTTTCACAATGAAATGTCACATCTGACTTTATGTGAATTCTGAATTTCACATAATATCACATTATTTTCGTAAGGGTTACAATCCCCCACTTGATGATAATTTCATAGAGGACCAAAACAAAGGCTTTATAACAAAAAAGTCCCACCAAAATACATGAACAAATGGTTTTTATGCAGTGAACATTTTTAAGAAAAAAGATTTTGGAACTATGGTTGGTGACAAAGGTTTACAGCATTGCGTGTTTTTTTTGATAATATATTTGTGCATGATTTAAGTTTGTTCTTAAAATGATATTAAACTTAAAACCATACCTCTGCATGTTGTGGACGACATATTCTGTGCCAAAATTGAAAATTCATTAAAATCTTGCAATAAGTAAACATGATCATCAACAGGAGGTGAAGCCATTATTCTCAACTCGTTTACATCGATTCCTGAGCCAACTCCAATCGAATATATGACAACGTCTTCTTTTTTTAGCTCCTGGGATGGTTGTGCAACATTTCCACTGCTTTGCCCATCAGTCAACACTATCAAAACCCTTTTTGTTCCTAAAATGATTAATTTGCATTTGTTTAAGTTCCTTATTAACGATATCAATAAAATATACGGCATATTGCCGGGTATAAAGATATTTTAGGACATGTTACACGGTGCTATTTTTCTTGCAACTTGCAATGCTATTCTTCTTTTGAGATATGCAAATTTGACAACTATCGAACTTAAGTCTTCATTACAATCCATTACTTTTACACTTACATTTTGAAGTCTCTTTACTAATTTACATCTCCGAAAAGTAGAATTGCATTGCAAGTTGCAAGAAAAATTGCACCGTGTAATATGGCATTTAAATTTCCATTTGACATTCGGAGAGGAGGGGGGGGGGGGTACAATAAGATTTGAAGCATGCCCTCGTAGAGTTTCCAAAATTCACCAATAGTCTCCACTATGGGTAACTGAAAGCAGCATGTCTTATTTAAAGATATCACGCTATAGATTTAACGCTGCAAAAGATTTATTTCGAATTCATTTAAATTCCTTATTTCCACTTCATTTCTCACAACTCGAAAGAAGCAGGCGAAATATTTCGCATTTTGCAGAAACATTTTGACGGAATCAGCACTTGATGGGTTGACGTGTAATCCATTAATCTTCAGGTTTCGAGCATATTTCCTCCAAACCCAGTAACAACAAGTTAATGCGGAAAAAAACAAGAAATGATAGAAATGCATGCATGATAAACAAAATATTGGAAAATAAAAGAATAACTCGTATAATTAACAAACCTAATACGCGCGCACCATTGTTGGTATTGAACATGTGTGATTTCGCAAGTCTCAAGCCTTCGGCAGTATTAGTGCCTCCACCCGTGTACGGAATGTTGTCTATAGCAGAATAGAGATCTTGCCGTGTTGGAAATGCTTGAGAAAATGTAAGATGCAATGACGCCGAGGAGGCATATGATATCACGGAGACCCTTGTTTTGTTTTGTGAAACTTTGAAGTGAAAGATAAGGTCCTTTACAAACGATTTCATTGTCTCAAAATGTGCTGATCCGATACTACCAGAACTGTCTAACATAAATCCAAGATCACTCTTCGTCGTACATCTTGGAATTAATTTGCCTACAAAAAAAAATGCAACAACATTTGAATAACTCTGTCCAACATTTGTACAAGTACGAGTTAAAATACGAGCGACTTATCTGTATGGGTATTTACAATGGCGAGTGCGTTGCACGTATATAGGTAGTGGGCTACTATTTTCGAGAGACTTATAAGACAAAGAGATTTTCGCCATATTGGATGACATTTGAATTGCAAAAAATCCTTTGTTAAAATCATCCAACATGGCGGCGATGACGCCACATGAGAACTACCTATAAATCATATAGAGATCTGTCGCGAGTATTTTAAAGTGCTTGGGAAAGTCATTATCAAAGAAAACTACTTTGCGTACAGTGGCGTAGCCAGCCTAACAATTTAGTCATGCTATGCTAATATTTTGGTGTTCATGCATTGACTGTGAAAACAATAAATTTCTAAATAAATGTATAATAAAAGAATATTGTTCTGAATTTCTGCGTAAGAGCTGGCGTATTAATTGGGAGCGGTCCCATTGGTGCACACCATTCATTTATAAAATTTTACTGGGGGATTTATTAAGCATTTAACCCCCCCCCCTCCCGGATAAGCTCCGCCGGCCTTGGGCTATAGAAACCCATGTAACTGGATTTTCCTTTGGAGCAATCCATAGATTTTCCATAATATAGGGTGGATAACAAAAGGCAACCACTTAATTTTCAAAAATATTTACTTAAAGTGGCGTAGCTAGCCTGACGATTTGTCCTGCTATGCTAATATTTTGGTGTTCATTGACTGTGAAAACAATAAATTTCTAAAGAGATGAATAATTATTTTAACTCAAAATTTACATAGCGGGACAAAATCGTCAGGCTGGCTACGCCACTGTTCACTTTGTGAGCTGCACAATTAGAAGTACTATTGTACTATATTTAGAAATATATGAGGTATAAGGCATCTACAGGGTGTCCCAAAAAAACCCGAAAACTATTGAAATCACTTATTGTTAAAATTTAAATGCCGTGTTCACGAATTTCAGCCCGTGGGTATTTAATGCAACTTATAAAATGCTAAATGCTTTGTGTTGCTAGAGAAAGGGGACACGTCGAAGGTCATCGTCCTTGAGATGCACATTTAAATAATGTTATCCATAATTATTTTTAAATTGTAAAAATTGTTAATAAATATCATTTTTGCGAACAAGCAAATTTGACTGTATTATATGCATGCATAAAAATGCTTATGGCAACCCCGATTTATACACTTGTGGGCCCAGCAGAGTGCTTAGGCATTCAAACTCTAACAATGGCATTGTTATGGGTGATTTCAATAGTTTTCGTTTTTTTTGGGACACCCTGTATAATACATACATGTTCGCCCATCTCCGGTATAATCTTCGTTACAAAGGCAGGTAAATGAACCATCCGTGTTTATACATGTCGCTCGAATTGAATGATCACAATTGTTACTCCCAATCTCGCATTCATTTATATCTGTAGTCATAAAACACAAATAATTTCAAGACTTGGTAAATATCTGACGAATCTCTTCTACGAGCGGATATCAATATTATTGCATGGGGCACGCTGCAACAGTGATACTATTGGTGACTTCATTCACATCCCTCAAATAGAATAAGCGAATATACTATAATTATATAGAAGATTACCTTCGCAATGACTACCATTTCTAGCATACCCTACACTACAAGTACAGGTGAAACTTCCAAGAGTGTTTTCGCATACAAATTTCTCGGGACAGTGAGTTCGAAGCTGGCATTCATCTGTGTCTGTATTCAAAAAATAAAAAGTCTATTTATTAGAGTTTATTAATTTAGCCGGAAAATACATATAGTAGCTACATGAAAAACGTACTTTAAAAAAGCAGTTCTTGGGTCATTTTGCCCCTGAACTACTCTCATGTAGACATTTGTGATTTACGGTGGAGACCTAATTTAAATGCATGCTTGTGCATGTATTGAAAAAAAACTTAAAGTCTTAAAGACTCGATCTAATGAGCAGATTCAATCTGTATGAATTGATAAAAAGTGTTAGAGGGGATGCAAAGACATAAAACTTACCATATGCTACAACTAAATCGTGAATTTGAACATTATTAGTGATATTCCCAAGCTTCTCAAGCGATGTTTTCAAATACATATCAATCCGGTTGTTGTTGATGTCAAAAACAAACAAATTAAGAAAGTCAGAAGTCACTTCAATTTTGCCTGGATACGATATATTTAAGGAAACTGTTTCTTTATTAGGCAGTGTTTTCATGACGCTGTGATAGCTTCCATCGAAATTTGCCCAGTAAATAACATTATTGTATTCGTCAAAAAAAATTGACTGTGCAGAACCGCCGGCAAAATGGATCTCTGACTTTGATTGTTCAGATGGATTGTAGCGCACGATTTGTGGATCATTTGCACTTGCTATGTAGAGGTAACTGTAAAAAAGAAAAATTATAAGCGAAAAAATTAAGTTAATGTCAAACAAACAACTACAGTATGTGATGTTGAAAATCATCCATCATGCATGGCGAGAACGTATTGAAAAGCATCTACGTGAAAAAGAAGAAATTTAATAGTGCAAAAGTTTAGTAGTACAACTACAAACCTCTACAAAAAAGGACACCATTAAGAATTAAACTTGTATTCGTGCAAAAGTAAAAATTGACAATGAATCGTATTATACCCATTAGTTGTGTCCATTTCAAGATCTGTGACGTTGGATAGATAGGATAAAGCATCGATTTTAATATCTTGTCCACCTGTCATAATGTGTGTTCTTAATTTATGTTCAATTGAGTGATAATAAATTATCGAATTTGTTCTCCCATCCACCGTGAATAAATCCACATCATTGATTGATGTTGTAGTAGCATCTGAGCCATCCAAATTGTAACTTGTAAAGCCTTGTAACTTCACATACAGGTACAACCGTTTGTTTATTGCATCAAAAGACAGTAAAGCATTCACTCTATCGTCAACTTTGGTTGGGATACTTGTGGATATTTTCGTATTATAAGAATGCGTGCCAAGTGATGTTGAGAAGAATAAATACGGTATTTGGTGACGAACTAGAAAGTAATAACAAGCAATTCATGAGGGCAATTGACGAACATGCAAATCACCAAATTAATTTAAACTTTATTTTCTCGCTCGTAAAACACACATCTACTGTAATTCGTAAAACACACATCTACTATAATTTAAAATTTCTTCTACTTGAAAGCGGCCAAAATATTCGAAGTTGACTAAAACGACTAAGGGCTAAAATTATAATGATGCATGCAAGTTTTGTTAAATCATAAATTCTTATTACTAGTCCTATTCAAGTGCGACAGTTATAGAGCATTAGTCACAGTTACCTTCACTTTCGCATCTTTCACCGCGATATTCAGCAGGACATCTGCATTGAAATGACGAAGGACCAAGATTGATGCAAGTTCCTCTATTGTAACATGGAGCACTTGCGCAAGGGGTATCTATGAAAAATGGACAAATTAAAGTGTGCAAATTTAATTTCTTATTTTACTTCAAAAATGGGCATTTTTTTCGTCACATTTAAACGCTATAAAAGCTAAGTTAGTGGAAGATAATCAGATTAAACTTTGAATCATATGATTTTGTTATTTTGAACAAAATGAAAACATATTCTTCTTTCTAGCTTCGAAGGTTTTTCACAAGCTTAGTCGAGCTATATGATTTTGATAAAGGAAAACCTCCTTTTCTCAACTTAGAACCAAGTAATTATATAATTATATTATTCTATCTCTCTTTGTGCATGCATGCATACTGACATGGGATTTTGCTATAAAATTATAAGTATAACCAAATTTTACAATAACCATTATACTTACGGCAAATTGCAGATTCATTTGTTCCCTTCCATGGTATATTAACATGGGGTGAGCAATCATCAGCGTAAGCTTCAAGAGCCTGACAATAACAAACAACAGGATCATCTTCACAAGCACACATATCATATTCACAGTCTTCAATATACCCTTCACTGGTCGCATCGATGTAACTGGAACAAATACTGAAGGGCGGGTTAAGTAATGTTGAACACTTTTCACGGGCCAGCAATCTTCTAGCTGGTTTGACATCACATGGGTGTAGCACTTCAACAGCATTTGCGCATTCTGGATCAACTTTCCAAGAGTTTCCGAAGGCTACTGGGTCAGTTAAAACTGTTCTATTGGATGTCCAGAATTCATCATCGCGTCTTTTATTATAGGTACCGCATAAACCAGATGTTCTGTTTAAATAACGACCACGAACGGTCACTCGCACATTGTAGACATTGTTCCAAAATACTGTGACACCATAATCACTTGTTACCAATGTTTGACCACTTGCAGGTTTAGTAATGTTAACACCTTGAAAATATGATCGAATAAAGTGTAATAGTCGGTGAAGAACATGGATCGATGAGATTAGGTATTATTATATTTTTGCTTATAATTATGCCGTCAGTTTATCAAATACATATTTACATTAAGTCATACTTGATTTATTCAAAGTATTTTTTCCAGATATAAAAGGAGAAACGGTTATCATTTAATAGATCTGCAAATAATTTCAAGATACCTGGACAGAAGACTGGCAATGTGACTTTCGCTCCATTGACCAATGTCATTCCTCTTCGGAGATGAATGGAGGTTGAATTGGTGAATAAGACTGTCAATGATTTCGTACACGTCGGAAGTCCATTTCCACAAGGTTCATTTGCTTGCCTTATTTCAAATGTGTTGTTTACAAAGTCTTTTGCCAGAACATATTCACATTTTCCCATGAAGTCAAAACGTCTTCCATCGAATGTCGTGTAATGCGGATCTCCCTGAGCTTTACATGTCGCTTCAACTACAAATGAAAGTATAAATTTCATTTATTGCTGCCTTTAAAAGCTGTATAGGGCAGTAAAAGTTCATGTACGCACGGTACAGGGAAATTCAAATGAAATAATTAAGGCTAGAGCATTGTCCTTTGTCTCATGGTCTAAAGGTTAAGAGACAAAAAATAGCGTTGAAGCAGCCTGACGACTTGAACCTTGTTGTTCACATGAGCTCGAAATAACTTAATTTCCGACGCGAGGCTACTCGTTGTCCCAGGACAAAATTCCATGCGTTTCCATCGACTCTGGGACAAGTTCTCTGACTTGTCCCAGAGTACTACATAGCGGGATACCGGCAAATGTACATGACTATGCCTTGTAAAACGAAATAAATTATATCATTTGCCATTACTATTTTTGGCCATGCACTTCTAGATTGTTTGTCTCTGAACTTAAATCTAGAATTTTATTTCTAACGATCTTTTTGTCCCGAGGTATAGGTTGCAGTGAAACACATGGCGCAAGTATAGAGTATATTCTTCTCTGTAGCACCGAGACACTCGAGTTAGCTCCTGATGTTAAGTATTCTTTTTCAGAGAGTAATTATAGTTCCTACCTCTTTTATCACAGTTTTCTCCTTCAAAATCAGCGTTACAAACACATTGATGGGTATCACCAACCGCTACACAAATTTCATTTCTTCCGCAAGTGAGTTCATCACAGTTTACTAAACAGAGAAATGGAAAAATAAGCGCTGTTCAAATGAAACGAGACGGTTGTTTCAATAACATACAACAGGTATCGATTATGACGCAAGCGTTTGGGAAAATATGCATGCGATATAGCTGCATGGTGATAAACAAGATAATATATTCATGGATAAAACCACTGTCCGGCCTATGGAGGGACCAGGGTCGTAAGTACAAAATAAATGTAATTGTTGGGATACATGTTTTTCAAATAAATTATTCAGTTCTGCTCGACGGATTTCTATTTTAAGCTATTGCACTTACAAAGGAAATCCGTCGGGCGGAACTGAATGATTATATTTATTATTCATTAGATAGTGTAATCGTCTGCTGATTGGCTGAAAATGTACGGATAATTTCAGATATCCCTCAGTGCTCGAGCTATATTTCAGCGGACATAGCGTTATCTGTTGGTGCGCATGCTTTTTGCCAGCTTTTATAGTGTTAGGTTGTTATCTGCAGACGTTTGTGGACCGCACCCGCGGTTTCATAACGGTATCGTGCACAAGCGCAGGAAATTCGCGAGCTTCGGTTTTTTCTATTTACGTAATAAAATTTAACAATGGCTGCAAGTACGAGTGCTCGATTCGCATCAGTTTCAAACAGTGGCGTAGCCAGCCAGACGATAAAGTCATGCTATGCAAATTTTATGTTATTATCATAATTTATCTCTTTAGAAATTCATTGTTTTCACAGTCAATGAACACCAAAATATTAGCATAGCATGACTAAATTGTCGGACTGGCTACGCCACTGGTTTCAAAACAGGGAATGGAGAAAATACTCGCTAATAGAGACTCAGGATACACGAAGAAGTCTACGAAGTACCATTTTGAATGACGAGCAATAAATTGTTTGAATATTTACGTTTTATTATGCTCATGTCCTCTAAAGTCAAAGATCTAAAATTTCCATTCAAGTTTGGCAAAGTTATTTTCATACCAAAAAATACCCAATTCAATTAGGTTCTTGTTTGTATATAATTTTTTTGGACGGTGGATAAACAATAAAACTGTATTAAAAAGTAATAAAACCGTACCTTTGCAAGTAGTAGACGACATATTCCGTGCCAAAGTCGCGAATTCATTAAAATTCTGTAACAAATAGACATGATTATCCACGGGAGGAGAAGCCATTGTCCTAAGTTCGTCCACATCGATTCCTGAGCCAACTCCAATAGAATATATGACAATACCAGAGTTTTTCAATTCTTGCGATGGTAGTCCGACACTGCCACTGCTCCTCCCATCGGTTAAGACTATCAATACTCTTTTTGTTCCTGAAAAAATTCCGTTTAATATACATGGGCCCATGGCCACAGCAGATTCATAATTACAAGCAGGGAATAAATTTCGATATAATTATCATCATGCATATTTCCCCGGTCCCATTTATTCATTATTTTATTTTGGAAAGGGTTCAATGTGATTGTGATGGACATAATTCAAATGTAGGACATGTCTCACGTTCAAACATCCATTAAACTGGAAGAAAATAAGGCTTCTTACCAAAAAGAATCAATAAAGATCAGATTTTTCTTTATGGGTTAAGAAAATCTAATCTTCTCAGAATAAAATCGGCGCGATCAGATACTTTACTCCCCAAATTAGTTTAAAAATAAACTTTTCGAAGTTGGTTTTGAACACATTTGAGTCGAATGCACACCAAACCAATTATTATATCAAATGATTCAATAGAATCCAATTCAACAAACCTAATATGCGGGCACCATTGTTTGTATTGAACATGTCAGATTTCGCAAGTCTCAAGCCTTGGGCAGTATTAGTGCCTCCACCAGTGTAAGGAATGTTGTCTATCGCGGAATGAAGATCTTGTCGTGTCGGAAACTCCCGAGAAAATGTAAAACGTAAAGTCGGTGAGGACGCATATGACATCACGGAGACCCTTGTATTGTTTTGTGAAATCTTAAAATGATCGGTAAGGTCCTTAACAAAAGATTTTATTGTCTCAAAATGTCCAGACCCAATACTACCAGAACTGTCTAACATAAATCCAAGATCACTCTTCGTCGTACATCTTGAAATTAGTTCACCTTAAAAGGAAAGAAAGCACGTAAATGCCACGACAGTTTAAGATACCACTGGGTATAATTGCTGTAAACTATATACTTGTTGATGGCTAACATACGAATAACATCTGTTTGCCAGCTAGCTTAGATTTTTTTTTTAAAATAGAGGCAATAATATATAATTATTATGGTGCATGTATCAGGGAAGTGATTTTGAATAAAGGGAGGGTCATTCTCGAAATATTTTCTGCCTTGAAAAATTGTTTCCAATGCATGAAATAATTCAGTCCTCGTGAAAGCCATAGGAAACGTGGTCAATAGGTCGTGGTCAAGGATTGATTCTTCTTGCGGTCACCTTTCTTTAATTTTTTTTAGTTTTCACAGCATGTAAGAGTAGTTTCACTTTAAAGCTATTGTGGGATACAGATACATACACGTTTGTCCATCTCCGGTATAGTCTTCCTTACAAACACAGGTAAAAGAGCCTTCGGTGTTGATACACGTTGCTCGAAATGGATTATCGCAGTTGTGTGTTCCAGTGTCGCACTCATTTATATCTGAAGACATAAATCACAAATAGAACTGTAAGGTTAGTCTTCTTCCAGTCAAGTAGCTATATGAGAGCTTCACTGTATCTGGCAAAGTTTTAACAAAGCGCTCTCTCGCAGGTGACTGTTCCCATTTTGCACTCGTCAATATCTGAGATTTACAATAATTGCATGCATTGTAGTGTTTTAGAAAATATTCTCTCTTTATTTCCAGGCGTGTGTATTAATGCACTGCAAATATCAATATTTAATTTTTCTGCATTCTGCAATAAAATGAGCACAATAATCATTACATATGGTTGGTACAAACCGATGCAAAAGGTGCCGTCTCCAGTGTATCCAATCGGGCAAGAACAAACGTAGGAACCCGGAGTATTCAAGCAAGTTGCATTCGGATTAACGCAAATGTCTGGTTTCAAGAAGCATTCGTTAATATCTGAAGAGAGAAAACGGGAATTATGACTGTTGCATTTTTTTCGAGTAATTATTAATGAATGTTTAGAACAATAATAAGACCATTTAGCTAAATTTCTTGAATTTTTGTTTTGTTCCCTTATCAATTTCAACAGAACATTTTTCTGATTTTTTGAAGGTTATATCGGTATATGTTTTACTTTCTTTCATGCACATAATTTAGCAGACATCTTGAACACGCAGTTTTCACTAATGGTGCAACCGCCTACAATTTTTTGTGATTGACATCGTCAATGCTGAAGATATACCAAGTCTAAAAGTCTTTTCAAGGTTTAATTTTTCTTTTCTTTATAATACCTTTCTCATTCTTTACCTGAACAAAGTTTCCCATTTCCATTATATCCAATGTTACATGAACAGCTGAACGATCCATTTGTGTTAACACACGACGCTTGAGCATTGCAGGTGTCTCTTCCCATTTTGCACTCGTCAATATCTGGTAATGGGATTTACAATAATTGCATGCATTATAATGTTTTAGAAAACATTTATTTCCAGGCGTGTATATTAATGCACTGCAAATATCAATATTTAATTTTTCTGCATTCTACAATAAAACGGGCGCATTAATCATTATATATGATTTGAGAAGCAAATTTGAAACCTTTCTTCATTAGTTCAAAAGTTGAAATTGCTAAGAAGAAACTCAGCAAGAATTTTTGTATATGTTGCTACCTGCACAGTTCACACCATTTCCAGAAAACCCTTCCTTGCAAGAGCAGTTAAAACTTCCCAATGAATCTGAGCATGTTGAATAAACAGAGCAAAAGGCTCCACGGCAACATTCATCCACGTCTAAAAATGAAAAAAATGTTTGCGAAATTTTTTATTGAATATAATTTTTGGAAACGGGTATTCGAATACACAAAATTAATCGGGTGCATCATTTACCATCTATCCTCTGCTCATTAAAAAAAATTACCCAACATTTACAATACATGTACTTTTGTACTGTGTACTATTATCATCAAATTTAAAATTATTTTTAGAAATATTATATCTCAACTGTAAATCATCCAATCAGAAAGCTCGCTTTGTACCACGTGATCAGTAAATTAATCATGGAGTCCCATCGAATTTTTTCACATTACGCTATAAAAGTCGAATACCCCGCTGCAGAGTTTGCGTGTACCACGCGTGGATGCTTCGCACACGACTCGAGGTTGTCAACAATTTCAAAATAGAGGCAAAAGAAGCCATTTCACCCAGCTTTTGCGCTGCCTACACGTTGTTTCGATATAGTATATAATTTATAGACCTTCCGCTCGGGGAATTCGACGAAATATAACCCCCTCGAGAAGATATATCCCTCCCTTGGGGGTAATATTTCGTCGAATTCCCCTCGCTCCAGGTCTATAAATGATAATTATCGATTGTAAAATAGAAGCCCTATTAACGTACATTATTTCAGCTAATTAAACCTGTACGGAAGCAAGAAGATTTAAAGATTAACTACCATTGCAAGTCATTCTTAAAATATTCAAAGAGCTACTCACCATATGCAACAACAAAACCGGCCATTTCCTGGTTCAACGAAATGTTTCCACCTTGTTTTAAAAATAAGTTCTTGACATACATGTAAATCAACTTATTATCTTTAGATAACACATACAAATTGTCAATATCAGTCGCAACTTGTATTTTGTTTGAATAGGTAATGTTCAGCTTGCTTGTTTTGCCAGTATATGTCGTTTTCATGACCTCGTAACCAGTGTCCTCGTAATTTATCCAGTAGATAGCACTGTCGTATACGTCAACAGAAATTGACTGCGCTAACCCAGAGTAGGTGAAATTTTTGAAAGTTTGATCATTTGGATCGTAACGAATTATTGGAGGATTTGAGGATCTGGCTATATAGAGATAACTATGAAAAGAAAGAGTACATGGTTTTACGAAATGTGTGAAAAAATCGTACATTTAAGCACTAACTGTTCCTTGGACGTTATTGGATGTTTTAATCTGCAGCTATTACATAAGTGTAATGGATGTCTGCTATTATACTTAGAATTAGGAGTAAGATTTACGTAATTTACCCTGAAACTATGTCGATTTCCAAATCTCTTACGTCAGAGATATCCGATAGAGCCTCAACTGCAGTTTGTTGACCACTTGAAATATTGTGCATCCATATAGTTTTATGAAGTGAGTGGAAATAATATATCACATTACTTTTGCCATCGACCGTGAAAAAGCTTACATTACTGATCGGTATGGAGGTAGCGTTGGAACCATCCAAATTGTAACTATGAAATCCTGTATTATTAAAATACAGGTACAACCTTCTGTTTATACCATCATATGACAACAAAGCATTTAAACGATCATCGATACTGTTCGCGCTGAGTGTGTGTTCTTTTGTGCTATAGGACAAAGTGCCCATTGATGTGGAAACGAATAAATAAGGTACTTGGCATTGATCTGAAAAGAAGAAACGTTAGTCGTGAATTTTCGTTCCAAAAACATAGTTGGAAATATTGCTACACATGATTTTAAAACAATAATAAATGTTCACTTTCTACTGTAAAAATTCGAACATCTCATCGAAATCTCATCGACATTCTAACCGTTGGTTTACCCGGAATTCCTATAAGCAGGCGAATTGAACGACCAACAAGAAACATGACAGTGTTCAGGATTTAGTTACCTTGAATTTCACATCTATCTCCCAGGAAACTAGGATGACATCTACATTCAAATGAAGCGCCAACGTTTGTACATCTTCCTCCATTGTAACATGGAGCACTCGCACAAGGGGTACCTTTCAAAAGAAGGTTCAATAATCGCTCAGAATGATTGAAATATTTATAATCAAGTCAACTGTGTAACACGCAAAAATGTTGAATACTGGAAGCACAAAATATTCATTTCAAAGAAATCTCAAGAAGTGCAGTTACAGTAGTTATTTACTTACGGCAAATTGAGGATTCATCTAGACTCTCCCAAGGTATAACAACATTGGAAGCACAATCATCAGCGTAAGCTTCAAGAGCCTGACAATAACAAACAACAGGATCATCTTCACAAGCACACATATCATATTCACAATCTTCAATATATCCTTCTTGAACCGGATCGATATAACTGGAACAATTACTGAAAGGTGGTTTGGTTAACGCTGAACACTTATTACGAGCTATCAATTTTCTCCCTGGATTGATGTCACATGGGTGCGGCACTTCAACGGCTTCGTCACATTCTGGATCAACTTTCCAAGAATTTCCGAATGCAACAGAATCAGTTGTACATATTCCATCGTAAGTGCAGAAATCATCACCTCGTCTTTTATTATAAGTACCACATAAACCAGATGTTCTATTTATATAACGACCTAGAATTGTCACTCGCACATTGTAGACATTGTTCCAAAATACTGTCACACCATAATCACTTGTTACCAATGTTTGACCACTTCCAGGTCTACTAATGTTAACATCTTGAAAGGAATATAAAATAGAATAATAAGTCGGGGACTTTCAATGGAGCGAAGACAAACTGTACAATAGAGAATAATTGTTATGCTATGCGCCCCCCTACTTTGCTTCTCAGATCAGAATAATGAATACACTTTGATGTGATCCATGTGATCCTTGTCAAATTATGTTAATTCATGTGATCTATGATTCGCCCAACTTAATTACTCGCAAAATAGAAAAGAAAAGCTGAAGAGAAACTAAAGGTATAGAATTTTATTGTTTTAAATAAAAAATGAATCATTTTATCTTGACTCATGAAATTTTTTTATCCAATAGAACTCATAAACCGAGATACCTGGATAGTCGACTGGCAACGTAACTTTCACACCATTAACTAACGTCATTCCTCTTCGGAGATGAATAAAGGTTGAATTTGTAAATATCACAGTCAATGATTTTGTACACGTCGGAAGTCCATTTCCACAGGGTTCATTTTCTTGCCTTATTTCAAATGTGTTGTTTACAAAGTCTTTTGCCAGAACATATTCACATTTTCCCATGAAGTCAAAACGTTTTCCATCGAATGTCGTGTAATGTGGATCTCCCTGAGCTTTACATGTCGCTTCAACTACAAATAGGAGTTTAAAATATAAATTGAGCTGTTGTTGTTCGCATAAGGAATACATAAATAAAATATAGTTTCGTGGAAATACTGTGGGTAGATGTCGAAAACTCTCATGCTCAGACCACTCGTCATTCGATGGCCCATCCCTTGAGACGTTTCAATCTAGAAAGTTCTGTAAATTTTTATCGCGGCATTTTTCCGTGCTAAGCTTAGTTTTCGTCAAGATCATCTTACGATAATCGAATATGTATCCGAAACGCCCAAAAAATGCAGTTAATACACATATTCGTAGATAATATTGCACCTACCTCTCTTTTCGCAACTTTGTCCTTCAAAATCATGGTTACAAACACATTGATGGGTGCCACCGACCGCAACACACATTTCATTTTCTCCGCACTTCATTTCATTGCAGTTTAAAACTAAAATGAAAAAAATCTAAATAAGTATAATAGAAAAACAATTTGTAAAATTCAATAGATTCTCGACTTCGAAATCCAAGTAATTAGCTCTGTTATATGATAATAATCTTTAATTAGGAAAACTTTGTCACTATAAAGTGGTTTTCACAAAGGTCCTGCTTATATAGATCACTATAAAAAAATATGAAACTATATGTATTAGATAAAAGTCGCTTTTTAAACATTCAACAAGACGCCTACTCAGGCGATCACTGGGACTACAGTTATCTCGTAGTAACAGGGCATGTTCGTGACACGCGCGCGAGAAACGATCCTAGGACGATTTCGATTGGTTCGAAGACTTCGTGCCGCCCACGCGTGATTTTTGTAAACTCGCGACGCAAAAGAAAAAACCGAGCCCATTTTACAACTCGGTCTACCTACCAACGGTAGTCCGAGTAATAAAATATAGATAAGTCTAGGGTTATTAGGTTAAAGGTTTGAGAGTAACTTTCTCTTAAAAATCGATAATGAGGAAGCATTTCGTAAATATCACTGTGCTTGTTCATTTAGAATTGTGTTTATTTTTCTGTCGCACATTCTGCTACAAGCATGCATCTATACCACCCCGATTCGTTTCCTAGAATACCAGGCTGACCTGGGCGCGGTTTTCTGCTTTGCAATTAAAACCTTGAACCAAACTTGTACCAAATAAGGCGTTTGTTACACAGGCAAAATGTAATAGCGCGGCATAACATACCATTGACAAGCAGAACAAGAAATAAGTAGTAAAATTCAAGGCTCGGTATAATATGTTAGTCATTAACTAATCTCACATTTGCGCGAGATATTCGCTCAGGGAATTTTTTTTGCAAATATTACCAATTAATGGATTATAACCAACAAGAATACTAGTATGTTTTGCTTCTCATGTACATAATTTGAATAAATTGACGAATTTTAGTAAGTATGGACAGGAGCGCTTGGCATTGGTGATTGCGAGCAAAGTGTGGCACCTAATAACGTTTATCATCTCATTAAATAATATTGTTTGAATTGCATTCGAAGCGACCAAAATGCGACGTGTAACCTAGGGATACATTTATGCATGGTTTAGATGTGTTATAAAAAATATGTTAAAGAACGATAAAACCATACCTTTGCAAGTTGAGGACGACATATTCTGTGCCAAAGTTGCAAATTCATTAAAATCTTGCAATAAGTAAACATATTTATCTGCAGGATGTGAAGCCATTGTTTTCAACTCGTTTACATCGATTCCTGAGCCAACTCCAATCGAATATACGATAACGCCTGCTTTTTTTAGCTCCTGGGATGGTTGGGCAACATTTCCACTGCTTTTCCCATCAGTCAACACTATCAGTATTCTTTTTGTGTCTGAATGAATAATTTTTATTTATATTTCATTTATATTCGCTATTAACAACATCATGATGAAAAATATTGCATATTGCTGCGTATGCTAGAGTACATATTTTCGGTTCAGGATGAGAGCTCTAGGGGGACGCAATGAGATGTACTGATAAAATTTTTAAAATTCGCTAATTTTCTAGACCTGAGATAACGAAAAGCCAACATAACTTAATCAAAGATCTGGATTGGGTTTGTAATTGATATAAAGGTGAAATAACAAGGGAGCGCATATTCATAATTTCATTATTATTGAATCCCTTCAAATTTTTTTATGGCGCTAGATACGTGATAAACGTGATATGCATGCATGATAAACAAAAAATAACAAAATAAAAGAATAACTCGTATAATTAACAAACCTGATATGCGGGTATTAAACATGTGCGATTTCGCAAGTGTCAAGGCTGCGGCAGTATTAGTGCCTCCACCCGTGTACGGAATGTTGTCTATAGCAGAATAAAGATCTTGCCGTGTTGGAAATGCTTGAGAAAATGTAAGATGCAATGACGGCGAGGAGGCATATGACATCACGGAGACCCTTGTATTGTTTTGTGAAACTTTGAAGTGATAGATAAGGTCCTTTACAAACGATTTCATTGTCTCAAAATGTGCTGACCCAATACTACCAGAACTGTCTAACATAAATCCAAGATCAATCTTCGTCGTACACCTTGGAATTAATTTACCTACGAAAAGAAAATGGAAGAACATTTTAATAAATAAAAAAATTGCCCGTTGAATCAGACTTGCATTGCAAGTACTAGTTAACGACTTATCTGTATGGGAATTTTACATGGCGAGTGCGTTGCTCGCAAATCCCATAGAGAAAAGTCGCTTGTATTTTGAGATTTTTTGTGAAATTGATTATCAATCTATGACAGCACTCTTGCATTACCTTTTATACAGAACAACCACATGGAGTACTTACCGATCTATACTTGCATCATATGTCTCATTGCATGCATGTGAAGAAAATACTGTAAAGTTATCAGTACCTATAGACATTAATTATTCCGAATTTCGCAAAAAGGATTAAAGTATTGGGAAGAAAAAATAGACCCATTGTTAGGCATAAAAGATAAAAAAACCCAACATTCCCCAGAAATAATGATCAATGTTATCAAACTGTTTTCCGGTCGAGCTTTGGTAGAGATATTAAGAATATTAACGTCAATGAGTCCGCAACGATGTTTGGCATAGATAACCCATGGCGCTGAAAATTTTTTTATGTACAGTACACTGCAACTAAGGATATCAATATTATACCAAAATGGCATAATTTCCTTTCTAACTTTCTATAATGATGACAAATCCTAGATATTTAAATTATATCATATTCTCAATTGTAGACGTTATACATACATGTTCGCCCATCTCCAGTATAATCTTCGTTACAAATACAGGCAAATGAACCATTCGTGTTTATACATGATGCTCGAATTGAATGATCACAGTTGTTACTCCCAATCTCGCATTCATTTATATCTGTAGTGTTAAAACAAAATAATTCCAGACAAGGTACATAAATACTAGGTACATACATTTCCCGCCGTCTGGGGCAAATAGTAAAGCGTAGTTCTTATATGTCACCAACGGTCGACGATGGCCATGCATTATCGGTGATATGCTTTTTTATTTTGAATTTTTTTTTGTTACAGCCCACAACATACATCGGCGTTGTCAGTGACATATGAGACATGCAGGCTTTAACGAAGCTTATTTTAAGCAAATATTGCAAAACGCCGGCACACGACTGTTGTAAAACATTTTTTTAGTTGAAAGAGACACAGCGTGGCATTTATGTGTGTACCTTCACAATTTTCACCATTTCCAGTGTATCCTTCTTTGCAAGAGCAGTTAAAACTTCCCAATGAATCTGAACATGTTGAATACACTGAACAAAATGTTCCACGGCAACATTCATCCACGTCTAAAAAATGAAAAATGGCTTTAAGCAAATTTTTATTGAGTACATTTTTACAATGTTTCTTGAATATTGAAGCCTGAAATAAATAATTTTGTTTATAGGTGCTGTGTATTTTAAATGTGATTGGTTCATTCATAGTCACATGACTTTAAATAAATGCAATGAAAGTGAAAGTGAAAGTGAAAAGTGCAAGTGAAAAATTGTTGCCCGCATATTGTCATAACAAGGTTTTTTGAAATGAAATTGTCGTGTAACATGTAGGTTTTTTTTATATAACAAAACACTTAATGTCGCTACACCTGGGAAATAGTCAGTTTTTTTCCTCGAGTCTCAATGTTTCCCTCGACTCAGACTCATGGGAAAACAAAACTCACTATTTCCTCGGGAGCATACATTAAGTGTATAATATTTCAGCATGCAAGTTAAACCTGTACACAAGCAACAAGATTTAAAGATTTAAAGATTATCGACTATTGCAAATCATTCTTAAAATATACAAAGATCTGCTCACCATATGCAACGACAAGACCTCTAATCTCCCGCTGTAATGAAATGATTCCAACATCTCGTGCATTCAAATTCTTGATATATTTGAGAATGAGGTTATCATGCTTAGATATCACGTACAAATTTTCAATATCAGTCGCAACTTGTATTTTGTTTGAATATGTAATGTTCAGGTTGCTTGTTTTGCCAGTATATGTCGTTTTCATGACCTCGTAACCTGTGTCCTCGTAATTGATCCAGTAGATAGCTCTGTCGTATACGTCAACAGAAATTGATTGCGCTAACCCGGGATAGGTGAAGTTTTTGATTGATTGATCATTTGGATCGTAGCGAATGATTGGGGGATTTGAGGATCTGGCCATATAGAGATAACTATGAAAAGGAAAAAATTAAATACATGGCTTTGCGAAATAGAAAAAGTACAGCTCAGTACCAATAACGGGGCTTGCAGTGGTGGGAAATTAAGGAGATAAACATGTAAGGAATTAACAAATATGATTTACCCTGAAACTATGTCGATTTCCAAGTCTCTTACGTCAGAGATATCCGATAGAGCCTCAACTGCAGTTTGTTGACCACTTGAAATATTGTACATCCATATGTTTTTATGAAGTGAGTGGTAATAATATATCACATTACTTTTGCCATCGACCGTGAAAAAGCTTACATTACTGATCGGTATGGAGGTAGCGTTGGAACCATCCAAATTGTAACTATGAAATCCTGTATTATTAAAATACAGGTACAACCTTCTGTTTATACCATCATATGACAACAAAGCATTTAAACGATCATCGATACTGTTCGCGCCAAGTGTGTAATCTTTAGTGCTATAGGACAAAGTGCCCATTGACGTGGAAACGAATAAATAAGGTACTTGGCATTGATCTGAAAAGAAGAAACGTTAGTCGTGAATTTTCGTTCTAAAAACATAGTTGGAAATATTGCTACACATGATTTTAAAACAATAATAAATGTTCACTTTCTACTGTAAAAATTCGAACATCTCATCGAAATCTCATCGACATTCTAACCATTGGTTTACCCGGAATTCCTATAAGCAGGCGAATTGAACGACCAACAAGAAACATGACAGTGTTCAGGATTTAGTTACCTTGAATTTCACATCTATCTCCCAGGAAACTAGGATGACATCTACATTCAAATGAAGCACCAACGTTTGTACATCTTCCTCCATTGTAACATGGAGCACTCGCACAAGGGGTACCTTTCAAAAGAAGGTTCGATAATCGCTCAGAATGATGGAAATATTTATAATCAAGTCAACTGTGTAACACGCAAAAATGTTGAATACTGGAAGCACAAAATATTCATTTCAAAGAAATCTCAAGAAGTGCAGTTACAGTAGTTATTTACTTACGGCAAATTGAGGATTCATCTAGACTCTCCCAAGGTATAACAACATTGGAAGCACAATCATCAGCGTAAGCTTCAAGAGCCTGACAATAACAAACAACAGGATCATCTTCACAAGCACACATATCATATTCACAATCTTCAATATATCCTTCTTGAACCGGATCGATATAACTGGAACAATTACTGAAAGGTGGTTTGGTTAACGCTGAACACTTATTACGAGCTATCAATTTTCTCCCTGGATTGATGTCACATGGGTGCGGCACTTCAACGGCTTCGTCACATTCTGGATCAACTTTCCAAGAATTTCCGAATGCAACAGAATCAGTTGTACATATTCCATCGTAAGTGCAGAAATCATCACCTCGTCTTTTATTATAAGTACCACATAAACCAGATGTTCTATTTATATAACGACCTAGAATTGTCACTCGCACATTGTAGACATTGTTCCAAAATACTGTCACACCGTAATCACTTGTTACCAATGTTTGACCACTTCCAGGTCTACTAATGTTAACATCTTGAAAGGAATATAAAATAGAATAATAAGTCGGGGACTTTCAATGGAGCGAAGACAAACTGTACAATAGAGAATAATTGTTATGCTATGCGCCCCCCTACTTTGCTTCTCAGATCAGAATAATAATACACTTTGATGTGATCCATGTGATCCATGTCAAATTATGTTAATTCATGTGATCCATGATTCGCCCAACTTAATTACTCGCAAAATAGAAAAGAAAAGCTGAAGAGAAACTAAAGGTATAGAATTTTATTGTTTTAAATAAAAAATGAATCATTTTATCTTGACTCATGAAATTTTTTATCCAATAGAACTCATAAACCGAGATACCTGGATAGTCGACTGGCAACGTAACTTTCACACCATTAACTAACGTCATTCCTCTTCGGAGATGAATAAAGGTTGAATTTGTAAATATCACAGTCAATGATTTCGTACACGTCGGAAGTCCATTTCCACAAGGTTCATTTGCTTGCCTTATTTCAAATGTGTTGTTTACAAAGTCTTTTGCCAGAACATATTCACATTTTCCCATGAAGTCAAAACGTTTTCCATCGAATGTCGTGTAATGTGGATCTCCCTGAGCTTTACATGTCGCTTCAACTACAAATAGGAGTTTAAAATATAAATTGAGCTGTTGTTGTTCGCATAAGGAATACATAAATAAAATATAGTTTCGTGGAAATACTGTGGGTAGATGTCGAAAACTCTCATGCTCAGACCACTCGTCATTCGATGGCCCATCCCTTGAGACGTTTCAATCTAGAAAGTTCTGTAAATTTTTATCGCGGCATTTTTCCGTGCTAAGCTTAGTTTTCGTCAAGATCATCTTACGATAATCGAATATGTATCCGAAACGCCCAAAAAATACTGGTAATGCTTATATTCGTAAATAAGATTGTACCTACCTCTCTTTTCGCAACTTTGTCCTTCAAAATCATGGTTACAAACACATTGATGGGTGCCACCGACCGCAACACACATTTCATTTTCTCCGCACTTCATTTCATTGCAGTTTAAAACTAAAATGAAAAAAATCTAAATGAGTATAATAGAAAAACAATTTGTAAAATTCAATAGATTCTCGACTTCGAAATGCAAGTAATTAGCTCTGTTATATGATAATAATCTTTAATTAGGAAAACTTTGTCACTATAAAGTGGTTTTCACAAAGGTACTGCTTATATAGATCACTATAAAAAAATATGAAACTATATGTATTAGATAAAAGTCGCTTTTTAAACATTCAACAAGACGCCTACTCAGGCGATCACTGGGACTACAGTTATCTCGTAGTAACAGGGCATGTTCGTGACACGCGCGCGAGAAACGATCCTAGGACGATTTCGATTGGTTCGAAGACTTCGTGCCGCCCACGCGTGATTTTTGTAAACTCGCGACGCAAAAGAAAAAACCGAGCCAATTTTACAACTCGGTCTACCTACGGTAGTTCGAGTAATAAAATATAGATAAGTCTAGGGTTATTAGGTTAAAGGTTTGAGAGTAACTTTCTCTTAAAAATCGATAATGAGGAAGCATTTCGTAAATATCACTGTGCTTGTTCATTTAGAATTGTGTTTATTTCTCTGTCGCACATTCTGCTACAAGCATGCATCTATACCACCCCGATTCGTTTCCTAGAATACCACGCTGACCTGGGCGCGGTTTTCTGCTTTGCAATTAAAACCTTGAACCAAACTTGTACCAAATAAGGCGTTTGTTACACAGGCAAAATGTAATAGCGCAGCATAACAATACCATTGACAAGCAGAACAAGAAATAAGTAGTAAAATTCAAGGCTCGGTATAATATGTTAGTCATTAACTAATCTCACATTTGCGCGAGATATTCGCTCAGGGAATTTTTTTTGCAAATAATACCAATTAATGGATTATAACCAACACGAATACTAGTTTTTTGCTTCTCATGTACATAATTTGAATAAATTGACGAATCTTAGTAAGTATGGACAGGAGCGCTTGGCATTGGTGATTGCGAGCAAAGTGTGGCACCTAATAACGTTTATCATCTCATTAAATAATATTGTTTGAATTGCATTCGAAGCGACCAAAATGCGACGTGTAACCTAGGGATACATTTATGCATGGTTTAGATGTGTTATAAAAAATATGTTAAAGAACGATAAAACCATACCTTTGCAAGTTGAGGACGACATATTCTGTGCCAAAGTTGCAAATTCATTAAAATCTTGCAATAAGTAAACATATTTATCTGCAGGATGTGAAGCCATTGTTTTCAACTCGTTTACATCGATTCCTGAGCCAACTCCAATCGAATATACGATAACGCCTGCTTTTTTTAGCTCCTGGGATGGTTGCGCAACATTTCCACTGCTTTTCCCATCAGTCAACACTATCAGTATTCTTTTTGTGTCTGAATGAATAATTTTTATTTATATTTCATTTATATTCGCTATTAACAACATCATGATGAAAAATATTGCATATTGCTGCCTAAGCAAGAGTACATATTTTCGGTTCAGGAGGAGAGCTCCAGGGGGACGCAATGAGATGTACTGATAAAATTTTTAAAATTCGCTAATTTTCTAGACCTGAGATAACGAAAAGCCAACATAACTTAATCAAAGATCTGGATTGGGTTTGTAATTGAAATAAAGGTGAAATAACAAGGGAGCGCATATTCATAATTTCATTATTATTGAATCCGTTCAAATTTTTTTTTATGGCGCTAAATACGTGATAAACGTGATATGCATGCATGATAAACAAAAAATAACAAAATAAAAGAATAACTCGTATAATTAACAAACCTGATATGCGGGTATTAAACATGTGCGATTTCGCAAGTGTCAAGGCTGCGGCAGTATTAGTGCCTCCACCCGTGTACGGAATGTTGTCTATAGCAGAATAGAGATCTTGCCGTGTTGGAAATGTTTGAGAAAATGTAAGATGCAATGACGGCGAGGAGGCATATGACATCACGGAGACCCTTGTATTGTTTTGTGAAACTTTGAAGTGATAGATAAGGTCCTTTACAAACGATTTCATTGTCTCAAAATGTGCTGACCCGATACTACCAGAACTGTCTAACATAAATCCAAGATCAATCTTCGTCGTACACCTTGGAATTAATTTACCTACGAAAAGAAAATGGAAGAACATTTTAATAAATAAAAAAATTGCCCGTTGAATCAGACTTGCATTGCAAGTCCTTGTTAACGACTTATCTGTATGGGAATTTTACAATGGCGAGTGCGTTGCTCGCAAATCCCATACAAAACAGTCGCTTGTATTTTGATATTTTTTGTGAAATTGATTATCAATCTATGACAGCACCCTTGCATTACCTTTTACACAGAACAACCACATGCAGTAATTACCGATCTATACTTGCATCATATGTTTCATTACATGCATGTGAAGAAGATACTGTAAAGTTATCAGTACTTAGAAATTGACTATTCCAAATTTCGCAAAAAGGATTAAAGTATTTGGAAGAAAAAATAGAACCCATTGTTAGGCATAAAAGATAAAAAAATGACCTAACATTCGCCCAGAAATGAATTAATATCAATGTTATCAAACTGTTTTCCGGTCCAGCTTTGGTAGAGATATTAAGAATATTAACGTCAATGAGTCCGCAACGATGTTTGGCATAGATAACCCATGGCACTGAAAATTTTTTATGTACACTGCACTGTAACTAAGGATATCAATAGTATACCAAAATGGCATAATTTCCTTTCTAACTTTCTATAATGATGACAAATCCTAGATATTTAAATTATATCATATTCTCAATTGTAGACGTTATACATACATGTTCGCCCATCTCCAGTATAATCTTCGTTACAAATACAGGCAAATGAACCATTCGTGTTTATACATGATGCTCGAATTGAATGATCACAGTTGTTACTCCCAATCTCGCATTCATTTATATCTGTAGTGTTAAAACACAAATAATTTCCAGACAAGGTACATAAAATACTAGGTACATACATTTCCCGCCGTCTGGGGCAAATAGTAAAGCGTAGTTCTTATATGTCACCAACGGTCGACGATGGCCATGCATTATCGGTGATATGCTTTTTTATTTTGAATTTTTTTTTTCGTTACAGGCCACAAATCGGCGTTGTCAGTGACATGCAGGCTTTAACGAAGCTTATTTTAAGCAAATATTGCAAAACGCCGGCACACGACTGTTGTAAAAAGTTTCATTTAGTAGAAAGAGACACAGCGTGGCATTTATGTGTGTACCTTCACAATTTTCACCATTTCCAGTGTATCCTTCTTTGCAAGAGCAGTTAAAACTTCCCAATGAATCTGAACATGTTGAATACACAGAACAAAATGTTCCACGGCAACATTCATCCACGTCTAAAAAATGAAAAATGATTTTAAGCAAATTCTTATTGAGTACATTCTTTACAATGTTTCTTGAATATTGAAGCCTGAAATATATAATTTTGTTATATACGTGCTGTGTATTTTAAATGTGATTGGTTCATTCGTAGTCACATGACTTTAAATAAATGCAATGAAAGTGAAAGTGAAAGTGAAAAGTGCAAGTGAAAAATTGTTGCCCGCATATTGTCATAACAAGGTTTTTTGAAATGAAATTGTCGTGTAACATGTAGGTTTTTGTTCCTATATAACAAAACACTTAATGTTCGCTACACCTGGGGAAATAGTCAGTTTTGTTTTTCCTCGAGTCTCAATATTTCCCTCGACTCAGACTCATGGGAAAACAAAACTCACTATTTTCCTCGGGAGCATACATTAAGTGTATAATATTTCAGCATGCAAGTTAAACCTGTACACAAGCAACAAGATTTAAAGATTTAAGATTATCTACCATTGCAAATCATTCTTAAAATATACAAAGATCTGCTCACCATATGCAACGACAAGACCTCTAATCTCCCGCTGTAATGAAATGATTCCAACATCTCGCACATCCAAATTCTTGATATATTTGAGAATGAGGTTATCATGCTTAGATATCACGTACAAATTTTCAATATCAGTGCAAACTTGAATTTTGTTTGAATAGGTAATGTTCAGCTTGCTTGTTTTGCCAGTATATGTCGTTTTCATGACCTCGTAACCTGTGTCCTCGTAATTGATCCAGTAGATAGCTCTGTCGTATACGTCAACAGAAATTGATTGCGCTAACCCGGGATACGTGAAGTTTTTGATTGAGTGATCATTTGGATCGTAGCGAATGATTGGGGATTTGAGGATCTGGCCATATAGATATAACTATGAAAAGGAAAAAATTAAGATTTCTACAATACATGGCTTTGCGAAATAGTTAAAAAAGTACAGCTCAGTACCAATAACGGGGCTTGCGGAGTGGTGGGAAATTAATTAGGAGATAAACATATAAGGAATTAACAAATATGATTTACCCTGAAACTATGTCGATTTCCAAGTCTCTTACGTCAGAGATATCCGATAGAGCCTCAACTGCAGTTTGTTGACCACTTGAAATATTGTACATCCATATACTTTTATGAAGTGAGTGGAAATAATATATCACATTACTTTTGCCATCGACCGTGAAAAAGCTTATATTACTGATCGGTATGGAGGTAGCGTTGGAACCATCCAAATTGTAACTATGAAATCCTGTATTATTAAAATACAGGTACAACCTTCTGTTTATACCATCATATGACAACAAAGCATTTAAACGATCATCGATACTGTTCGCGCCAAGTGTGTAATCTTTAGTGCTATAGGACAAAGTGCCCATTGATGTGGAAACGAATAAATAAGGTACCTGGCATTGATCTGAAAAGAAGAAACGTTCTAAAAACATAGTTGGAAATATTGCTACACATGATTTTAAAACAATAATAAATGTTCACTTTCTACTGTAAAAATTCGAACATCTCATCGAAATCTCATCGACATTCTAACCATTGGTTTTACCCGGAATTCCTATAAGCAGGTGAATTGAACGACCAACAAGAAACATGACAGTGTTCAGGATTTAGTTACCTTGAATTTCACATCTATCTCCCAGGAAACTAGGATGACATCTACATTCAAATGAAGCACCAACGTTTGTACATCTTCCTCCATTGTAACATGGAGCACTCGCACAAGGGGTACCTTTCAAAAGAAGGTTCGATAATCGCTCAGAACGATGGAAATATTTATAATCAAGTCAAACTGTGTAACACGCAAAAATGTTGAATACTGGAAGCACAAAATACTCATTTCAAATAAATCTCAAGAAGTGCAGTAACAGTAGTTATTTACTTACGGCAAATTGAGGATTCATCTAGACTCTCCCAAGGTATAACAACGTTGGAAGCACAATCATCAGCGTAAGCTTCAAGAGCCTGACAATAACAAACAACAGGATCATCTTCACAAGCACACATATCATATTCACAATCTTCAATATATCCTTCTTGAACGGGATCGATATAACTGGAACAATTACTGAAAGGTGGTTTGGTTAACGCTGAACATTTATTACGAGCTACCCATTTTCTCCCTGGATTGATATCACATGGGTGCGGCACTTCAACGGCTTCGTCACATTCTGGATCAACTTTCCAAGAATTTCCGAATGCAACAGAATCAGTTGTACATACTCCATTGTAAGTGCAGAAATCATCACCTCGTCTTTTATTATAAGTACCGCATAAACCAGATGTTCTATTTATATAACGACCTAGAATTGTCACTCGCACATTGTAGACATTGTTCCAAAATACTGTCACGCCATAATCACTGGTTACCAATGTTTGACCACTTCCAGGTCTACTAATGTTAACATCTTGAAAGGAATATAAAATAGAATAATAAGTCGGGGAGCAAAGACAAACTGTACAATAGATAATAATTGTTATGCTATGCGCCCCTAATTTGCTTCTTAGATCGGAATGCTAGAACCCAAAAGAACCTAAAGATCTGTAATTTATATTGTTTCAAATGAATTTTCCATTTTTTCAAATTATGAATATCTTCCCACTATAGCACTCTCAAACATTACTAGTTACTTGCACAATGCACCATTACTAGTACAATAGATACCTGGATAGCTGACTGGCAATGTGACTTTCACACCATTAACTAACGTCATTCCTCTTCGCAGTTCAATGAAGGTTGAATTTGTAAATATCACTGTCATTGATTTCGTACACGTCGGAAGTCCATTTCCACAAGGTTCATTTTCTTGCCTTATTTCAAATGTGTTGTTTACAAAGTCTTTTGCCAGAACATATTCACATTTTCCCATGAAGTCAAAACGTTTTCCATCAAATGTCGTGTAATGTGGATCTCCCTGGGCTTTACATGTCGCTTCAACTACAATTGAAAGCGTAAAGAATAATTCGAAAATCAAGCTGACGTTGTATACGAATCGAGACTAGCTTAATAATGAAGAAGCGTTTCATGGAAATACTGAAAGTAAACGTTTTTTCACGCTTAGAAGACTCGTCGTTTGATAGCCCAACCCTGGAAACATTTGAATCAGCAAGTTCAACAAAATTTTCTGCACGTTTTGAATCATTTCTTTAAGGTCACCTTACATAAAACCCCCAAAATTTATTGTAATTACCCATCATGGGTATTTCACTGTATACTTATATTCGCAGATATGTTGTACTTACCTCTTTTTTGGCAACTTTGTCCTTCAAAATCAGGGTGACAAGTACATTCATGGGTATCACCAACCGGAACACATATCTCATTTTCTCCGCATCTTATTTCATTACAGTTCAAAACTAAAAAGAAAATGTCTGAATCAGCTGTACCCAATCAAAATCGCAGTGGCAAATAGTGCCACCTACATTAATATAAGAAAACCACCAGTAAGATAAATAAAATAGAGATTAACGAGGTAACCCTTTGGGAGATATGAAATGGTAGTTCTCGTTCTCATCAACTGAAAATTAATTTTATGTGAAATGATCGTCTCAAAAATTTAGATTTATTTGCCACTTTAACAAGCACTGTCTCATTTAGAATGTGCTCATTCTAAGCAGATGAAAGCTAGGAGTCGAAAGCTCCTGTAACCAAGATGTGAACATTCATGATCAATGATGATGAAGACTCTCTAAACAAACTGCACCAAGCTTGACCAACTAAAGATAAGCCCTAATGGCCAGTCTTC